AATCTTTCCCAACTGCCCTGACAATCAAGGAATATAAAATACTCCTTCCAACAGAGTATGTAGTGATTAGGATCTTATTCCAAATAAAAATACTTAAATAAATAATTGATTGCATTTTAAATGGAAACTGGTAAGTTTATGAGAAATGTTTAACCAGGGCTTCCTATTTTAGTGCAGCAGTACAAAAGGTTTTACTGACAGTCAAAACTTCCCGTCTCAGGTAATTGTATTGGGAAGAACAGAACCTCTGAGTAGACTTTACACTTGCACTTGAAAAACAAACAAAACCACTCAGAGCCTGTTCCACCTCCTTAGCTTCTATGAAAACTAATGCATTGGGGCTGGGGATTTAGCTCAGTGGCATAAGTGTCTGCCTGGCAAGCAGAGGTCATGAGTTCGATCCCCAGTACTGCAAAAAAGAAAGAAAGAAAGAAAGAAAGAAAGAAAGAAAGAAAGAAAGAAAGCAAGCTAGTGCATTACCTTCAAGCTTTTCTGCAGCTTCTCTGATGCAGCCTTTGTCTTGCTCTTATTTAGCCCTCATCGTCAGTGGTTGTGCTCAGAACCCAAAGCCTGAACAAAAATCAGAAAATCTGCCACACTTCCGAAATCTGATGTTCATTTCCCTTTAACTGTCAACTCCCTGATTTTCAGCATCCTTTTTCTTCACTCCACTTATAATCATTTCCCTCTCCAAATGAAACCTCCTGTTTTGTCATTTCTCCTCAGTCATTGCTGTTTTTCTAACCTGCTCGAATCCTTGACTTCCTCAGAGCCTTATAATTCATCAGCTTCTTCTTAACAAAAGTTGAACTGATTCATTACCATGATGATCATTCTTTTAAAAGTTACGCATTGCTGTTCCTAATGCTCAGCAGCTGCTCCATACGCAGGGCGCCAGCCTAAGTGTCCTCTCTCTAAGATCTCCTTTTGCCCTTGCCAACCATAAGGGAGATTTTTGACCATTTCACAGCCACGAAAATAGTTTGAAAGAGGTTCCCAGATCAAAGATATCTGTAGTTGTAGCCGTGTCATTTTTTTTCATTATTTTTAAAAATAAAAGAAAACTCTGCAAATCTAATGACAAGGTGTTATTAATTAGATACATCCTGATTTCAGCAGTGCTAAATATGAGAGAAAAAAAAAGGCCAGCCACACATCAGTGAAATAAGTGCCACAGGGTAGAGACCCAGAGCACGGGCCAGGCACAGCAGTTTGTAACTACAGGACGCTGCCTCCGGAAGCTGCCCACGGCACGGAATGGGGTGTCACAAATGCACGCTCTCAACATTGCCTGAGTTTTTAGTTTTGTTCTTTTGTTTCTCTTTTCTCTCTCTGCTCTGCTTTTTCATCTTTCTTTCAATGGTCATCCGGATGCTTTCTCTACTCTTTCTTTTGTCCACAAAAGATTCTGTGGTTTTATTCATAAAATGATTTGTAGTTGATAGCTAGTGCTTGAAAATAGTTTAAATGTTCTTTAAGAGAAAAATGGTTAAGTTATTTACTCAAGAAAATTTTATGCAGTCATTAAAGTGTCACTGAGAGTATTTTTTATTAGTACTTGTTTATGATAATGACCACTTTCACTGCAGTTATTTGGTGCATGTACAGGACATATATGAAATCCTTTATAAAACCTCTTTTTGTCACCCCTTTCCCTTTCTCATTTGCTAGAAATCTATCTTCCTGATCCCTTTTATCTATTCCTTATTTTGATTTATTTTGCTTAAAATTATGTTTCCAAGGTGCATCTATTTTCTTACAAATGACCCAGATATGTACTTTTTATGGCACAATACTATTCTGATATAAAGAAATATCACATTATCTGTTCTTCTGTGGGTGGACATACAGGGTGTTTCCAAGATTTAGCTATGAAGAATTGTGTTGCTATGAACTTTGATACACACATGTCACTGTAATATGATGTCATTAATTTTGGGGGGAAGATTCCTAGTAGGATATACTTGAGTCAAATAAAGTTTCTGGTTTTAGATTTTTGAGGAACCTATGTACTGATTTCCATAATGGTTGTACTAATACACCTTCCCACCAACAATGTAGAAGGGTTCCTTGCCTGCATTTGCTATTACTTGATTTCTTGATGATAGCCATCCTTTCTTCAGTAAAATGAAGTCTTGGTGTTGTTTTAATTTGTATTCCTTTAATGGCCCTTCGTGTTGAGCATTTTTTTCATGTACTTATAGGCCATTTACATTTATTTGAGACGTGTCTATTCATTTTAGTTGTCCATTTTCATGGGGTCTCTTATTTTGAGAGGTCTGATTTTTTTGAGCTCTTGATGTGTTCTAGGTATTAGTCTTCTGTCCAAAATGTAGCTGGCGAAATTTTTCCCCATTCTGTAAATTGTCTCTTCACTTTGTTGGTTGTTTTCTTTACCATGTGGAAGGTTTTTTTTTTAACTTGATATAATCCTATTTGTTGACTTTTGATGTTATTTTTTGTACAATTGGAGTTCTTTTCAGAAAGTCCTCGCCTGCACCTATGACTTCAAGAGTTTTACTCATTTTATGCAGAATAAGCATTTCTGTTTTAACATTTAGATCTTTGATCACTTATCTTCCTTGCTTTTGTCAAATAATCATTCTATTTTTTATTTTAAAGAGAAAAAATGAAAAATCAAAAAGCAAACAAACAAAGAAACCCCACAATGCTAAAAGCAAAATGACAATAAACAAAAAACAATATAGGATTTCAAGCCAAGATGATAAGAATTTATGTTGCATTCGTTGTCTTCAAAATAGTTGCTCAGGTTACCAGAGTCAGGCATGCAAAACTGATCAAACAATATGATTTCCCTTTGAGCAGTTTCTTTCCCTTTCACTATCTCTATTGTAACTTTTGATTCTTAATTACTTTCAGTTTCTTACACCAATGAGATGATACAGCGTTTACACTGTGTGAGTCTGATTTGCTTCACTTTGAGTATGGTCTCTAGTTGCATCCATTTACTCATAAAAGCCTCAAGTTGAAATGATCGTCCCCACCTCTCCCAACGCCTGCTCTCCTCCCCACCATACCATGAGCAGATCTGTGTTTACCGGTCACCTTCCTTCTGCCCTCAGCTCCGGGAGGTGCCCTGTAAGATGCCATTTCCTCCTCATTCTTCTTCCCTCACCGCTCCTGCTTCCTCCAAGGTTACTGCTCATCCTTCGTCCATCATCTTGAACCTCTTCCTCCACCTTGGCTCCTTCTCTGCAGGCTATAAACATGGCCAACACCCAGCCCCTTCCTATTCCAACTTGTCCCCCTCATCTTATCAAAACGGTGTCAGAATGCTCCAGAAGTTTCCTTATTTTTCATTTCTGCTTCAACCATTACTTCTCCTCCCCAGTGTTCAGTGGAAATTGGTTTTAAGTGGCTCTCCTATTTTTGTAAATTCAGTGGAAAATTATTCATTTTTTGACATCCTTTATTGAGTCTGTGTCATGTGGCTGGTTTCTTCCCTTCCTGTGTACAGTTCTATCTCATTGACTTCAAAGGTACCCCAATTTCTTGGTTTTTCTTTCTGTTCTTAATCACTTACGTGCTGGCTTTTCTCCTCATCCGCTTTCCACAGTTTCTGGAGTTGTAAACTACACCCCTACATCCTGACAAATCCCAAACACAAATTTCTTTCCTTAGTGAGTGTCTCAAATGTTTGATCTCCAGCTTTCAGCCCTCCTGGTCTCCAGGTGTCTGCATTTTGGTGCTGCTCTTCTCTCTCTTAATATGTACAAAGTCATACTCCTGCTTTTACTTCCCAGAGTTGTTCCACAGACAGTTTTGCCTTTCAGCTGGTGATAATTCCAAACTTCGTTACTTAGCTTTCCAAACTTGGTATCATCTTCAATATCTCTTCTTTTTGCACCACAAAATTTCGTCCTTGTGCCATCAAAATATGTTCATCTGATCAGTTTCACAGGATCCCTAGGGTCTTTCTCATCCATCTGTATCTCTAAGGCTACATGCTGTGCTCAAATGCTCCAGGCTTCTGAAAACCTTTTCCAACAGACTGAAGTTTCTTGGAGTTGAGGAGAGAAGCCCAAGATCTCATCTTTATCTTTCCTCATGGTCTGGGGGATAAATGGAAGCAGGCATCCATTAGCCTGGTCAAAAATGGAGAAATTGAGGTGCACTGCGTCCAAGTTTAGAGCCAGGAGCCTTCAAACTGCCCTTTCTGAGCTCCTTGGTGTCAGTTGTGGAGGGGCCTGGCAAACCTCACTGTGAAGTCTCTGCCCCCCCCCCCCGGAGGGTGACCATGAAGGGTATCAGGCTGGCACAAAACCTTTCGTGTAATGGAGGCTGGGATTGAGGTGAAGGAAAATCCTGAAGCACTTGGGGAGGGAGGACCTTTGCCTGAGGCCCCTTGCTTGAATGTGTTTCAGTTAAAATGGGAGCTAATGTCCTGGAGCAGTGACTGGATCAGAGACTAAGGCTGTAACCAGCTGTGAGGGGAGAATCAAGAGGACACCAGAGCTTTCTCCTCTTTTGAAAGTAGGGGCCCACTGCAAAGGGAGGAGCAAAAGGTTGAGAAACCAGGCCAGCAACAGGCTGGACCGGGCCACTGAGTCTACTGGCCCTGGTGAGGAGCTTTGGTCAGGCCGGGGAAATTCACCAGGAGAATAACCACGGAGTCACCGCAGACCAGGAGGGCCCCGTGTTCCTTTTCCGATCCCATGGTCTCAGGGTCTTCCTCCTGTGTATGGCGCACAGTAGAGGCACGCTGAGACCCGGTTCTGGGGCTCTGCACTGTCCTCTCGATGGAGAAGAGCGGGACCCCAACTTTGCAGCCTCCCCCCCTCCCCCCGCAGCATCGGGCGGTAGAGGTAGGTTGTGGTCACCAAAGCACCCGAGGCCCAGTCTTTGGTGCGGAAGGACGGTGGGCGTGGGTCGGAGTCAGGCAGGGTGTGGGTGGCCAAGTCTGCAGCTTCCTGAAAAGAACCCTCCGGGGAGGAAGCGAAGAGCAGGGTGCGGGAGATGGGTTTGGAGGCGAGAGGTGGCGGCAGTTTCCAGGCGCTTTGACGTAAACTCGAAGAGGCGCGGTGGCATTCAGGACGCTGGGGACAGTCGCTCGCCGAGGGAGCAGGCGGAGCGCGTTCTCTCCCCGCTCTCGAGGGAACACGAGAGAGCAAGGCTGGTGAGTGCGAGGGGAGGCTGCGGGCAGCCCCGGGGTGAGGCGAGGCGCTGGAGAGTGGGTCCCGCAGCTGCGCGGGGAAGGTGAGGCCGGGGGAGCAGTGCGGGGCCAGGGCGCGCCTGATGCAGAGCGAGGCTCCTAACGTGAGGGTGCGGAGGAGCCCGGCGAGAAAGAACTCAGAGAAGCACCCCTCTAGCCTCGGAGCATCCCTTCCTAAAGGAGCCTCCAGGGTAACGTGAGCTCTGTGGCCAGAGCCCAGGGCGCGCCCCCGACAGAGCCAACTTCAGCACCGCGGACAGCGTCCGCTCTCTGCCATCTGCGCAGCCCTGAGGGTTTAGAGTCCCCTCTTTTGAGCAGCAAGGTGGCCTGTGGTGAGCTCGACTTGGATATGCTAGCCTTGAAAAGAGTACCGCAAGAAGTAGAACTGAGATGCACACGATGTAGAATATAGTACGGAACACTTCGGGCATGATTTGCATCTCAAACGCCTTTCAGATCAGCAGGTGCACGTTCAGAGAGTTTCTCAAATGCTTGTCTGCCTCAGTGTGCCCTGATGCTGTGCAGAGAGAGGTACTAGCTAGGTGCTGCGTGGAACACTCTGACACACGAGCAGCCCCATAAGCATCTCTGTGGAAGGCTCTTGCCGTGGGGATGCTGACATTAGAAAGCTCGGGAAACATAAACTGGAACCGAGCACTGTGTGCCTTTCCTGTTTCTTCCTTATGATGAAATTTTTGAGTGTGACACACATTTACATAGTCTGAAGGGAGTCAGGTAAACTTTATTTTTCCCGGGAAATAGGTAACTGGCTTCCAGGACAGAATTTCTTCATTGCACTGTGAGAAGTGGTGACGTAAGAATCTTTTCAAGGTGATATGTGGGTTCTGTGAGTTTACTGTGCTAGACATTGAGGGCTCGGAAAGCTGGATAAGAGAGAAATGACTTTCTTTGAAATCCTTGAGGTTCACAGCAAGAAGAGAAAAATTAGAAAATGGTATTTTTATTACATTTACATCAGAATAGAGAAGCATTTTAGGTGCTTGTAAAATGTCCATTGACTACTCTAATGGGTTGAATGTATATTCGAGTTCCAAAATACATTTATCCATACTTTTAGAACCATACCTTTAGAATATCTAAGAGTATTTATCCATACTTTTAGAATCTTTTAGAACCTAGATCTTGTATTTATTTGTATTATAATATAATACTTATGGCTTTTTAAAAAATAATTAAGAGCTTCTGTAAATAAGAAAGCATACAAGGTTAAAATATATTCAGCTTTGTAATTGTTTAAGAATCTTGCTAAGGATGGATAGGTTTAAGATTCTTTTAAAAGTATTCTTTTGTACTAGAGGAAAAAAGGGTTTCAGTTTATTAGCCTTGCACATGAACAAACTGCAGAATGGTTCTTAGTCTAAATGTTTTGGTTTTATACCACATGCCTGACAACGAATCATTTTAGATAAAATTGGGCTTTTGGTATGGGAAGGATAAAGGTTTTTTTCTGCTTAGTGACCCCAGTGTGTTTTCTATGCCTGGACTAAGTTTCTTTAGGGGTCCTTATTTTCTCTCTTGAGTAGGACTGATGCATTTCCATTCTGTGATGTTGCAGGGCCATGGATGATCCTGGGAACAGAAGAGGGATGCGTTGCTCCTGGAGCCTCACCTGCTCCCTGCTCATTCTGGGGATGTGCTGTGTGTCTCCTTTCTTCTGTCACAGCCAGGCAGACCTGCTGGCTCTTGACCAAGCTGATCCTCAGTGCTGGGAATCCTCCTCAGTACTCCTACTGGAAATGCAAAAGCCTCGCATTTCCAACACTGTTTCGGGCTTCTGGGATTTTATGATTTACCTGAAGTCATCTGAGAACTTGAAGCATGGGGCCCTGTTTTGGGATCTGGCTCAGCTCTTCTGGGACATCTATGTGGACTGTGTCCTTTCAAGGAACCATGGCTTGGGAAGAAGGCAACTGGCCAGAGAGGGAGACACAGTGTCAGCAGCTCGGCCACAGCATGGAGAGGGTAAACAAGGTGGTGCTTCCAAGTTCCCATGCCTCCAAAAGGGTCAACCATGTACGAACATTCTGGGTGTGGGGAAAAGGGGCATGACTGTGGGGAAACCCAGTATCTCATGGATTCCCCTCAAGGGATCAATCTAAGAACACATGAGTGTGATGGTAAAGATAGAGAGGACATCATAGTGTCTGTTGAAATAAGTTGCATTTTATAGTAGGTATTTGTATCAGTATAGTGTTCTCACCTCATTCTTCATGTGAATAGCAGCAAGGAAAACCCAAGAATAAAAGAGAAAGTGTGATTTATAAAGGTATAAAGGCATTCTCTTGATCAAGACACTTTTTTACAATGAGCTTGAACACTGTCAGTCATAACTTGATATTTACCTGCCAAGGAATTAGGAGGACTTGAATACCAGGCAGGGGAATATTTGTGACACACAGACGTCTCTTTAAATTGAGAAAGCATTGCTTTTGTACAAGTGGAGGATCTTTGAAATGTACTCAGTTGATGAAGTAAAGAGTGAAAAAATCTGCTGGCATCTTTTCCACTCTTTGTTCCTTTTTGAAGTAATTAACTTTAGGTAACTAAACTTTAGTTAAGTTGGACTTCATAAACATTTACAGAGTTTCACTGAAATGAGCATATAATCAAATATAGTGTTCTCCAGGATATAAAAGAAATATTCCCCATAAAATTAGACTGAGGGCCTGCAAATCCTTGTAGGTAAGCAGAGATTCCCTAGCCTTATTCATATTGCCTTTTTTAAAAAAAATCCTCTTTGGTGTCATTTCAACCAGTGGGTTTCCCAGGCTTGTAACAAGCACTGTTTAGGTGGCAATAACTCTTCAGAATTATTTATATGCCACTGGAAAATCTGGCCATAACTAATTTTATGACTAGTGGCTCTACTGGGCTCCAAATATTCCAGTAATTACTCTATTAAAATAATAATGAACACTAGTAGTTCTAGCAGTATCCTTTCTTTGTATTATGTAGCACTTATACACAAGAGATGATTGAAAAATACAATGAACTTAAATTTTTAAAAAGTTACTACAGTACAAGATGCATTGCCATTCATTCTCCTGAAAAACACTTCCCCATCCTTTGGACAGACTCAAGCAATCAGTCTCGCCATTTCATGAAGCAGTGCTGGAAGTTTTCTTTCATGAATATTTTTATGAAGTGAGAAGATGAAAAATGCATTGTAGGTGTCATCCAAAGGAAAGGCGAGCTCTTAAAGCCCTGATGGTGTGTCCCATCCACCTCGGTCACCGGACCTGGCACTGTGTACCTTGTAGCTCCTCCCCAAAGCCGGAAGGACTGTGAAAGATGAACACTGAATTGAAGCAGGGCCTCAAGGCGCCTATGACAGCTCAATTACAGATGCAAAGAGGACTTCCGGGACTGTCCAGGAAGGGTGAGAACGAGAGGACAGGCGTGTTTCAAGCCAGGGGAGTCTTTTGTGAGGGATGGATGGCGAAGCTGCTTCTAGGGTAATGTTGAAAAACTTAAACTCATGGTAGTTTAGATCACACCTTGGATATATAGTTTGCTTCAACCTCAGCAACTAAATATCCTCATGATTTCCTGGTCTACAAAACCAGATAATTTACGGCTATTCTTTATAGGTAAATTTATTATTTTGGTAGGTATAATTGTAATATACTCTGATTTTACTTTTAGAAAAATTTTATATCAATAGCTTTGGTGTGCTGAACTCAGATCATCAACAATACTTTTTCATCTTGCACTCACTTTGAGTAACTTTGAAAAATGTAAACCAACATTTTCGGGGTATGGGCCCGTTACAGGAAAATCTCATTTGTGGTCAGTTGAACACTGCAATGACACCTGTGACATTTCTCCAAGTCAGCTTCTCCTTTGGAAGCCATTTCCTTCTGCTGACCGCAGAGCTGCTAGCTTCTCGGCCAGCCCCAGACTTTAGTGAGAGTTGTTCTGTGAGACCCTAAGCGTAGAAGTGACGTTTTCACTTCCGTGAAATTATTTTAATGCTTAGCTCAGACAATTGTTTGTAGATCAGGAAATAAGACTTCTCATTTGGTCGGTATTATCACAAAGTGTTTCTTGGGTCAAGGAGATGGATGTCTAAAGATTAACTAGTTACAGAACATTGAGATTCCCTTTCAAGAGGCTCAATCAAATCTCTAGTGGCTCTGACGGGCTCTAGATGTACCAGCATGGCACACTGATAATTTTTTTCTTTTGTCTCTGGGGGATAATATGCTGCCAGATAGGGATGACAGTGAGGGTGAAGAGGTATTTGTCCCTACAGTTCCTGGGGGGAAATTGTATCATCAGGACAGGAAGGGAAAAAAACTAAAATAAGTATCCACATAGTATGAAAAAGTTCTTGTTGTTTTGCGATCTTTAAATCAAATATTTTCAATGTACTTACAAAATCATGCTTTGCTAAAACACATAATCATATAGTTCTATATGTGACTATCGTGTGTTTGAATATACTTCTACAAATATGAGAATAAGAGATATCAAATAGTTAGGTAATCTTGGGCAAATTAATTTGTATATTAGCTTTCAGTTTCTTCATCTGGAAGAAAAGAATATGAAAGAAATTAGGTAACTTTCAGTCTCTTCATGTTCTCTCTTCTAATGTTCAATGTTTCTATGAAAAGAAATGTATATGGAAGGTACTTAACTCTACAAAGTATAGAAAGACCTTTACCCTAAAGAGCTGAGCGATAACTTGGACAGCATGGTTGTTTTTACAATGAAAAGCAGCAAAGAAGTCAGCCTGGAAATGAAAATTCCAGAAATTCTAAGGGCTGGAGATGATACGATGGGAAAAAAAAGACTCTAAAGATTATCATTATTTAGTCTAGAAAGGCATTTGCTTATAGTCTAACTGAACATCAAAGTATCTGGAGGAAGGTGTAAAGACAAAGTTCTCATACTTAATCACTAAATTCCGGAGAGAGAAAGAGAGGAGAGACAAATAGACAGAGAGAGACAGAGAGAAAGAGAGAGAGGAGAGAGAGAGAACTAAAGAAAATACAAGTCCTGACTGTAAGAGTATAGGTTAATTTATAGGGTGGTATTGGCTTCAATGCAGACGAACACACGAAGCAGTTTTAAAGTACAACAGAAAAATCAGCCTTACCAGGCCTGGCTGTTTGTATGTTCTAGAAAATCTGCGTCTTTTCTCTGTGATGAGCAAATTATAATCTAGATTTGTAATCTGATGATGTCTGCAGTTGGTATCTGACTAACCAGCAAATGTTCCGGTGCTTAGTTTTTAATAAGTTGACTCACGAATGCTGAATTTTCAGCTTTACTTATTCTAATACATTTCCTAAGTGATATAATCAGCAATGACCAGTCTAGAAATTTGTTCTAAGGGAACATTTGGAGGTGCGGACTGTAAGACAGTTCATTGTAATATCATTTACAGTAATAGAAAACCTAGAAATAAGCTGAGTGCCTCGCAGAGGTGATGTTGAAATGAATCCTGGTATGATGTATGTGTACAAAGTTAAGATGACCTCTGGAGGATTATACTATGGGTGTTTTGAAATGTTTCCTTTATATTTCTACATTAAAAATAATATAACAGCCATTTGAACTTTTAAAGTAAGAAATATCTTAATGTATACTGACAAAAATATTTATTGTAATTTATGTAATTTAGATTATATAACTAGACTGCATAAGACATAAAACTTTTTGTGAATACAAATTTGCATATATAACCCTACAATACATTTATAAAATTTTGATAGTAGAATGGGCAGAAACAGTAATTTTTCTTCTTAAAAGGTTTACTGATTAATCTGAAAATTACTATTAATCTAAAAATAGTTTAATAACCTTATGAAGTTCCTTTTCTCTATTTGCAGGTGTATATTCTCAGCTCCTGAGAAGCCCTTTCCTAAAGAAGAAGGAGTTAATCGAAGATTTGATAAGCATGCGTATACGCAGGAGTGGGTCTAGATTTGTTGGAAAAGTGAAACTGGAAATAAAGAGAAAATAAATCTAACCTCTGAACTAATTCATGCCATGGAAATAAATATATGCATATAATATTATAGACACATAAATATTTTTTCTTAACTACTGATATTTATTTATTTTAAATTGTGGAAATGTCCAGAGATAAATATTCAACCAAGTTCTCAAACAATGCTTATTCATTCTTTTAGGCATGTTCCTTCCAAAGGTGACCACTGCTAGACCATTCTATTGTCTAAACAAATTAAGTAACTTCCAAAGATGATTTGGGAATGGAAGACTCCTAACTCTTGGTATTCATCTGATAATTTATTTTGGAATCTGACATTATTAATGACCCAGAAGGTCACACATTTAATGCATTAAAAAATACTGCATGAATTCCAAGCTATTAACCACTGAATTGCTTATTCAATAGCGTATAAGAGAGCTAAATATATTAATACCTGTTACTGATAACCTGTGATGCTAAATCTTGTTTGACAGAATATTTTTGAATACCAAATGAAGCAACAAATAAAACAAAAACCTGGGGAATAAGACATTCATTTAAAGGAAATAAAATTAATAGAAGTTCTGGACCCCCATTTATGTTATTGGAGTTTCTTTATTTCAATATTTAAAGTTTACCAGTAATGATGTCTAAACTCTAATAAAGCAGAGTAAGTATAAACTATCTCCCAATTACACATTTGTTGTTTGGGTAAATATTAAAAATTAAATATTAAAAGTAAATATTAAAACTCTATAATAGTTATACTTTGCATTTAAAAACAAAATAAGATTAAAATGCACAACATTATAATAGAAGAACCTGTAAATATTTTTTCCCTGAAAAATGACCAGGCCTGGATGAGAGTCCAAGCAGTGCCATTGGATTAGCGAGTTTCTCAGAGCTCCAGACACACTGTTATTTTTATTTCTAATTGTTCCTATGTCTCTAATCATTCTCTTATAATCAATGATGGACTTCAGATACATTAGTAATTCTCTAGCTTCTTACAGGTTCCAAAAAAAATCCTCAGTAAATGTTTCACTGAAGGTTTGGGGTCCTCCTGAAGCTAGAAATCTCATCGAAAGCATTATTCTACAACAGCTTCATGGGAGGCTCAGCCCAGTCCTTACAGTGGGTGAAGACAGCCTGAGGAGGAGCCGGGGAAGGAGACCCTGCCTCATGCTTTGGTTGACCGCATGAACATGAGCATTAAAGCAGCTGCCAGCCTCTGGCTGCCTTTTCCACATAAGCTCATGGTTTCTCCTTCACGACGGTTCCCCTAACATCTTCTCTCACATTCTTCAAAACCATCTGGTAAACCCATTCCTTCTCCTGTGTCACTGAGAAGATGCTGTGCTCGGGCAGTGGAGCCTGCTCGGGCTCCTCCTTGGCATCCTTTCTGCCAAGAGTTGGGTCTTAAATATAATCAGAGTGGCTTTGTGGGCTTCAGCCTCCGCAGTGGCTAACTCTGCAGGCATTGGCAGAACAAAATAAATTATAACAACATATGCATCCAAGGAAACAGTTGGGTTTCAATCAAACTTTCTTTGTGGACCTTGAATTTTGAATCAACAGAATTTTCAGGTGTGAAATATCTTTTCTGACCATTAAAAAAAATGTAACAGCCACTCTCAGCTCATGCCTCATGCAGAGCAAGTGTCGGGGAAGATTTGGCCCACGTGATAGACACGGGGTGTAGACCCGAGCTCTGGTCGTGGAACTTCGTATGGAACACCCTGGCCTGGAGGAAGGAAGGAGAGGAGACATCTGAAACAGAAATGCACAGTAAATATTTATGACAGGCGGGAAAGCAAATTTAAAAATATCAGGACGAAATTAAGCATGGATAGCCTAGTCCTAATTCTGTCCAATGGGATATTATTTTACTCTACAAACACCACTAGGAATTATAGATTATACAAGTAAAAATCAACTAATCAAAGTAGTGAAATCAACAATATTACTGGTAAAAATTACAAAATAGTGATTTGAGTATGGGCTCCTGAACTGGGTTCAAATCCCAACTTTAGTTCCAGCCAAGTGATTTAAATAAACTGTTAAATTTCTTTGTGCCTCACTTTCCTTATAAAGTGACATGTCTGTTTCTTAGCTCTGTTGTGAGGACTGAACCAGTTAGTATCATAGGTGCTTAAAACTGAATGTTCCAATAGTCAGAAAGCATCAGCTCTTACTTCGAGCATCAGTTGAGTATCTATAACCTGACCCAACATACAGAGAATACAACCCAGAGTTATATTTGTGAAATTCATCAGATGTGACGTTTTAGAGGGAAACACTGACATAAGGTTAAAAACCTTTGAGATACTTATTATAGGAGATGCTACATAGAGGCACATCTGTAACCCTTTCTCCAGCTTCCCCCAAGAACATTCTACATAACTGTAACACAGAACCACAATGAGGGAACTGACACTGGTGCAGTCCAAATTTCTACATGTACTCTGTGCACACCTGAGTGCGTGCAAGTGTGTGCATGTGTGCACATGTCTACGTGTATTACGTTCTTTACTAAGCCCATGCTTCAGCCAAAGTGTCCAGACATAGACTAGGTTGTCAACTTGGTCACTGAAATGGTATCTGAAGGAGATCGTACAGTCACGTAGCTCACACGCTTGAATATCACTACCAAAATGTTCAAAGTAAGAACATTTCTTCTTCTGGAAACCGAGCTCCCAGGATGGGCTGTGTGGCTCCTCTACCCCTCGCCCTTGAGGCACTGAGAACTAAGACACATAATAGGGAATTTTTTTAAAAAAGTCTTTATAATTCACATCAACTCTTAAGAGAGAGAGGTAGCAGGCTCAGTTTTTTAAAACTCAGATTCTGAAAGAGCATTTATCATCATACCAAGGGGCCTTTGAGCTCGGACTCTCACTTCAAGTTGGGCAAGGTAACTTGACCCACAAGAGCAGAGAAAGCCCTGCACACCCGTTCGGCGCCTTCATACAGATCTGTTCTCACTGAAGACCCGGGACCTGCAATCGACAAACGGGAGAACACTTCAGAGAAAAGCACCTTTAGGTTCTCAGGTTGATCTGGACAGATGCTACACAAACAACTCTTCTCGCCTTGGTTCCCAAGAACAGCACCCTTTCTCTACGCAGGCTAATAGAATAAAGTGGCTCGTATTTACCACTATCATTATTACTGTTGTGGGTTAGGTGGAAAGTGTCCTCCACAGGTCTCCTGTGACTGGGTTACGCAGGCACTGTGTGTATCAGTTCACAGCTGGCCGCTGTGAGGGGGTCAGCCTGGTGGGAACAGGCAGGCTTCTGGGCATGTGATCAGGAAACGTATATTCTCACCCCGGCTCCTCCCTTTTCTTCCTGCTTTCTGGGTGCTATGACAGCTACCCTCAGAGCAGCTATCCTCAGCCAGGCCATTCCACCGGGTCATTTCTGCCTCTGAGTCAGCCAACCATGAACTGAACCCACGGACACTGTGAGTCAAGATGAACCTCTTCTCCCTCCAGCTATGCGTGCTAGGTATTTTGTTTCAGCAGGAAAGTGACTAATTACTGACTCAGTCTTGGTGCAGGTTCTTCAGGTACATTTTTCTTGTGGCTCTAACACAAACCTACAGAGCTAGAAAGCCCATGTCAGAGCAGTGTCTCTCAGACTCTGTTGTATACGAGAATCACCCGGAAAGTATTAAGACAGATTGTTGATTCTCTCGGATAGGTCTCTGAGGTGCAAGCACTGTGAGTACACAGTCCACCTGCTTCCTTCCCGGGAAGCTGGGACTTGGGGTTTATTTATACTTAGGCTTTGTGGGATCCTGGAGGAGGAGCCATGGCAAGTGCTTTCGTGCTAGTCCAATCCACCGTCTTTCTCGTGCACCGATCCTGCCACCCTCACCCATGTTCCCTTATCATCACAGAAACATACATGGCAAGTAGATACCAAAAAAGGAAGGGAACGTGCTGCCGGGAGTGACCTTGGTGGGGAGTGAGGGTGGCGTAGAGGATGAGAAAGATTACTCGGAGACCAGACCTAGTTCAATCCACCAAGAGGCCCCGAGGTGCTATTTCTCAGCCAAGAGCACTCAGCCCTCAGGGAGACTCCCGAGAGAAGGAAAAAAATGTATTGAACACATTTTCAAATCTGATTTCCTTACTACAACTTTTAACCAAAATGCCCAACACTGATTTTCAATCCAACATTTAGACAGGAAAGAGTTTTGGGGGAACTCCTTCTATATAACTTTCTCTTTTCCGTTTTATTAAGCTCTCACAGTCTCTGGAAATCTCATTATCTCAGATCTTGATGCTGACTAACTCTGTTCAATTGATGTCAGGTTTGATAATGATAATCAGGTTTGCTGTTTTAATACAATGAGGCCTTTAAGTAACAAAAAGGTCATTTTAATTTGCAAAATGTGGAGGCATCTCAGCAAAACACCATCAAAAGGGCTATCAACTCCTAGAATAATCACCATGCCTGTGGCTCTGTGGACACTCTGAGTACATATCACAACGGATATTTCTAATTTTCATAACCATCCTCGAATTAAGCAAAACCTGGGAGAATAAAGTGACCACAAACTTCCAGCTGTTATCTGACACTTGCATGATACAGACAGAAGTCAGCAAAGGAAACAGACCTTATGTTAGCTGGCTTCCTTCCTCACAACTTTGTAAATGTGGTCATGATGATACTTCTGGCTGTGATTAAATCTGGTGTATTTTGGTAAGCATGTACAAATTGTGTATAAATTAAGGAATATATTTTCATAATCTATATTGCAATAGGTAAGTGGAATTTGAAAACAGGATCATCAATAGGAGATTGAAAAAGGACCCAAATTTAGTTAGAAGGATTTGAATGATGAGTGATAGAGAGTGCAAAAAAGCAACCATGAAGATTAACAAATATTCTTATGTCTTATGCTTAATGGTCTAGAATAAAGAAGGCTAACATAAAAGAAATAATACTATAAAATTTAAATACTATTACAAAATAAAGATTGCTATAATAACAAAAAGTAGATGAGTATCTTCTTGCTAATACCAGAAGCTTGTTTATAAGCATACTAAAGCACCTCAGTAATTTTGTTGAGATTGTAAATGCAGATAGGTGAATTTTGAGGGTTATTTTAAAAACTGTACAAGACTAATACCAGTAGTTTATTTATACATCAGTGTGCACGGTTTATCATACCTTTCTAAATTACATCATATGAATTTAGAAATACACCTTTCTGTCTTGTGATTGTCTTCTTAATGGTATTGCGGTACCTGTACAGATGGATATAGGTATATTCACATACACAGAATTGATATGTCACTTAAAATATGCATGAATCTTTAATACCCTTAGGTATTAAACTGGACAAATGTTGTGATACTGTTTTCCAAAAAGGAGTAATAGATTCAATTTGTTAGGAGCCTGCAGTGTACATTATTATGATGACATTTATAAGGTTTGACCCAGCACAGTTTGAGAAATCAGAAGCTTTTATCAGGCCATTTGCAAAAACAAACAAACAATAAATAAATAAAATCAAGACAAAAATGTCAAAGACTAAAAACTTTTCCATAGTGCCTACTTTTTATGTGAAATTTTCCTTAAAAAGTCAAGTGGCTGTTGACTTAGCTTTGGATACTTATTCCAGCCCCAAGGATGTTTAGATGGAAATACAATGGGTGAAATTTTATGTTGGTTTAAGAATCAAGAACAAGGTGTTCTCATCTACTGTGCTCCTGCCCTCCCAGCATGCTTCTGGCGTCTCAGTTTATTTGAACACTGAGATTTTAACTCCAGCTTCCCTTACTGTAGCTTTGTAATTCACCCAAGGAATTATTTCATAGATGTGGCCCTGGTAAGGTCTAGATAACTGACATTATTCTGTGCCCAGTGTATGGTTCTCCAATTGTCACGACTTCAACTGTGTCTTTATCAATTCGTTCACTGAAGTCTTAACTCCGGTACCTCTGAGTGTGGCTGTATTTGGAGGAAATATCTTTAAAGAGATATGAACTGAAAGCGAGTTTATTGAGATGGGTGCTATTTCAGCATGGCGGCACAAAGACGTACACAGAAGGGACACCATATAAAGACACAGGTACAAGGTAGCTTTCAACCAGTCTCCACGGCCGTCCTCGTCCCTGACCTCACCCTCCTCCTCCTGTTTACTTTCTTCTTTCTTCTCCTGCTTCCTTTTGCAAGGGGTGGGGGTTTAGGTCAGTTAATCTATGATACTTTGTATGGCAGCCCTGGAAAACTATAAATAAATATACCAACTCAGAAATATTTTCAGGCCTCCTCTGAGAATGCAAACGCATGAGACAATGTTATTCATCAATCTGTCACAGATACCTAGATAAATCACAAGTCTCCAACATAAATAATCTTTAATTTTCTCAAAAGGATAGAGATGTATTCTAAACTAGAAATAAGGCAGTGTCACTCCACAACAAAAGAAAATATTATAGTAAAGGATGTTTTTAATAAATCCTGAAGAATTCAACAATGGATTCTGAGTGTGGTAGGTTTCAGCCATAAGCTTCTAAATCGGACGATGCTGTGCTAATGCAAATCCTAAATCAGTGCTCCCCTAGGAAGAGAGCAGCATTATTGTCCCTACTTTTAAATGGTGACACGGAGCTGCTCAGTTATATATACCCGAAAGTTACTGAAAATAATAATGGCATTAAATATTTATATAACGATTAATATGTGCCATGTGCCAGACTACAGTCTTGCATGGTTTATCATCTTTAACACTCAGAGTAATATTTAAGTCAATATTAGGAATCAGGTTCAGAGATGCTACGGATACCCCAAAGATTCAGAACTCTGATGCACTCTAACTCTAGCCATCAGACTAGACTTCCTCACCATCACTGTTTGCCCTGCCTGAAGACCTTACCTGATGGCATTTCCAGACTGAATGCATCCGTGAGCTTCGACAGTAGTTCCTGTAGCTCCTCTTCCTCTGGCTCATCCTTTCTTTCTGCAGTGTTGACTAGCTCTTTCCTTCCCGCAGAGGCCAGAGCAGTGCTGGTCACTTCAGTTGGAGGGACCTGGGGCTTGTCCTGCATCAGTCTCTGCTGAGAACCAGGCTGGGACCTGAGGATTTCCTTTGGTGTCTTCTGTATGTAGCTCTGAGCCTTGGTGGTTTGCACCGCAGTTGCTAGTGACTGTGGATCTGGTGGAGCTTGGTGTACATCTGCTTGGCTTCTGTCAACCAGGGCAGGGTGAGGAAGAGGCGTCCAGCCCGGGCCACCCTCAGTGATGCTCTCCATCTGGGAAGAGTCTCTTCCCTTCCCAAACCTATCAGCTGAGGGATCAAACTTGGACACTATATGTTGGCAGGAAGATGAAGAATGGAATGGCTGCAACATCGCCTGGGTAAAGAAAAACTGTTAATAAAAAATTAATATTTTTCTTTTTCACAAATGCATTAAATTTTAATATTCCAAATGTGACATGTTTGGTTTTCCTCTACATATATTACTCATTTTATTTTACACTGTTAATTCAATGAAGATCTAAAATTCTCTAAAAGATTGGATCACTTCAGATTGTAAGAAAAACATATAACATAATCACAAGAAATTTGGGGAAAAAATTTAAGTTCTAAAAAGCTCAAGTTCTAAAAATGTTCTGAGGAATTTCTCAAAACGTAAGCATATGTTGGGTGATAGACAAAACTTACCACAATAAAATGTTCATAGTAATTGGTTTTACAATAAGCCGAAAATCTAGGGTGCGTTCCTGTGTTAAGCATAGTTCTCAGAGAGGATCCACAGCCCTGGGAATTCCTGAGATCCTATTAGGTGTTGATGAAATAAAATGATTTGCATAAGGACTCTGTGGTGTATTTGACTTTCATCACAGTGACCCCTGCAATGCTGGTATAAAGTCACCAAAAAGTGTGGCTCTGGATGCCTTAGCCGGGAGCCAGGCAGCATCAGCATAGGATCATACATGACCAAGTCAGGAAAAGAGGTGATTTCACCTATGGTATCTGATGGAGTAGCAAGAGTTCTTAGTTTTCTTAAGAATAAGAAGTGTGTCTGAGGGGAAGAGAGGCGTGCACACAACTCTGGAATGCAGACCACGCTGCAAACATTGCCTCCTGTGCCAAAGAAGACTGACAGATTAGACGTGGGCATCTGCTAAATATTTCCTCAAAACTGAACAAACCAAGAATGTCACTGCAGGGAAAATGATGGGCTGCCTTCGTGGTCAATTATCACACTTAAGGTTTCAAGCAAGCACTAGAATTTTAGAAAACTGGAATCTACCATCAGGAGCTTGATAGCTTTCCAATCCTTGAACGTTTTTCTGATAGAATTACTGGTGACATTAACGAATGTGAATTTCTTTTGATTCGAGGCAATGAAATTTAAAGGCTTAGAAAGCACAGCATGGCTCAGTGAGCCAGTATCTTCCAAATGACTAAAGTATGTGGTTTAATAAAAATCATGCATAGGTAGATCTATTAAAGAGTGTATTAGAAAACTATTTGAATGAAACTATTTTTATGAAGCCTTTAGATAAGGCTTCATATTCTGTATCATGACTATCCTCTAAGAAATTATTTTTATTATGTTTTGATATAGTAGCAAATAAAAGTATCCTCAGTCATCTGAAAGGCTATGAAAATACACTTTTTTTTCAACTGCAAATCTATGTGAGGCCCTTTTCATTCTCTTCAATCAAAAAAATCTTATAGCAGATTAATTATGAAAGCCATTTGTAAATTTAGCGATCTTTTACTAAGCCACATATTAAAGAGATTTCTAGAAAACATAAAATAATGTCACCTAAAGTTTTAAAAAAGGCAGCTATTGTTTTAAAATATTACATGTGCAGTGAGTTTATTTTTATTTTTGAGTTAGTTAATCAATATATCTCATATACTTTGCAGTTTTAATTCTGAGTATGGTAAACAGCAACAGATGTAACTCACAGAAACAAAAGCTCCTTGGGGTGCCCCCAAATTTTTAAGAGCATGTAAGGGACCCTGAGACCAAGAGGTTTAGGAACCACTGCTGCACAAAACTGCTTTGCCCACGACTTGATCCTTCTAAATGGGACCGTCCTGCTGTCTTTCAGCAGCGCTGCTTTGAGGCAGGGGACGGATACAATGTGGGGCGCAGAGGTGGAAGAAGACCCAGGCATGGACAGGTCAGTCAAGTGAGGCAGAGGCTTTGGGCAGGGCCCCACCTTGCCTGGAGGACTTGATCTTAGACTTCTAGGCAGTCCATGCATCCAGTGTCTCCCCCATTTTATACCTGTATGTCCTGCCGCATCTGCTGCAGCTTGGAACGCAGACTGTCCTGGTGACTGGTGAGTTCCTGAATCTTTGTCTCAAATCTGTCACACTTTTCTTTCTGGAAGGTGTAGAGCGCTCGCAACTTGTCTTTGTATCGGTTTAACTGCTTTTTAAGGAGCCTGAAACGACAAAGGGTTTGAGTGGTACTGACCAGCAAGAGGCCAGCACTCTGCCTGGAGCCCTGGCAAGCCGTCGGCAGGTCCCTGACTGCTATCTAACAGAGATCAGTTCGGTTCCGTTTCTTCACCAAGTCCAGCTGCCCTTTGGGTCCATCATGTATGCAGTTCCTCCAGAGGCTGTACTAGCACATTTGGATTACTTCTGACAGTGGACTTTCACCAGCTACTCAAATAGTAGTTCTGAGTTTATCCACCATTCTTTTGTGTAGAAGGACTCCGCTCAGCAGGGTGATTCGGCCCATGTGGCTAAATACCAAATATTTGGTCCAGATCACAGGGAAGGAACAAGAATTTGGCGCAGGAGTGGTGGGTCTGTTTGGGTTTTTCTTCCTGTCTAGGTGTTCACTGACTTAAAAATGAACCAGTGAACATGTTTCCTCCTCTGCTCAAAGCCCTCAATGCCCACCCCCCCCCCCCCTTTAGAGCAAACCGGAGCCCTGCCAGAGGCCAGCAAGCTCACCAACATAGCCAAGCTTCCTTTCCTGTCTGATCTCTGCTTTTCTCGCTTGCTTACTGCCCCTCAGCCAGGAGCGCTCCTGGTTCCTCTCTCTGATTCTCCCACAACTCACTCCCCATGTGTTCGAGCCCCTGCTAACTTATTTACATTCTATAACCCAGAGTCCCAGCTGTACTCTGGCAGGCCTGTCCCCTGCCTTGCTTGCTTGGTCTCCATGTCTAACTGCTAGGAGGTTGACAGGATCTTGGGGCTTTTGTCATGAGCACCAGCCTTTAATCTTTTTGACCGTCACACTGTATGACACACTGCATGTTTTACTCATTATGTTACTTAGACATTATTCAATTTCTTTTTTGCTTACTCTCTCCTGATTCTAGCAGATTGGCCTATTTTGTTTATTACTATGTTCTCAGGGTTCGGACTAAAATAGTCCCTGTCACATAATACATAAACAATGTAAATGGCCTAATATAATCTTTATTCTTTAATCCATGCTGATGGCATTTTTGCAGAATTTGTATATATTTGTATATATTGGTCTTCTGGTATGAAAAGCAACATTTCTCAAAGTTAACACCTTTGAATTTCCCAACTTCTGTTATCTTGGAGAGGTCTTGGAATGTACTTGGGGCTCCCTCCAAACCAGGGTCTCTGAATGAGTCCTCAAACTTCCAGTCACTTCCAGGGGAGGTAGGAGTCTAACTCTAACCTATTTAACTGTGATCGCAGAGTTGAATGTGCACAGATGATGGGTTTACAGGAAGGAGTCAGTGCAAGGGTTTAATGTAACTGACAACGAAGAAACACTCTTGCGCCTTACTGACAGCACTCTTGGGGCCTAAAGTGTTGTGCTTGCTTTGACCATGAGCAATGACAGTCTCGCTGTCTCCCGTGTTGTCGGTAACCCACATCCCTTCCTCTTTGGCCAACCCACCACACTTGAGCAGCCATGGACAGACATATGCCCCAGCCTTCTGCATTCCAGGATAAAGAAGATAGAGCCCCATCAGAAATTGATTCTTTCTTCCTCTGATTTTTGAAACACATGTTCCAGGAATGTTAATAGTCCTTGCAACCAATACTATTAAATCAATACTGTTGGAGTCCTCCAAGGAAGGTCTTTGTTGGTTACCAATGCATCGAGTCATCATTTACCAAATATTACAGGCACAAGAAAAGCAGGGAAGCAAGCAACTAAAGGGGAACACAGCACAAAACGATGACAAACCCTAGCAGCAGATTTCTCCAAGTCCTTCTAATTGCATAGCTGAGTCCACTTTGGGCTTGTGCTACACTGAAGACCTCTTGAAAAATGGCAAAGCAGAAGTCCAAAATATAAACGTTTTTGTTTACAAACCTTTAGTCATGTCTTTATGCTGGTAACTTCCCATTATTGAATGGTAAGATTTGGCAGATTTGGTAAAATTTGGTAAAATCCTTCTTCCTTTCTGATAGGGCTCTATCTACTTCATCCGGGAATGCAGAAGGCTGGGACATATGTCTGTCCATAGCTGTTCAAACCTGAGCCCATCAAACAAACTATGGGGCCCCAACATCCCACAGCCTTCAGATCTGAGGGCTAAGGCTTGGCACCAGTACCTGGGCTATCAGCACTGTTTCAGGTTAACATGGTGTGATTTAATTATTTCATTCTTTATAAGAAGGCTGTTTTTCTTTAAAGCAGAGATTCTGATGCAGTGTTTCTAGTAAACACAACTGACGTGAGACAAATATTTTCAGCAACCGAGAGCCCAATACTTTCCAGGCAAATATCTGCTATTAATAAGCAGCTGAAATTATCTGAGAAATAATTCCTCCCAGATGACCTGAAATATGCTTTCCAAACTGTTAGATCTTTATATGTATTTCAGCTTTCAGAGCTAGGCAACTTGAATCATCCTAGGTATTACACATTAAAAACTGGTGATCAACTTAATGCCAGCTGAATTAAATCAGCACGGTGCTGAGAGTAGATGGCCCACCTGAGGAAAGTTGCCAGCATAAATAGAAATGTGGAGAAGATGAGTGAGGTGTTGTGCGTTTCTCTAAGTGTTACTGTTTGAGCTGTTGGTTCTCCTGGAGGAGCTCGTCATGACTAGCTTCTCCAGTGTGATTTCGAAGATTGTCACTGGAGGAGCACGGGATCTTGTTGGTGAGAATGGTTATGGTTCACTTTGGGAGAGCTCTGGTCCTTACATCAAGCATAGCTTCCTGGCTCTGGAGTGGAAGACATGTGCCATTGAATCTCCAGGAGAAACTCATCATGCTGGCTTCCTGGCATGTACTCTACTGTTCTTATCGCTGTAGGAGCTTGGGGCCTTCCTGTCGCTGAGGATGGCTGTAGTACTTTTCAGGACAGCCCTGGTCCTTATTTTGAGTGTGACTTCTCGGCTCCAGTGTAAAACTCTCAACCTACTGGCATGGCTCCTTCACCCCACTGGCATAGACTTTCTAGCTTCCACCACTGACCTTTGGCCCTTTCTGGCACAGATCTATAAAAGAGACTGGTATGAGTCCTTCTTGTGGGCTCTAGAACTCCAGTTGGACCCATGGGAGGCACTGGCATGAGCTCTGGGTCTTCATCTGTACTTACGTGGGACATTGCTGTGTGATTCAGGCCCTTGACTAAATATTCTATGTCTTTGGTGTTGTGGATAGTTTTCCTGCATTTACTTGTGTTCAACTCTGGGTGACCATGATAAAATAATATTAAAAATTCTGTGTCCTGATTCTAATTGTTCTCTGTACAACCCCTGACTACAACCCTAGGATTTTAAAAGGAACCCAGGGGCCAAAGATAGTTCAGTGGCATAAGCACCTGCCTGACAAGTGCAAGATCCTCAGTTCAATTCCCAGTACCAAAAATAAATAAGTAAATAAATAAAATTGAAAGGAAACCAGAGGTCCCCAAGGCAAGCTAATCAGGCACAGAGCAGGGAAGCATGACCTCCCTTGGTGAGTTCTGAGCACAGTTAGAATCATAAATGGGCAACCATTGGGTAACCATTGAGTGATACGATTTCTGTCAGTAATGTCTAAAACTGTGTTGTTTTTTCAAATAATCACTGACACAACGCTGGCTATTACTGAACTTGGCAGTCAACTACATATCTTAGGTCTTTTTCACGCTACTTATGGACCTGGACCTACAACTATAGGACTTCTCTCTAATGTCTTAAAATTTGGTCTTTATTAATTATTCCTCTGTTTGAAATCTTACTGATTCTAAATTGTTATTTGGCTTGTTAGCTATACCTTTTTGTATCATGTAACATACAGATGCAAGAGCCCACGCCATCTACAAATTTATCCAAGACTGACAAAAATGATGGTGTAGCCATGCATAAGGATGGCCCCTTACTTTGCTTTTCATTTATTAAAAAGCTCCACATTTTGTATAATAAATATTTTCTTAGGATACCAATGGTGTATGTGGGAGATTTGGATTATATGTAAGGAAATAATTTAATTAGAAGGAAATATTTTTAAACAGTTATTTAAAAATTAATTTTTAAATAATACATTTCAAAATTGTTTTTGTTTCTATACTTTCAGTTTCAAAACAGCCTTTTAATATCATTTTTTAAGCTTTGGCTTTAATTTCTTTTCCTTACTCCATGAAAATGATCAGAATTATTTTTAAAATGTCAGTTATTTAAGTACTTTAAAAGTTTCTTGAGCAGCTTTGCATGAGTTATCACAGAATTTAAAAATACTCCCTTTCATTCATTTTCATTATGAAGTATTTGTCTTCTTATGTACACATACAGAATCATTAATTTACTGAGCCTCTCTTGTGCCTGAAAATGCATGTCTTCTCAGAGAAGCAACTTCTGATTGTGAGTCAGAAATTCTGTTTTCTAAAGGAATGACTAGAGGAGACACAGGCTTAAGGTCTGTTCCCCAAGACACAAAAAGAAAATGGTAGAGTTTCCAATCAACCAAACAAACCTGGTAAAAAGTTAGGTGCTTTGAAAGGAAGTATACTGATTTTTGTAGAAATAATGAAAATACATACAAGCCTGTTTTTGTGGTTGAATCAATATATAAAAGAATCAAAATTTTATAGAAAGTGCTTCTCCAGCTTTCAAGGAATAAATTTAGGTAATCAAAAGTAAATCTTACTATACCTAGTGACATGACTTTTATTATGGCTACCTATTCAAGTGCAGTCAAACTTCTCTTTCACCTTAATAATGGAAACACAGGACTTCTGCACTTGAAGAATTTATTCCAATTTTTAAAAAGTAAAATTTTGTGGGTTTTTTTGGTACCGGGGATCAAACTCATGACTGCGCCCTTGCAAGGCAGGCGCTTATGCCGCTGAGCTAAATCCCCAGCCCTGAAAATGTAAAAACCTTTATAGAACATTTTTCTATACAACCTAAGTGAAGTTCTGCTGATCTGTTATTGCGTGTGCATCCACTCACGATTCTCACCTTCTTTCTCTCTGGAGGGCATTGATGGACTCTCGAGTCCTCCTCAGTTCACTCTCCATGCTGACCATGGTCTAGTGAAGCAAGAAACGGGGAAAATCAGTTTTGGTTTGAGCACAACTCACATTCCTAAAAATCTACCATCGGAACATGAAAATGATGTTTCTTGTAAAAATACGGAGTATTTCACGGAAGCTGCTGATGTTCTGGTTTATGTCCCTCGACAGTGGTTACAGGTACATGCGTGATTTATTTCCACAAAAGCAGGGAAAATACAGACAACACTTTCACCTGTAAAAAACAAGTCAAAACAGTATTTGCCCAAGTTAGGCTGCTGCCCCGAATGGCTTCCCTAAAAGCAACTATGAAACCATCCGGGTCCCTTTCTTTCCCTTGGTTTAAGAAGTGTTTCACTTCCTCCCTTCCACCTTCTACGTTGACTGCATTTTCTTTGCACTGCTTCCTACCTAGATGAACAGGCAGGGCCCGTCCTTCTCTTTGAATCGGTCAAGTCTGCTGCGTTAATTGTGGTTGGCACAACTCTCATTTAGGGTTTCCCCACCAAACCTCTCCCATCAAAGTCAGCTTCCTGAAAAGCCCCCCAAGGGCTTGTACCAACCTGACCCAGTGAGACCCAGGCTTTCGGGTGCAGTGGCCCAGCCACTGGACCTCTACGTGTCTGAGGGGAGCCTGGGTCTATGCTCTGCAGCTTCCTTCTCTGCATGCAAATGACCTGCAGAGACTCCGGCCACCTCCACAGCACTGCCCTGCGGGAATGGCCTTGCAGAAGAAGATCAGCAGGAAGGAGCCACTTGGCAGGACACAAACTGAAGGTCACATCTGCTAGCTGGCACGTGCCCTTCATGTCCTCTCTGAGTGAACTGTCCCTGTCTGCCTCTTCATTTAAGTCATACTTGGATGGCTTCCACATGGCCTTTGAGTCATACTAATATAAAAACTTGCAAATATTTCTACATCAATATTATCATCTGGTGCATGTTCCCATAATCAAGAAGCATATTTTGCTGCATATGGATTTACCTTGATAGATCCAGACTAGATATCATTATTTATTGAGTTATTCTCAATATTAGGCTGTTTACAAGTTTTCAAAATTAAAGCATTGGTGCAGTGAATAGGATTCTGTAGGGGTTTTTTTGCACATGTGCAAGGTTCTCAAATTTTCAGCTTAATAAATAATCCTCACTGGTCCCCTCTGTCTCAAATAGATACCTCTGGGGAACTAAAGACTGAATCTAGGTTAGGACTGATGGCTGTAAAGGAGTTGGCTGAATAGATTTTAACTTCTTATAAGACAGATTTAGGTCTTATTTATATAATTTAAAGTATTTTAAATAAAAAATTGCTACATTTAAGGAATGGTAAAAATATGGTGAATTGTTATGGTTGATACATAACTTGAGAAGTTTAGAAATTTAACTAAGAGACTCGTCAGGGAGCCAAGATCCTTACTTTGTAAACATCCTCAGCCTGTGCAAAAGGAGGGCATAGCAGGCAGTCATGAGTTCAATCCCTGGTACCGATAAAAAGGAAAAAGACAAAAAAAAAAAAAAAAAAAAAAAGGAGGGCACAGAGATGGTGTGAGTGCTACACCCACGCGAGAAGTGGAGCGGGGAGCAGCCTGCTTACAATATAAGGGAGGAGAAGAGGTTTGTTTTCACCTCTTTTGCTCTGGCTGCTGCCTTGAAGTGTTGCCCGGTGCCATGTCACCCTGCCTTGGAGCCAGCTGATTACAGACTGAAACCTCCACAAACAGTGAGCTAAATGAACCCCTCCTTCCTGCATTTTGGGTATTGGGTATTTTGAGAGAAAATTAATCAAGCCATGAATGCTTAAATTAGAAAATGAAAGCTGTATTTCTGTAAAAGACACATTGCCATTAAACTCCCTAAAATTACTCCCCTTCACTTCAGACACACACGACCCATCCTTCTCGCCACTTTCCGAAGCAGTTCTGGAGTCCTCCTTTCTTGAGTCTCCTTTCATGGCTTCCCTGATGTCTTGACTCCATTAAAAAAAGTTTACAGCAATTTCTGTCAAATAAAAAAAATATAGCATGTCCCTGTCATCTCATTCACTAGATCTGGCACCAGGCAACTTCTGCCTCTTCCCCAAAGTCAGAATGACTAGGAAAGGTAAGTATTTTGAATCAAATTAGGACATCAAGGCAGGGAGGACAGTGCAACCACAGACACTCCTGAAAGCAGAGTCCAAAACTGCTTCAGAAAGAGGCAAGAATGATGGGATTGGTGTGTTCAGAGTGAGGGGCAGTATTCTGGGGAGGGATAAATGGTAGTGTCTTTCACTGTAGTATATTTAATTAATTAGTTTGGTTTTCTGAGACAGGGTCTCACTATTAGTTCAGGCTGACCTTGAACTCACTATGTAGCCCAGAATGCCCTCGGACTTACAGCCATCCTCTTGCCTCAGCCTCCAGAATGCTGGGATTACAGGTGTGTACCACTATTCCCAGCTTGTAATACACTTTTAAAAGATAAATAAAATACTCACTGAATTTTTGCTCATACCTCATATTTCAAAATACTAATGGTGCATGTATGATGAACTCTATATATTTTTAAATTTATTTTTTGCTTTTTCCTGTCTTTTTCAAATTTTCTGTAACATATATGCAGCCCTTCATAACTGCAGAGAAAAACCTTATTTAAAAATATATTTCTAAGTTTTCCATCGATCACATTAACATCTCGTAAATTGTAAACCAGAGAATGATTTACCAAACCCACCTACACGCTTACAGATCGGTCCAGCTGAATCATGCGTCCACACTGAGTCCTCCCTCTTTGGACTTACCTGGTATTGTGGGCTGGCATGGCTCACCTGTTGAGCCTGAGATAATCCCAGGTGGCCGCAGCGGGAAACTTTGGTGGCTGCTGCCTCCACTGGTCTCACCAACCTGCCGCACACAGGGTTTTTAGAGCTATGGTACTGAGTGGAGCACCTGTAGAAAGCAGAGATTTGGGGAGGAGAAGGTGTGACTCGAGCAAAGCCTCTTCCAAAGCTGTCAAATTGAACACTGATGGCGAGAGCCCATCCCCGAGTAGCAATCTAGAATCCACCTTCTTCTTCTGTGCTTGTGCCCAGTCAGACTATTAGGCTGATAGATAATTATCCAATAATAGGAATGAAAGTTCCATTTTTCCTTCTCCAGGACAATCTAGGCATGCCAATACAAAGAATTTGAGGGATGACTGCAAGAAATATCTCTCAGGTCAGGGTGTTCAGGTCAGACACTCGGGGTTCTAAATATAGGTATGTGCTTAGCATGTCGAATCTGAAAGAACATGGGACATGCTGGTTAAGGTCAGGCATATTCAATTTTATACAATTACCTTTGGTTTTATCCCTCTATTCAAAATCATTTTCAGGCATCTAGCCATCTTGAGCTCTTAAAAAAAATGACAACAAAAAAGTCAGAGAACTCCTCGTTCACAGACGATTCACTTCTGACAAACAATGATGATACAATTTTTTCCAACACACTGTGGTAATTTCTGCAAGACACAGCAAGAGCACTAGGAAAGAAATGATGATTCTTTGGTGGTGTACTTAGTCACGTTAGTAAGATGCAAGCATTTGGGTAGCAAAAAGGGAAACCTGTCACTTTGTAACACATTTTCTGAGTGATACCCTCTGCTCCAAGCCTATCTGAGATAATTCTAGTACCCTGAACTTGTTCCATTTCATCTTAGTTCACTTGGGCTGCTATTATACAGGGTCATATCCTGGGTGGTTTAAACAGTGGATGTTTATTTCCTCACAGTCCAAAAGGACGGAAGTGTCAGATCAGGAGGCCCCCGTGATCACACACTGTTTTGTATTGACATAAACATTCACAAGTATCTAAACACATACTGAATTTGTTTCTGAAACAAAAAAAGAAACCGCCCCTGGCATTATTCTGTTGCTGCTTTGTTCTCATTGCATTTGATGTTGAATACCCTTTAATATAAGCGACAGGAGCTAAAACTTGTTCCTTTAAGCACATTCCCTAGATTCTGCTGTATTCTGTATAATATGCGGTTCATTCTTCTGCCACGAGCTCTGCGGTTGTTTCTGGTTTATTGCCCTGAAAAGCAGATGCTACAATAAGCATTTTCATTTACTGCCTCGGGCTGCTTCCATTCCTGCAGGGCAAAATTCCCAGACTGGCCAATCCGCCAACTCTTACGTTTATTTTGTAGCTTAGCAAATCTTAATCTTTTGATGCCAGACCTCACATCTTTCCCCACTTGATTGTAGCAACCATTCTCTCCTCTCCCCAGATTATCAATGTTTTCTCCCTACTCACTGTTTCCATAATTACACCTGTTATGATTTTCTCCATCATAACGAAGCACTCTCTTAACTCTAGGGATTCTGTGATCTACACTATCTTTATGCTTTCCCAACAGAAAGACATCCTGGGATTTTCTGATTGGGCATCTTCTGTTTCTCAGCTTCCATTCTTTCAGCAGTCTCCCTGAGCCCGATTTCTTCTTCCACCACTGTCCTACTGGGTCCTTTTGGGAAGTCATCGATGATATGCTTACTCAAGGCAAATCTTGCTTGACCTAGCAGTGCCATTTGAATCAGTCAGGTCTGGCAATGGTGGGGCAACCACACCCTCCTCCTCCAGCACTTTCCTCTCCCATCTTCCAGGATTCCTCACGGTCTTGAGTTTCCTCCCTCCTCCTTCTTCAGTCTTTCTCAGTCCCCCTCTCTGGTTTTCCCTCCTTTCCTCGACTTTGTAAAGTGGGAGGCTACAGGACCCAGCTTGTGATCGCCCTGTCTTCTCCGTGGTGGTTTCTTACAATCTCACACAGATGTGTTGGCATCTCTTCAGCTCTAAAACACAGGTAGGCCAAAGCCCCTGCATTGGTGTCTCTAGTGCATGCATTTTCCTCAAATTCCAGATGTGGACAGCCAATGGTCTACTCAACATCTCCACGTCTCTTTCTTTAAGTGTCCTGACTCAACTTGTGCAGCCACTGGCGCTGCTTTTGGGTGGTGGCACTTTACCCTTCTACTTTAGGACAACAATGACCCCAGTGTTCAGTGCTTATACAAGAAAAGGCACATAGATCTCAGGATGAGAACACAAATTCTATTGATCGACCCAAGTCTGTAAGAGAAGCTAATATGTGATAAAGTTGGAATTTTAATTTGGCTGGAAAAAACATATCATAACTGATTGCCTATCTGATGAGACAGCCAAAGTAAACTACATTCTAAATGGATTAAGTTTTTAATGAATTCCAAATAGAAACATTAGAACATTTAGGAAATCATTGGTATGCTCTTGCTTCCAACTCTCCACCCCTTAGCTTATTCTAAGCAGAGCAGTCAGAGTGACACTTTTATTTCAGTTCTTGTGAGTAAGTGAGAAGCCAGGCCCTTGCACAGGTTAGGCAAGTGCGCTTCTGCTGAGAGGGACAGAGTTAAAAGTTCAGTCAGATCCTGTCCTCAGACCCTGCGAGTCCTCTCCAAAGCAAAAGCCCGAGTCCTTGCATTGGTCTACTCACCAGCCCCTCTAATATCTGTCCCCGCACCCCTGCTCCCTTCTTACCCTGCTTCTGCCCTGCACTAGGTCACCCTGGCCGCCTCACTTCCTTTGGGCCTGCAGGGCACACTCCTCTTTGCATGGTCTCTCTTCCCTGGGTGTCTGTGTGACGGACGTCCTCCCCTCTTCCAGGCCCTTTGCCAACGTCCCCACTCACCAAAGCCCTCTGCAATCACTCTTTAAATTTGCCACCAAATCTCCCTGCAAGTCTTGATTTCTCTTGGGTCCCCTTCCTGTCACTTTTACACCACCCCGCTTCTAAGGTACACTGTATTTCACTTACAAACTTCTTTTTCTCAGTGTGGTCTCTCCCTGAAGAAGAAAGTGCCATGAAAGCAGAGATCTTCGCTTCTGCCCACCGATGTATTCCAAGTGCTCAAAAAAAGCATACAAGAATATTAATGAATCTTGTTTTGTAGAATGAATAAATGAATGCTTTTCAGTGTTTTCTCAAAGGTCTACAGCCCTTGTACGTCTTACCAGATTTCAAGAGTGTCTGTTTCTTTCCGTCCTTACCAGTGTAGCATGTTCTGATTCATCCTGCCTGTGGTGGCCTACAAAGCATTCCTCTGACTTCTCCTGGGCCTGGACATCTTTGTGTGTGTGTAGAATCCTTTTCCCAGATAACCTATGTTGTGTAGATCCCTCCTCCCCCTTTCTTCTCCTCTTCATTTTCTTCTTGAGTTTTTGTTATCAATTTGCAGGAAGCTTCTGAATAACCTAATTTATCCTATTGCTGAAAATAGTAACAATCCATCTGAGTCTAAGGCTTGTCTTTGGATTATATTTGAGATACTGTTTCTCCTAGGAAGGTATTTAAGTATGTGCCATTACACACACCTGCTGCCTATTCCTTCATGATTTCTTCATTTCTTTCTTTTTTTGTTTTTGCTTTGTTTACTTTTGTCTTACTTAGGGAAGTCTTCTTCCACCATAGGTTTGCTGTTTTTTTTCTAGTACTGTAAAAAATGATTTTCATATTTAAATTTCATTTAAAGTTGGAATTTATTTTAGCATAGAGATCAAAATAAGGGCCAGTTTTTCCTTCAGATGGATTATAAGTTCCTTCACAATTTTCCGAATGCTACTGAATTGAAATAGCACTGTTATCACGTGACGTTTCCACGTGCTCTTGGGTCAATTAAGTTATACATTATCATCCTAAGCTCTGAATTTCCAGTCCTTTTTCTACTACACTGTTTGATCGCAGTGTTTCTACAGTAAGCTTGCTAAAGAATCTGCTAAGGAATATCTTTGCTCTCTATTCTATCTCTGCCTGCTTTTGACTATTTTTGTATATTTATTCTCCCAACATATCTTTGAAATTCTTTTATCCTATTTAAAAAACATCATGATTTTACTTGGAAGCACGTTGTGTGTACATAGCTGATTCTTATTATTCACAGAAGTTATGCTCTATAAAGTCACCTTGAACTGGGACTTCACAAATACCAAGCCTCTGCTCCTGGGTGGGGGATACAGGAGCAAGATTCTGTGACCTCTGATCCCAATATTTTCATTAGTCCATCAATACATAACCTTGTTTTATGTCATTGTTTATAGGCTGTTTATGTGGCAGCTGTTGTGGATTCATTGACATTGAACTCAGTAGTAAACAGCACGGTATCACATGCTTGAATAAACCTCATTAACACACATTTTCTCATTAACACACATCAGAGCTTTCTTGTTCTTAGGAATGCACCAGGGATCACCTACAAAAGCCAGGCAACCATGAAGCACATGGCCCCAGGTAGATTGTGAGAAGGAGCCTGTTTGCAGCTGAAACAGGAAGGGGCCCCACACCAGCTGGACCTCGGTTGGGGAGGTATGCATCAGTCAGTTTTGCCTTCTGTACATCTGTGAGCACTGTAACTGCACCATTATTTGGGGAGTACAAGTACATTTTCCAAGCAGCCAAATAGGTAAATACTGGGCCGGGAATATAGCTCAGTGCACAGTGTCTGCCTGGCAAGAGCAAGGTCCTGAGTTCAATTCCCGGTACCCAAAAGAGACAAATTTGTAAATACTGAATCTGTGAGTAATGATAATAAACTATATGAATTTTTGGAGCATGAACACACTTATGCTAGTGTCTTTTTTGTTAGGTATTTGATATCTTTCTGTCTTTGTTCAGGTTTTGTTTTCTGTACTCAGCGAATATACATGAATCTTTTGTTAAACTTTTCTTTGTAGTTTCTTTTAAAGTAATTTTTACATCCATTGCACCTGGGATTTTTATAAAATGCATAGCTGGTTATTGCTAACATTTGTCATATTTATTTTATATTCTGTCTTCACTCAAAGCCTATTAATTTTATTTTTTGCTAAAGTTACATGGGCTTTCTTAGGGAGTCACAATCATATTAACAGCAAATTGAAGCAGTATTGTCTTTTCTTTTTCAGTATTTCAATTTTCTTTTTTTATTACATTTTCAAGAACTTCCCAACATATTTAACAACACTGGAAATATTTGATATCGCTTTCAATTATGTTTATATAAATAAAAGTGTTTCCTTTTCAGTGTGAATAACTGTGTGTAAGGTAAATAAATTCACATCAGAAGGAATGATGCTTTTTTAGTATGTGTTTTCTTTGCTGAGTCACTGAATAAATTCATTGTTATCACTTGGAAACACTGTTAACCCCTTGAAGACACTCGATGCTAACGTACCAACTTAGAAGATATCAGGAACATGTTTTTGTCTGTTAGCACACTGTAAGATTAGTAATATTCCACATTCCTTTCCCCTGGATCGAATAAGAGTTTATGAAGCATCAATACCCAGGCTACACTGAAAATTTCTCATAATATTATTTGGAGAAAGCGACCCAGATGGAGTAGGGCACATTGAGATTTAAAACCCTTTATTTTTGCATTACCCTCATCACGCCCTTTCTTTATTTTATTTACACAAATGCTGCTCTGAGACTGCCAAGCCCAGGCATCCTCAGTGTCAGATGAAGACAGTGAATCTGGGAAAAATAAAGTGACCAGCCTGAGGCCACACATGTGGCCGGCCGAAGACGAGGTCTACATCTCTCTTTCAGGCCTGCTCACCCTTCACTGCCTTTGTCCCCACATGGTGTCCCTGCACTGGTTCTGAATTCCTTCATAGCTTATTCTTAGGAAACTCATGATCAACCTTATCCATCCATCTGTCCACACATCCATCTGTCCACCCAACCATCTGTCCACTCATCATCTGTCTGCCAATCCATCTGTCCATTCATCCATCTGTCCACCCATCCATCTGCCTATCCATCTGTCCATCCATCTATCTGTCCACCCATCCATCTGCCTATCCATCTGTCCATCCATCCATCTGTCTACCTGTCTATCTATCCATCTACCCATCCACCCATCCATATGCCCATCCATGCACCCATCCATCCATCTGTTTTATTATTCATTCATTCATTCATTCATTCATTCATTCATTCATCAGTCAGTCTATCATTGGTCCAGCAAACATCTATGGGACATTTATCCCATGTAGACATTGTTACAGACACTAGTGGTACAACTGGAAACAAGAGAACCCCTCCCCCATAGAGCTTGCACTGTCGTGCAGCAGGGTGGCAGGATGGGGATGGAGGGACAACAATAAATAAATACATTAAACAAGTTGAATGTATGGGATGCTAGGCAGTGAAGAAAAGTAGAGCAAGGGAGGATACTGGGGACATCAGAGTGGGGACAGAGGCCGAAGAGGTCAAGGTCATCAGGCAAAGGCTTGAAGGATGAGACAACATTTGAACGAAGACCTCGGTGGGATCTGGAGGCACTGGGGTGCCTCGGTGCCGTACACCTGACGTGTGTGGAGAGGCTGGAGGCTGAGGCAGACTGAGTCCTCCAGAGGCACACGAGGGCTGGGAGCCTGGGGGAGCAGGGCTGGAAGCTGCTGTGGGGACTCTGGCTCTCCGTGAAGCCCTTAGAAAGTCTACGCAGTGCAGACCCTGTCTGACCTGAACTGGAACAGATCGTGCTGCCTGAGGCACTAGACGCAGACCGTGGAGTGGCCAGGGAGTTATCCTAGCAGACTAATTTACAGAACACAGCAAGGTGCACATGTAGGGAAGCGGATGGTAGGATTACAGGGGCGGCAAACTTTGGGTCTAACCCACACAATGACAAGAGCCTCCTTACGAATGAGCTCCTCCTTATGAGGGTGAATGTAAGGCCCACTGAAACGATGAACAGCTCCGACACAGCCACGCTCTCCAGTGAGTGCAGGAGAAGAAAGAATGAAAAACCGGAAAACCGAAAGCGTCCTCTCTGCTTTGGTAACACTGCAACAGGAATGGCACTCATCTGGGAGCGGAGGAACCCTGAGTATCTTCCTCCTCCTTTTTTAAGAAAATGAACTATTGACTCTGACTTAAGCTCCAAAGGCAAACCATGGCAAAGCAGGAAGACAGAGAGGAGTTACATGAGCAGCCCAAGACGTTCCGTCTCTCCCATGCTTCTCCTTGTGTGGTCACGGAGAGGCAGTGCCACCCGTCACTGGCACCTCAAGTTCAGTTCTAGGGGGAGAAGGATCCGTCATCCTGCCCTCACCTCTGCCACTTATGGGCATCCTGCCCTCACCTCTCCTTTATGGTCCTCAGCGACGCCACTCCTGCTGCTGCACCCTCTGCCACCTTGCCATGCAGTGTCCAGTCCCCTGGGCCCCACAACCGACTGCCCCCTGCCCTCACTCACCCGGCCTGTGTGCGGGGAGCTGGGTCCTCCCGCTTCCCCGCATCCAGCAGCCCCGGCCTTCTCAGAGCTGCTCCGCTCTGGCAGCGCCCCTGGAGCCGGCTGCTTCTGAGCGTCCTGAGGAGCAGTGTCCTGTTCTCCTTCGCTGACATCTGCTGCAGCGGCTGAAATTAAAAGACAGTCGTCAGATCTGTGTGAACTCAGTCACGCTTTGGTGCTCAGGACACGATGATAGGTTTCAGAATTATTTCCTTTACTTTTATATTCTTGGGGAAATAATCTCATCTCCTTACTTCTGGAATCTCGATGTAGCCTCCAAATTAAACGCCCTGATTCCCTCAATAACTTCTCGTCTTCAGAGGAACCACTAACTCGGGGCTCTAAAGGTAGCAAGGACCATGAAACACAGCAGTCTGTAACCACGTGGATTGGGGATTCCTTTGAGAACTGGATGGTGACTTGGGGATTTGTCTCCAGAAAAATATTGTGAGAGCTAATTTTGTATAGAATCAGTGGATGTGGGGAGCCCGTGATGTGCACCCATGCTCCTCACCTTAAGACTTCTGCTACAAGGGTTACTGGGGGGTGAGAAGGAGCTAGGAGGCAGAGAAGAGTAGAAAGGTAGGGGATGTGAGCAAAACACAGGATGTATGTGTGTCTGGACATATCCCAGTGATCGCATTAATTTGTACAATTAATATGCATTAATAATGACAATGAGGAGAGTTTTAGAAGGGAAAGATTGGAGCACCTAAAAGAAGGGTAAGAGTTCTTTAGCACTTGAAATTTACAGTGTAATAAAAAAAGTGACCATACGGTGCCGCTGTAACATCATAAAGTCCCTGGTTTACAGGAAACAGGAAACTGGAGGATAGGTCAATGAAACCAGAGGACCGGGTTAAAACGGGTTTGCAAGGCCACGCCCACTGTAAAGTATTAGCCGAGATCAGACTCTAGTCTTTCATGCACCGCATGTTAAACAGAAACAGGAAAAGTGATCATCGATGAAGACTGCTGATCACCATCCTTGACTGCTGTGTCAGGAGAGGGTGTCACCAGCATGGGGAAACTGACTCACGGAGATGAGTGAGGAAAGACAATGTTCCTCCTTAAAAACTTACAAAATTTTTGTTTGTGTTTTTCTTTGTTCTTGAAAAGAACTAAACCCACTTATGGGTTACTAATAATTGTCTTAAAAATATTGAAAGGTAGCTCTAAAGCCTCAGTTACTTTCAGTTAAAACTGAGATAATAATCTTTCTTTTTTCCTAAAGAAAATATACCTATGACTCAAGAAAAGACATGTTTCAAAGGGAACTTTTGCAAAAATATACCATCAACTAGAAGCTTTACTGCATGACTTTTACCAAACCAGAGCTCTCTCCTTTTTTACCTATGCAAATTTCCAACGTTTCCCCATCCCCACCTGACTTTCACAGTCATTTTCTAGTGCACAATATGGAATCAATGGTCAGTTTGGCTTTTCTCCTCCCCACAAACTTTTCATTAAAATCTGAAGTGTAAAGAAAACATATTTATATTGAGAGATATTTCATGTTAGGCTTTCTTAGTCTTAAATAGGCCAGAAACAGGATCTATAGATTTACTGAAAGGTTTTTTGGTTGCTTATAAGATTTAATGAATGAATGCTTTGGTAGGTCATAATAGATGTTACCGGAACACGGTGTTCAATTACAGGATGTGACTTCTGATGAGACTTGATGTGGAGACCAGAGAGGAAACACACCTGGCAGATATCAAAGTCGAGACACTTCAGACAGCGGTATCTGCCAATTAAAATGGGAAGGCAGCTTTCATCATGACCAGCAAGAAAGAAAAGAAATAATACCTAGATGGAGGATGATGAGTTCCCCAAAACTTACAGATGTATGAGCTGTCCAGTGAATATAAGGTTTCCTTTAAAGTTGATAAGGATACTAAATAACCTTGATTTAATCAAAGAAATATTCTTTTGATAGTATTGTGGCTTATATTTAGATGTACCCCCCTTACTGCTCATAAGTGAGGTTTTTGGGAGGTGGCTGGATCATATGTGTGACACTGCACTAATGATGTGTGAAAGCTGGAGTAGCCTATTGATTGGTTTAGCAGAGTTCTGAGTGTAGATAATGAGAAGGCCCAGTCTGGGTATGGATGGCACCAACCAATAGGCTTGTAGCCTGGATAGAATATAAAGGGAAAGGAAGGCTTATGACTGGTTGCCTCCTGCCTACCCTGCCACGGACTGTTCCTCCTCTGCCAGGCCCCTCAAACATGCCACCTTGTCTTGGAGTCAGGTGACCATGGACTGAAACTTCTACAAACTGTGAGCCAAAATAAACATTTTCTCCTTTAATATGTGGGTGTTAAGTATTTTGTCCCAGCAACAAGACAGCAACTAAGACAGTATCTTTATAAGGCATTATATTAATACAGTTTTATCCAACAGAACATAGTACATAGGTATGGTTCCCCTTCCTTGATCTCCCATGACCCTGATACCATGTGCCTGCAATATGCAGGGTTCTGTGTGCTAAATCCTTAGGAGAGACCCTTAGGAGGGGCAATCTCTGATTTTTATATCTTTTGTATTTTCTTTCGAAGAACAAGGCTTTGTTGTCTTCCTGCTATTTTCAGATCTGTGAATCCTGCTCTGAAATGATGTAATTAATCTCCCTAAAGCCAGCTATTGCTTGAGGTTTCTGAGAGCCAAGAATAAGTTTATGGTTAGGATCATTATCGTTATGGATTAAACACTTGTGGCCAACTTAACACCAGCTGAATTAAATCAGCATGGTGCTAAGTATAGATGTTCCACCTGAGGAAGGTTGGCAGCATAAATAGAGATGTGGAGAAGAAGAGCTAGGCATTGTGGGTTCTCCTAAGTGTTGCTGTTTCGAACCATTGGTTCTTCTGGAGGAGATTGTCATGCTGGCTTTCTCAATATGAATTCGGCCATTATCATCAGAGGAACTCAGGACCTTGTTAGTGAGAATGACTGTGGTTTACTTTGGGGGAGCTCTGGTCCTTACATCGAGCATCACTTCTTGGTTCCAGGAGGAAGATGTGTGCCCTTTACTCTCCAGGAGAAACTCCTCATGCTGGCTTTCTGGCATGTACCCAACTGTTATTGTCGGGGGAGCATAGGGCCTCCATGTTACTGAGGATGGCTGTGCTTTTCAGGACAGCCCTGGTTCTTATTTTGAGCCTGGCTTCTCAGCTCCAGTGTAGAACCCTTAACCTATCAACACAGCTCCTTCAGTCCACTGGCATAGCCTTTCTAGCTTCCACCGCTGACCTTTGGACGTTCCCAGCACAGATCTGTAAAACAGACTGGCGTGAATCCTTCTCATGGGCTCCAGACTTCCAGTTAGACTTGTGGGAGGCATTGTCATGGGCTCTGCATCTTCATCTTGACTCATGTGGGACGTTGCTGTGGGATCAAGGCCCTTGGCTGAATATTCTGGGTCTTCAGTGTTGTGAACAGATTTCCTGCACTTTTTGTGTTTAACTCTCAGTGACCATCATAAAATATTATAAATTCTGTATCCTGATTGTACTTGCTCTCCTCACAACCCCTGAGTACAATTATAAATCCAAATGATTTTTAATAGACTTATAGAAGGTAGTAGAAGGTAAAAGAAACCCCACACATCATTTAATCAGTCCCTCATTTTATTTTGCCCTGAATGTCTAGAAGTATTTTGAGGAGGGAGAATTCATCACATTCTTCCCAGAGAAGGAAAAGTAAGTGTGGCACTCAACCTCTGCCTTGCTTTGCCATTTTCTTGAGTGACCTGAGTTAAGACACTCAATTTGTGCCAAAGAGTAATAAAATAGGAATATCTGGTTTATATTATGCATAATGATTTTGAAACAGTATTTCAGTGTAAAAGTTACATTTTATGTAATTGCAAAGTTGATTCTGTCCCTGGCCTAGTGCAGAACACATAACAATGTTATAAAATACACCTTTCACATTGCTTATTGATAACACATATGACAAGGTAAGTAATATTTCTGTTCCTCTACTGTCAGATATAAGAAGAGCTTACTATTCTTTGTAGTACGGAGATTTCTGTTGTAGTGCTGGCTTGGTTTCCAACAGTCCTTTTTGTTGATAGGTCTTACCGTTTGATGTTACGGTTTGACACGTTCAGTTAGTTGCAGAGTTTTTTAGGAGAGAAATTTTGCTGTGCACTCTAAATTCTTAAAGACACAATTTATTTTCTCAGAAAAACTAAAATTTAGTTTTATGTTTTTAGTGGGCCTCATGGACCTGTTTTATGTCTGTGGGGATTATTTCTAAGCTCTAATTCTTTCAGGTCGGGAACTATGGGGAAGGAAGTGGAACAAAGCGAGCAAGGGCCAAGCCCTGGGGCCTCCGTCCCCTCCTTTCTGGTGTCCCAACCTCCATTAGCAAGTGTACCGGAGCTCCTGTGTGCTTCTGCTGCGGGCCCACGTACTTCACTTCCGGTACTCTGTACTTCCGCTCTGGCTTGTGCGCTTCCGCTCAGGGCCTATATACTTCCGCTCAGGGCCTGTGTACTTCCGCTCAGGGCCTGTATACTTCCGCTCAGGGCTTATATACTTCCGTTCTGGGCCTGTATACTTCCGCTCAGGGCCTGTATACTTCCGCTCAGGTTCTGTGTACTTCCGTTCTGGGCCTGTGTACTTCTGGGCCAGTGTCCATGCTCTGTGAATCATGGGGTTGCCCTCGCTTGTCCCAAATCTGCTAGTTTTCCCCAAATCTATAATAAAAACCATAATAATTTTACTTTCTCATTGTTTTGTGTATGACAGACCTACCTCGCCTTTTCTCTAAAATGGAATCTGGACTGTCTTCCTCAGGAAGGATTCTAGAAAGGGCTGGGTCTCTAACTCTTAAACCTAGCTTTTAAATCTGCACTGTCTGTAGGCCGAGAGATCTGGCTTACGCTGCCCTTATAAAAGCAGGTTGTTTCATGGAGTCTTATGCTTTGCTGTCCCCAGGAAGGGAGCAGAGTTCATAGTTGCAAAGCCGGGACTCCGTTCTGACCGCCAACCTCAGGTCCTGCCCACTGTGTGAATGGAAGCGCGTTTTTCAGCTGCTCACCAGGCTAACCACACTACCTTTGTAAACGTAGCATTTTTTTATACAAAATGTTCAGTTTAGGACTGAATACTTAACAAATATAAACTACGAATGTTTGTGTTGTTTTGGATGGCTCCGAAGGATTGAAAAGGTTTTGTGGTTGTGCTTGTTATTGTTCAACAAAAGGCAATTTTTCGCCTTAAGGTAATAAAAATATTTACTGAGCATAGTAAGAGTGAGTGGGAAATTTATGGAAGATCAGTTTATTTTAGCTTCAAGTAGGGAACTGTGCTGAAAAAGCCAGCTGAGTTCCAGAAGGGGTAGAAAAGCCTCAGAAAGCCTGGAGAGACACACTGCCCCAGCTTTAGGCGCATTTGGAGAGGGGTCCCCACGACACAGCGTGCCTACCTCAGTCCGGTGATGGGGAAGGCGCTGCAGAGGCTGCACCGGGCAGGGTGAGTGATCCTCTCTGGCACCGACAGCCGGCAGCAGGTCGGGAGCCACAGCAGGGCTGCAGGCTCAGACTGCACCCAGGAGAGGAATTTCTCCTCCTTGATTCCCGGGCTCAACACCTGAAACGTAACAGTGGCCCAATAGGTGTTTTTAGGCACGGCCTTGTATTTTTACCTTCTAGTTTTGGGGTCTATTTCTGTGCATCCTGCCAAAGAAGTTTGTCATGTGAACGCTGGAGGCAAATCTACCTCCAAAGTGAGGTTGTCTGCCCTGCAGTGTGGAGCTGGGTTTGAATCCGCTGGCAAACTCCTGGAGTCTGCCCCAGCGCCCTGTCTGGGGTACTCACCCCTCGGAAGCAGCTCCGCACAGCGCTGTCCACCGAGCTCAGCCTGCGACTCTCACCCACCACAGCTGGGATCTGCAAAGGGGAACCTCGCATCAGCATCTGGAAAGGCCAGAAACACGCGGCCACCTGGGGTCCTGGGGTCATGGGAGTGGGTTTCCAAGACTGGAGGGGCCCACAAGCAAAAAGAAGACCTCTGCAGGATTTGTGCCATGTTTCCAAGAGGAGGAAGGGAAACGAGGGAAGAAAGCCTGGCAGTCGGGGCAGTAAATGATGGCTTCTCTGGATTCATTTCTTGGGCTCTCATTTTAGTTTTTCTTTGCCCCATTTACCTATGAAATCACAATAAATCACTGCATTAAAGTTCCTAATGGTTTTAAGGAAAAGCTTTGCCAGTGTTTTCATATCATGTCATTTTAGCAAATATTACCCTTTAGGCTGTTAATCTTTATCCCTTTTAAAACCAAGAGGGTGACGGGAACCAAATCACTATATCACAGCACTATCTGTGGATCAGTGATCACACCTCATTATTCCCAATAACCAAACATGCAAACGACCTAAATGTCCATGGACATGGATAAAGGGAGGCAATGTGGCGTTTATAAACTGGAGTACTACGCAGGCTTTAAAAAGAAGCAAATCCTCTCACTTGTTGCAACATAGACAAACCTGGAAAACAATATGCAAAGTGAAACCAGCCAGACACTAGAAGACAAATGCTGTATGATATTCCTTATATGGGGAATCTAAAAAGCTGAACTCATAGAAGCAGAGAGTGGAATTGGGGTGCCACAGAGGTCGTGGTCGGTAGGGGAAAGAAGACATGCCAATCAAGAGTACAAAATTCCAGTTATGGTATATGGTGAATAAATTTTGGGGATCTGTGATTGTGATAATTAACTGACTGTGTCTGCTTAAATGAAAAATGCCCCACTGCATTGGATGGGCACAGATATAGGTGTGGCTGAAAGGGTCTACTGAAGACAGAAGACCCCTCCTGGGTGTGACTGGCACTGACCGATACCCTTGAGCCTGGCCGTGGCTGAAGGGAGAGAAGGAGTGATCCTTCTGGTTCCGTGGAGGAATCCAGGCTTCACCTTCAGCTTGGACCTCGTCCTCTGGCCTCCACCGCAGACCCCTCAGCCTCTGGCTATGGACTGGCACAGGCACTGCAGGGAGCCCCAGTGTGCAGGAAGCCCATTTTGCACTTTTCCACACCTGAGTCTGTGGGCAGCCGTGCCATTGTAAGCCAATCTTGTGCATTCTTACACATTTATATACTTTGTATTAAATCTGTTCTCCAGTACAGGTGATGTTTCATTGTGTCAACTTGGTTGGAAAGTGACACCAGTAGACTTAGTCCAGGACCCTTCTGGGTGCTGAGAGGCGTTTCTGGAGATCCTGGCATGTGGGAGCACAAGAGTGAGAAGAGGCCGGATCGTACCATCCACCAGACGGGGGCCAAGAAGAAGGGGACCTGAAGACACAGGCGCCATCGGCCCTTTCTGCCCACTTCTGTGCCTCGTGTGCCACGAGCTGAGTGGTCTCCCCCCACCAGCCCGTCCTTGGAGCGTTGCTACCCAGGCACCAGCCGACCGTAGCTGGAGCTTGCAAAACCGTGATCCAAAATAAGTCTCTTGGCCTTTTGGTTGTTTTTGTCATGTGTTTTGTTGGGGGGATGAAAAGCCAGCACAGATCTAATGTAGATTGTGATTATTGTCCCTAATGCTGTATTGTTCATTTGACATTTGATTTTATGAGAGCAGATTTCAGTGTCCTCGCCACCCCTCCACTCACACTAACAGAGCAACTGTGGGCTTAGTACGCTCACTCTGGTGAGCATTACATAGTGCGCAGCAATGTCTTTTTTTTTTTTTTTTTTTTTTTCCTTTTTCAGATAGGGACTTGTCATGAGGTCCATTCTGGCCTTGAACTCCTGGGCTCGGATCATTCTCCTGCCTCAGCTTCTTGAGCAGCTGAAATGAACAGGTAAGTACCACTACACGCTGCTTACATCTTGACTATGTATAATTTTCATCTTGTTAGTTAAATTTTTTTAAAAAAATTAATAAACCATGGAATAATTCAGACTTGACATTTCCCTCAAGATCACAACTACAGAATTAGGATTTCACACCAGATCTCCTTTCTCTTTATTGAGAGATTTTCACAAAGCTTTATATCAGCTGATTATAATCTTCTAATGCCTCATTCTGTCATGGTCATCTTTCAACACAGTCACTAGAAGGAATTTAACTCTGGGAGTGAAAACCTTTACTGACTGCCGAGACAGGCAGGGTGGATTGGTTCAGGGCTCATTCATATGCTCAGAGGTGTGCCCTGGCTCCTCCATTTGTCCCTATTTGGTCAGGAGACCTAATCCACATCTGTCATGCACAGCATACACGTCAGCGGGCACTGCCCACTAGTCCAGGAGTCATCCCAGAGTCTCCCCTGCCGTGTTCATCAACCCTAATAAACACTCTTTAATCAGGAGAGGGGTACTTAGACCCTCTTGGCTGACATTAGCCAGGCAGAAGTCAACAAACAAGTGCGTAATCGTGACAAGACGGTTTGGTTTGTACTTTAAATTGATAAGGACCCTGGCAGCAGTCAAATGTCTGTGACCACACCCTATGCTGTTGAGCCTTGTCTGAAAAAATAACCCATTATTCATCTTTTGGCTCCCCAGTGCTGATGAACTAACGGGACCACTTATTGAGACTGTGTTGATGATTCAACATTCACGCTTCTCTCTTGTCCTTGAACTCTGGGGAAGGAGTTTTACTTCATTTGTAAAATAAAGGAGGTGAAAAATATGAGGTCAGCTTGCCAGTTCTGGGATTCCTGTACTCATGAAAAGAAAATTTACTCTGTAGTGGGTTTGAATGTACATTTTTGCTTTTAAGTGTGTGCATAAAGATTTCACAGATTAAATGCCCTCTTGACTAATTTCTTGCAGTGTTACAAGGAAGAATTAAATGGGACTAGATGGCATGCCAATGCAGACAGAATGGCACTTGAAAGGGTAATTAGGATTCTTAGGGTAGGGTGTGAATCACATAGTATAGTCTGGAATTTTGTTTTTAAACAGAATTCACCTCTGTGTCTATATTGGAAGTTAATGGGGTGACAATTTGCTATGCAAATCTCCATCTTGCTAATAGCTTTCTCAGGAGCATCCTAGCTGCATAGCTGTGTGTGTAGGATGGTAGGGACATGCTACAGGAGCTTTCACTGTAGCAGCTTAATGACTTTAGTTAAATTTGGAGCAAGGGCAGACCTTGGGGGCCTATTAGACTGGTGCTAGTCTGGAGACACTGGTAATAGTCTGGTGAGCAGCATAAGGAATCCTCGAGGGAGAGGAAAATGGCCCTGAGCCCATCATCCTAGTTCCACTGGTCGAGTTGCATTGATGGGTGAACAGATTCCCTGCACTGCCTGCTCTCCACCTGCCAGAGTTCTGAGATAGTCGGGGAAGAACACCTGCTATGATGGGTTTCTGAGACATACACCGTAGCACTCACAAGAACTGCTTAAAGGTATCTATACCTGATATTTCACCATTGCAAAAATTATAAGTCATCACGTTATTTACATAACATGAGCATCCTCAAGAAAAGAGGAAGAGAGTGGAGCAAGATGTCAGGATATGATTTTCACAATTGCTCCTGCAGAATCGTCAATTGGAATCACTATCTATGCATACAAGTGTTTTCTCAAGGGCTAAAAGAACCAGGGGAAGAGTTTCAAGAAGGAATAGAATGAGACTGAAGGATAGAAATATTACTTAAAGAAAATTTTTCTAAATCTAGAGAAAGATTTGATACCCAAAATAAGGCAATAAAAGGTCTTTATCCAGTTTCAGTCCAAATAAGATTACTCCATGACATACATTTGGTCTCTGCCAGGTCCACATTCAGATTCAGCCAACCATAGATCAAAGGATTTGAAAAAAATATTTCACTTCTGCTGAACATGCAAGAAACTTTTCTTGTAATTTTCCATCAAGTAATACAACATAAAAATGATAATTATTTACATGGCATTTACAATCTAGTAGGTATAATAAGTAATCTAGAGATATTTTAAATATATGGAAGGAAGTGTGTAGGTTATATGAAAATCCCTTGCTATTTAAACAAGGACTTGAGCACCGATGGATTTTGGTATCTGCAGTGGCAGGCACAGCAATTCTGTGTGGCTCTTAAGGGGCAGCTGTTTTTTTAATTACACTACCAAAAGCAAAGTCAAAGAGTGTGTCCTGAAAGCAGCCAAAGACAAGAAGGAAATAACATACAAGAGAATTCTAATGTGCCTAGTGGCAGGTTTCTCAGCAGGATCCTTACAGCCAGAAGAGGATGGGATAGTGAATTTAAAGTACTGAAAGGAAAGTTTCTTAAAAAGTACCAACCAAGGATACTGTCCCTCAGAAATGAAGAGGAGATAAAAATTTCCAAAAACAAAAGCAAGGGAATTCACTAGCACTAAACTTATATGAAATGATAAAGGGAATTTTTAGACCGAAAGAGATATTAGTGAGTAAAATGAAAACATGTGAAAGTAAAGTTGACTGGTAAAATATGGACAAAGTGAAACTCAGAATATTCAAATATTGTAATGGTGGTACAAATATCACATATATCATTAGTAGGAGGATTAAGAGGCAAGACTGATAAAATAGTAAATACTATAATAATTTATTGAGGGATATAAAATATAACAAGGTTTAAACTTATCTCAAAATTCAAAATACAAGAGGAAGGCATGGAATTAACATATGGAGACTTGATTTACTTTTTCAATCAATGTTAAATGATTACCATCTTAAAATAACCTATGATAAGTATATATTAAAAATATTTTTAGTCTTTTTGAGACAGGGTTCAGGCTGGCCTTGAGCTCACTTGGTAGCCCAGGCTGGCCCTGGCCTTACAGCAATCCTGCCTCAGCCTACTCAGTGCTGGGATTATAGGTGTGTGCCATCGAACCAGGCTATATTTTTGTAAGCTTTAAATTAACCGTAAGAAAAAAAATTAACCATAAGAACAAGCATATAATAGACACTCTCAAAATTAAAAAGAAAACAAACACACAAGGAGCTGAAATGAAGTACTAAGCAAAATTACTTAACCAGAAAGGAAGAAGATAAGAGAACAGAAAAGGAAAAAAAGAATGTCTCAAAAAAATTTAACAAAATGGCAGTAGTAAGTCCATGTCTCTCCGAAATCACCTTGAATGTAAACAGATCAATTTCTTTAATTAAAAAACAGAGTGGCAGAATGGTAAAACCAGACTCAATCCTCTGCTACCCACCAGCAATTCACTGTATCTGTAAAGACACACAGTCTGAAAATGAAGAGTTAAGAAAAAATTCCATGCAAATAGAAACTAAAAGGTAGGAGTAACTGTGCTTATATTAGGTTAAAAAAATGTAAGTGAAAAACTGTAAAAGACAAGGAAGGTCATTACAAAAAGCACCAAATCAGTAGGAGAGTGTACAATTGTAAATATGTAGGTACCTAGCTCCGGACTACCAAAATACACAAAGCTAATCCAAACAGACTTAAAGGAAGAGACGAGTGCAGTAGAATAATATTGGAGAACTGCCATAACAGGCTTCCAGCAATGTCTGGAAGTCAGACCATTCAGAAAAAGAATGAACTAAAAAAAGCAGACTTATTTCCCCCTTACTTACTTGTTTTGTGGCCCTGAAATGGAACCCTGGGCCTAATGTGCTAAACACATTTCTACCACTGGGCTACACTTTCAGCCTTGAACACTGGCTTAAAATTGCATTCCGTGAATGGGCAGGATAGGTATTCCCAGTTCAGCCAATCCAACAATTGTCCTCTGTTCATGAGATTGTGACCAGGACAGCCACTATGGAAACTGTTGGAATGTTTCTCAAAATATCAAGAATAGACCCACCATATGAATCAGCGGTCCCAGTCTGGTGTAGATCCACAGGAGAGAAAATAACATGATGAAGAGATGTCTACACCTCCGTGTGGATTGCAGTGTTCTTGGCAATAGCTACCATACAGAGGCAGCCTGTGTCTGTCCACGGGTGGGTTGTTAGAGGAAGTGTGGTAGATGACCACATAGAGTGCTTACCAAGAGGAAATCTTATCACTTGTGACAACATGGGCGAGCCCAGAGGACAGTGTGTTAAATAAATAACGCAGGCTCAGAAGACCAACACGGTATGATTTCACTCATGTGTGGAATCAACAAACATTGTAGACCTCACAGGAGTTGAGTGCAAAATGGTGCTTGTCAGAGACCGGCGTAGTTGTGGGGAAGGGAAATGGTGAAGCTGTTGCTCGAAAGTTTTATCATTATTTTTAGGTAGAAGAAATAATTTCAAGATTTTTGGGGTGCTGCACAGGGACTAGAGTTAATGATGATATATTGTAGTTTTGAAAAATGGTAGGGAGCATTCAGCATTGTTATCACAAAAAGAAAATAACCAGGTGAGATAATCAATTTGCCTCCTAGCTAGATTTAACTTTCACAAAGCATGTATATGTAAAATGGTCAATTTTACATGACAAATACATGCCATTCTTAGCTATCACTTAAAAATAGAAGAAATAGGAACATCTTAAATTTTGTCAGGAATTTGCAGAATAAGTTAAGTATCAGCTACTGCAATAAGCACAACATAAAATATTTATCTTATGAAATAATAAAAACAAAGGTAAATTAGATATTTTTCCTCCTGGAATCCTATCTTGACTATTTCCTCTTGAGAAAGGTTGGCTCAAGCCCAGGGGAAAAATGACAAAGAGTTTCCATGGTTTCACAGCACAGAAAATGAACTATGAGGATCTTATCGAGGCTGGAAGAAAAATAAAGACGTCTTTCAAAAAAGCTGAAGGGATAATGGGGCTATAACCACTTACACAAGGCAGCCTGGAATTCGCAGCGGCTCTTGATTGGATGTTTACGGGGATCAAATTCCCTTGCCTGATAAGCATAAAAACAATATCAAATATATCCATTCCTAAACCATAGGAAATGATGGAAATCTTTACGTGTTCATTAAGCACTTTTTGAAGGGTTTTTAAAGGCAATGGAGATAAACACGAATGAGGCACAATCCTCGGCCTCAGGAAATGGAGCCCTTCACGCCGGTGGGGAAGCAGCCAGGCGAGCCTGGCAGATTCTGCAGTAGAGTTATACAGAGGAGCTGAGCTCTGAGTGAGGAGGTGACTGATGTTTGAACGGCCCTGAAAGATGCGCAGTGTTTGTTGGTCGGAAGGATGGGCGGTTATGGTGCAGCAGGATGGGCCTGCCGAAGCCAGGGATGGAGAACAGGGCACTCTGGGTACATTAGGGCTTTGGCTAAAGGGAACTCAGCACACAAGGAAAAACTGAACATTTGGAATAACGAAGAGACTCCTGGTTATCTGTCCAGTGCTGCTTACCTGAACCTACACAACTAGTACCTCATGGTCCTTAACTAGGTATTTTACAGCTCTGTAGAGGTGAAAGATGAGCTCTGGTTGAGGGACAATATTGTCCTCTCCCTAAAAGTAGGCTTTGCATTCATCTAAAAATTCATTTTAAGGTTCTCAGTCCTGTGGTTTGTCTGTTCTTTACCCCCCCCCCATTTTAACTAGTTGTGATGTTTTCCAGGAGCTTGCTTTTAATTAAAGAACAACAAAAAAAGAGTTTTTTTGTTTACATGTTCCCTTTATGTTTGTAGGAGAATCATAAAATCACCTCTTTGTAAAGGAAGAAGGATTGGGCCAAACCGTAGAAGCTTTTCTGGTGATGCTGAGGAGATTAGGCTTTCTCCTCCAGACATGAAAAGCCAGTGAAGAGTTTTAGGGACGGGGTGTGCTGTGGCTTGGACCTAAGTGTCCTTCAGAGGCCCACGTGTGACATGCTTAGTGACCAGCGTGGTGTTACTGGGAAGTGAGGGGAGCGTAGGTAGACTGGGGGAGGTTTTAGGTCTTTTGGGGGGTGCCTCTGAAGGGAACTGTGGAGCCCTGGCCTCTTCCCTTTCCTTCACCTTCGGTCACCATGAAGTAGGCACCAGTTTCCTCTACCCTGGGCTCCCACCTTGATTTTCAGCCTTGCCATAGTCTAAAAACAAGGGGGCCAACTGAACAAGAACAGAAACTTCCAAAACTGTGGGCTAAAAGATTTCCTTTTAAAGCCAATTACCTCAGTTATTTTGTTAAGTAGTGGAAAGCTCACTAACACAGGGTGACATCTACAGTTTGAAGAGGTCACTGACAGTGCAGAGGAAGGGACAGATGCTGGAAGACTAAGCTGGAGAAACCAGTTAGGATGAAATTGTAGTAGATCGTGCTAGAGTAAACGCAGTTTGTGTTTGGAAAGCAGCTGTGGCTACACAGTTGCATGGAGAGTTACATAAGGATAGAACCAACACTGTAAAAACTAGATTCTTTAAGTATGAAGACTTTACCTGCTGTAGATCCATTAGGAAATTTCTCAAAACTGTTCGAGTGATGCAAGCCCTGGATTCATAACCTTCTTTGTTGCTTTCTGCATAAAGCTGGAAAAGAGCTGGGCACACAGGAAGGGAAAGACATATTTAAATCGCCTGCTCACATCTGTGAGGGGTGCATGCTGGGGATTAAGTTCTGGTGGGTGTGAAGAGAAGGGAAGACAGTGTTGCTTACTCTTGTGGAGCTCTCCGAGTCTATACCCCTGGACAACTAACAAGAACCCTTTCACATTTCAACCTCCTCGTAATTTAAGATCACGAGGTTGGTGAACAGCAATGTGAGGATCATCCTAGTTCTTAATGAACAATAATTAGCAGTGCTTAATTAGCAAAATCCCCAATCAAGTGTCAAGAGCACCCAGGGAATGGGTACAAGATCGCAGCAAATTCCATATTCTCTACACCTTAATCAACCATTTTTTTTAGATAAAACAAGCCCCTTGTGCTGAGTCTGTGATAAAGAACGAGAGTCATGTGACAAGGATGGAGGAGTGGGCGGAGAAGTTTATGCCTTGGGAGGGCGGGTGGGGGGTCCTCTACACTTCACAACACCCCAAACCCCTTTAGCTCACCTCTGTATTTTGTCAGAGGGCTGTCCCCCGAGAGCGCGATCAAGGCAGCAGCCACGGGCAGAAGCTTGAGGACACCCACCCCTGTGCTGCACGGGAACAAATCACAGAGACAAGAGAGGAAGTGCACGGTTACTCTACAAGACACTGTTTATAAAAACTGTCACTATAGGGCTGGGGATTTAGCTCAGTGGCATAAGTGCCTGTCTGGCAAGCATGAGGTCGTGAGTTCAATTCTCAGTATCACAAAAAAAAAAACCCTGTCACTATCAGTGGACACTTCTCACACAGTGGTATCGTTCTGGTTTTTCATGGTCTCTTTTCCTATCAGTAGATTTGACAGAATGAACCACTGAACTAAAATCTTTCACTATTCATTCATTCTTTCAACAAATATTTCTGGGGCTGTGGTTACAGGCTTTTTCCTGCTCGCATGGGACAGACAGTCCCAGGACTCAGCTGCCTGAAACCAAACAACAAAGATAAGGGCCCAAATGAGCAAACATGATAATAAAATAAATAAATCCTTCGCTATTTGTGGGCTCTAGCTCAGAACCTCATCTTCCTTCGCCCACTTGCTACATAGTTTGCAAATCTGCAGGACATTTTATCAAAGGCAGGAGGGCTGTTCTCAACGTGCACAATGGTTGGAATGATACTCCAGAGCTTAATGTGGAAAGAGGCAAAAATCAAGAAAGAAATCACCTGCCAGTCTGTTTCTATGTTATTCATACAGTTAAAAAGTAAATAAAAAAACTAGAAAACAAAGAAAAGAAATTTGCCATGATTCAAATGGTGCCTGCCTCTGGGAAGCAGGCTTACAGGTAACATTTCTTATTTATTCTTTTTTTCTTTACTTTCCACGTACTTTATATTGATTACATTTTTTACACATTCACTCTAAAAAATGAAGTCAACCAAATCAAGATTCCATAGCTTCCAAGATTACATAAATGCGTGTGTGGACGCTGATTGGCAAAGCCACTCACTTGGGGACACATGTAGTAGTTAACCCTTGGCCAGGGTCTAACCTAGTTCTTTAGGTTGGTTACCCGTGCACTGGCTGTTCAACCTGATTCTAGCTAAACACAAACTAAAGCCGTAATTGATAATGAGTTACAAAGAAACATACTACTAGGGAGTCGAAACAAAGTGTAATTTTAAATAGCTGGAGCTGTAGAATTGTCCTTGCAAAAGGTGTGCACACTCCTCTGGAGGGGAAATGATTCGTATAATATAAGGTTTTGTCCCTCCTTTTTGCTCCTGGGCGTCATTTATATCAGTGGCACTGAGAAGCCCTCAGACAGTCTCCGCATGGCACATCCTTCTCACCTGTCAAACATGGCCATCAGGAGGCTGGCGGTGAGTTCTGAAGCTCTGGGGTGCACCTGTTCCGCTGTTCCCACCCTGGCTCTCCAAAACAGCTCTTGGAGGACCCGCAAAAGCTGTGGCACAGAAAGGGAACCCGTGCCAGCTTTCCAGATGCCTGGGTGCAGCAGGACCTCCTGAACCAAGGCGCTGCTGACCAAGTCCACTGTAGGAGGCAGGTGGAGAATTGAGCCTTCGAATAAAGCACACGGCTTCCCATATGTAAACAAGAACACTGGATGTTTGCTATGTTCTTTAAAGGGAATTAAACACAACCACTTAGCGGACACATCGTTCTTGCGTGTGGTTTAGGCACTACTATTCTGACGGTCAACTTTATTTTGGGGAACTATGCTTTGAGATACTAAAATGTAATCAAAGTTTTATTGCCAGCGTAATCCTTTTGAAGAATGATGTTAAAGGGGATGAGAAGTGAGAAACTTGAAGTATAAACTTTCTAACCAAGTTAAGACACCGTGGCGGTAAGTTGAGAGAAAATCTTTTGTCTTTCACATTAAGTGAACTGAACAAATCAACCTTGTGTGCTCAGGTCACCTCTTCTGCCTGCACCTAGCTGGAAGAGGAGAGCGTGTTAGGAAGTTAACTGCAGCAGTTAAAGTCCACAGTGATCTTTGTGAGAAGTAATAGCTAAATTCTCAGACTATTTTGGTACCACTCTTGCCTTAGAAACAGTATTTTTAAAAATCTTGGTTCCATCAATATTATGCTCCAGAGAAGGCAGTTAATAAAACTGGAGTGGTTCACAAAATAATAGTTTATTACACACAGAGAGATTAAACACTCCGTCTTCTAAAGAAGTGTACAACGAAATGACTAGCCAGGCATTTCCACTTAATAAAGCAATTTCCGGTTAGAAACTAAACTAAACCAAATGGAAGCAAAACTACAAACTAAAACTAAAGAGAAAACACAAGTAGCTCCAGGAGGGCAAACACTTCTTTTCTGGCTGTTCCTGCTGAAAAGCTCACAACACAATCATCCAGCCCTTAAAGCCACTGTAAGAGCCACACCCAGCTCCTCTTCCCAGCAATTAAGCTTGGATGTTATTTTCTTATGCCCACAGAACAAAAATGACTTAATAAAAATTTACAAGGACAATATCATAGAACTTAAAAAGTAGAATCCATATAGGCTGCTTCTAACCAAAGGATTCAACAAATCAATGAGCTTCGTGATTTAACAGAGACTAAAAATAATGACTGAATCAATGAGGAAACGCAGCTGCGCCTCAGGGCGTTTGGACAGCTGCTCTGGGAGGGTGCTGTGTGCAGACCTGCAGGAAGGGGCGGCGCAGCCGTGCACTGCGCCTAGGCAACCGTGAGCCTCGTCTACATGGAGTGATGTTTTTTTAATGCAAAAATGATGAACGTGAGTGATTAATAATTTTAGGTATGCTGAGTGCCTGAGTTTATTTCATTTTGGGGAGTTTTAAAGGGCATTTTCCTAGGTGCTAAATTTAACCTGGAAAAGAATATAAGAAAGCCATAGTGTTCAATCAGATATAAATATAATTCAGAAGGGAAATTCCCTAGATGATTTTAAAATTTATGGACTAAATATATTTTATTTGCACCTATCTTTGCTTGGTCAGTTATAGACAAGAAGTACGCCTTGAACATTCAATTTGAAATTTAAATTTTTAATTTTTTAACTTAAATCTGCGAGTACAGATTCTTAGCTAGCCTTTTTAGTAATCTTACTTGATGTTGATATTGATATTCTGAAAGGAAAAACAAAAAACAAAACCAAAAAACCATAAGACCCCCAAAACCAAATAAACAGTGTTTCTAGAAGCCTAATAGGAAAAACAAAAAACCTGAAATCCTCATCCCCGACCATTTCCCATTGTCAGCCATAAAGCCACACAATACACCTGCACACCATCCAAGCACATGCCTCTTCCCCTCGGTGACAAAGGGGCTCGGTGTAGATACCTGCCCGGGAGGGGAAGGGCTGGTTTCTTTATGATCTCAACGCCATACATCACCAAGCTCAGGTACTTCAGCTGTTTCAGGAGCGCTTGTACTCACACTGGCATAGCGTTTGCAGTGATCATAATTTGAAGGCTGTTCTACAAATGGAATTCTCACTACTATGAGGAGTATCTGTAAGGAAATTATAAATAACATGTGTAAGAGATGGTCTCATTAGGTAAACCCCACACCATAGAGGGGAATCTTTGAGATCATTTAGCCCCCAATTAAAATGGAGAACTTTCTTTTCTAGCCACAAATATGCTGTGGATAATAATGTACTTACGGTCTCCTGGGACTGGAAGTGACCCTAAGAGTACCTTTGGAATCTACCAAATAGAAAACTTTGTCAAAAAGTACGGAGTCTTCCTGCATCAATCTTTTCAAATTGTACAAAAAAAACTGTAGGCTGTAAAAGCCATCTTGTCGGTGTATTCCAGTTTTAGGTGTATACATCTATTTAGGCATATATGAAAAAGACCCCAAAACTATGCAAAGACTTAATGAAGTCTTCTCACATGATCCTGATATGATTCTAAGTCTTTGAAATACAGTAGATAAAAGTTCTGACTCTTATGGATTTTAACTGTTAATAACATCCACCTAATTGTTAACAGTTAGGCAACTCAAATACTGAAATTATTGGTGCTTTTACATATTTTGTACTTGTCATCATTACCTAAATTGTCTTTAAAGGGCATATATTATTTTTATAATAAAACAATTATTATATCTTATTGCTTTTGTACCAGGAATCGAACTCACAACCTTGTGCTTGCCAGGTAGGTGCTATGCTGCTGGGCTATATCCCTGGCTCTAATAGCACATCTTATTTTGAGTGGGCATCACTGCATCAGTGGAGAGCATTTGCGAGCTCTCACCAGGCATTGTGTGTTACTTACCATTTCACAGTGGTCAGAGAACAGAGCTCAGGAGCCCACCATGTCTAGTTCTACTGATTCCTTCCTGTCTCCTTTAGGGTAATCTAGTTTTTGATTTGCAGTTTCTTCACCAGATCAATAGGGTTTATAATGCATTCCTTATAGGGTATTTACATGACTGGAATAAGGACATGAGTAATACCCTAAATTGTTTCTGTTACTTTCCTTGAGGACCTACAACTTAAATTTGTTCCATCAGTCTTCCAAATTTGATTTCCCATTTCATTTGAGACACAAGTAACAATCTCATGTCTTTTGGCTGTTTGAAAACAGAATTATTTGTTGTCTAAGACTGAAAGATCAGTCTTCATATCTAGCAAAACTGAAAGGTACAAAGCAGATCATCCCACCCATTCATATCCTCTTTAGAGTCACCAGTAAAGCTTTGTAAGACCTTAACGCTAGTTGTTTAGTTAACTTTATGCACATGGAATGGCCTGTTCTGATTATTGTTAGTATAAAGTAGTGGTCTTCAAAATATGGCTCCTGGGCCAGGTCATTAGTACCGCTTGGGCATTCTTTCAAAACGAAGATTCTGACAATACAGCACCAGGTCCTCAGCTCCATGCTCTGATGGGGGAGGGGACCCACCAACATTTGTTTCAGTAATAAAGTAAATCTTACGGAAACTAAGGTTTGAAAACTATCTGTGCAGAGGGAGTTTATTGATTCTGGAGCACCCGTCTTGGATCCAGCCAATTTGCAAATGATTCTTAGAGATAATTTACATAAATAACCAGATAATCAGCAAATCCTGATAACATCTGTGAATGTCCTCCTTTCCAATATTTCTAGCTTGTGTGTATAGATTAAAATTCCCAAGTAGAAACAGCAAGTACGTTTCAACCCATTACTCTGTTCCGAAGCCAAGCAACCCCTGCTGATTTGCTGGAGGGCTCTCTTGACGGCCTGCTTTGTTGGAGGCAGTGTGCAGGAGGCAGTGGAGGCTCTGTCGCCCTGTATTTTATTATTTTGCTCCAGACTAGTGACGTGTCATAGGGCTGATATAGAGCATTCTTGTTTTTTTTTACCCCTTACATTTAATATGGATGTCAAAAACATCATTTAATGTGCAATCAACATAAAAGTTATTATATTAAGTCTTATATTAAGTTCTTGAAATATGATATCTTTTTACACTTGCAACATATTTGAATTCATTCTAGCTGTATTCCAAGTGCCCTGTAACCACGTGTATGTAGCTGCTATAGAGTGACGGCTCCTATTAATGAAGCCCTTTGAAGGGGAGCTGTTCCAGGTGCTGAATTGGCCCTAGACTTTGTATTATGTGTCTGGAGTCAGGGTTGCTGGTTGGGTTGAGCTGGAGATTTAAGAGTCGTTTGTGTTAGATGTGAGCAACACCATGTCCATCCATTACACTGGCTAAGTAGAGTGCATTTAGTGAAGAGAAAATTAGGCTAAGCAACAGCAATCTGAGCACATGATGATTTCAGTAACAGAGGAGGAAGAGAAACCTAAGAGGAACAATGAGAAGGGAAAAGCAAAACAGGAGAAAGCAATGATGAAGGCCAGTGGAGGTGAGTATCAGAAGGCAGAGATAAACTAATGCTTCAATTCCTGAATGTCTTCTAGGGCTAAAAAGTCACCTCTGTTTTTAATGGTTAATTTGATTATTAAGTCTTTACAGGAGCAGATTCAGTGGAGACACTGATACATTACAGAAGATTAATCAATGAATGTAAGACTGTATTAGTTTCTTTTCCGTTGCTAGGACAAAATACACAACATTCACAATTTAAAAGAGGAGAGAGAGGTTTATTGGAGCTCAGGGTTTCAGAGGGCTCAGTCCATAATTGGCTGTCTCCAAGGTGCGGTGGAAGGGCATAGTGAAGGAAAGTTGCCCAACCCATGGTGGCCAGGAAACAGAAAAGAGGAGCCAGGAACACGAATATTCCTTACCAGGTTCTGCCCTTACTGATTACCTCCTATGACCAGGCTCCCCTTCCTAGCAGCACACAAACTCATCAATGGACTAATTCACTCATAAGTACAGTGGCTCTTTGAGTCAAGCCCCTTTTAAAAGCCCCATCTCTAAGCACTTGAGACTTTTGGAAAGCATTTTACACCTAATCCATAACAAAGGTGAAAAGAAAATCTAAAAATAGATAACTTTTTCAAGACCTTTAATCTGATGGGAAAATGAGAGGGCTATCACTATACCACATAAAATGAGAGTTGATTTTCAAAGGGAAGAGAGCTTCTAGAATGGATGTATGCGTGAGAGACAAGAAGCCACGAGAGAAGACATTGTGTACTCAGGAAGTGGGGGATCCAGGTGGTATTTGATACAGCAAAGTCCTTCTCTGATGGCACATTTCCCCTCTCCCACATGGCATGCATTCACCTTTCCTTGGAATAACTTTACCCTGCTCTGACCTCGTGAACCTGGCAATGTAATTCCAGCCTTTCCTCCTCCATGGAGGGCACATAGCCCAGGTCTAGCCCATCAGTGACTGCTTTGTCCTGGGAGCAGGACATGCCAAGAAAATGTGGCTCAAGGACTCTTTCTTCAAGTTGTGACAAGCAGATTCTTTTTTTTCCTGCTAAATTTAAACTTGCAATTGTGGACTGGGTCCACCATGCTTTGAGAAAGGAATAAACACAAGGAGCTCAGAGGCAGCCTTGGAGATGGAGAAACCATTGTGTGGTGACAACGTCTGACCCTGGCATGAGCTAGTTCATCTTACCAGTTAGCCCTTCCTTTATTATTCCATCTTATTTCCTGTAACATGTAAAAATTATATATATGTATTTATCACATATAACTTTTGCCAGTGCTGAGCATTGAACCCAGGTTTTATGCAAAACACAACACTACCGTTAAGCTATTTCCCCCAGTTTATCATGTGTACCACATTGTTTTAAAATACTCACACACTGCGGACAGCCTGAATTAACCTAATTCTCTTATACAATATCTCACATAGCTATAACTTTTGTTGCTAAGAATGTTAAAATCTCCCTTCACAAATTTCCAGAATAGAACATTCTGTTTTTAGCTATAATTCACCATGTTTTTAAAGAGATTTTCTTATAACTAGTTATAAAAGTTAATGCCTCTTTAATTTTCTATCACAAGCAACTAAAATATTGCTAACAAATGTGATCCCTAAAGGAGAGACCCTGGATGAGGAAAGATACACAGCTGATGGAACCAATTTTGGCAAGAACCTTACCCCTCATTCCCTGAGAAGGAGAAGGAGAAGATGGTGTGTAGTACAGAGTACCTGCTGAGAGTTTCTGTTTTCTTTAGGAATTTGGGAATCTGTTTATCCACTTAGTGATAGGAGGTAGTGATATGGCATAAAACTTCAGAAATAATGAAGATTTGGACTAGTTAGAGTGATGATCAGAGAGGAAACCAATTACAAACTTTGGTAAGAAATGTCAAGCAACGCCACCTGCAGTGTCTCCAGAGATAACAATTTCCAGTTCATGAGTTTACAGCCCTGTAGCTCACGGTAAGGGAAGGGTCCTGCCAATAGCCAGCTCTGAGCCTGAGACCAATCTGCAGCTGTTATGCGAAGGGGAAGCAGCCTTGCAGAAATGAGACCACTTTTGTAACATCGGCTGGTTGTTGCAGACCTCAGGCAGATGGGAGTGAGTGCCTGTGTGCTGGGGAGGTTTTGTGATTAGACACAGCCAGTCCTTGCACCTCGCTAAGTGGATCCCCAAAATAAAACAAGAGATTTTTTTCAGTGGATTTCATTGATTTAGACACATGTGACTGGATAATTTTTTCTTATTATTGCAGCAGTGGGAGAATTTAAAGAATGAAAAGAGAATTCTTCTGTGCTCATTCCTGTGTATGTTCCAAGGTCTAAGATCTGTTTATTTGTTGGGGAAATCGAAAGCTTCTTTGAATTTAAGCAGCTATCTCTGAGCTATTTACTCAGAGCTTGTCCTGAAAGGACAGAAGCCCACCAAAGAACTGACCTGTAGTTTTCCTGGAGGGGGAGAGAGGCTGATGCCTAGACAAGAAGTTGGGGTTGGGGCCCAAGGGATATTTCTAGGGGTGCATGGGACAGCCAGGGAGACTAGGGAACAGGGGTGGCAAGGAGTTCTGTGTAGACTCTGAAATCAAAGGCAAAGAACCACAGTAGTGGGAACCACAGTAGTCCACCAGGTCAGACACTCTGGTCAGACATTAAGGACAGAAGCTTCTGAGGTTTCTGTCTGTCTCCAAGGACTGGCTCCATCTCAAACTAACTCAATCCACACTTCATACTGAAGCCTGGTGGCTTCACTCTGGCTTGGAAGATGACATTTCTTGCTCTTGAGCGCTGTTGTGGCATAAAGCCCTACTCTTATACATGGGGACATGGAGCACTAGACACTTTACAAAGCCACAGCGATTTTGCACTGGTGCATTCAACAACTGAAGATCAAAACTACTAGAAAAAAATCCCATCTACACTGAACATGGACAGACTTTTTTCTTGTCATTATTTCCTAAACTACACAGTATGACAACATTTACATAATATTTGCATAACATTTACATTTCATGAGCTATTACCAGTAATGTAATGGTTTTCAGTATCCAGAAGGATACACATACATTATATACAAATACTATTTTTCCATTTCATGGAAGGGACTTGAGCACCTGCAGGTCCTGGCTCCAGTTGCTCATGGATATAAAGCAGCATCTGATCGATGCACAATCATGTTAAAGACGTGCACACAAGGTGAATGCGGGCTGTACCTAAAAACTGTCACCTACACAAGAGATCTGGCTTGAGCACCCTCCCTAGCTGATTTTGACTTTTTCAACAAATTCAAAGGCAGGGCAAAACACAATTTGCTCTAATTCTTTTGTTATTTAATGTTTCGTTAAGTTTCAGAAGGACTTAGTGTTCAGAGAAGAGTCCAACATTGGAGGACAGAAGAGGAGAGAAACATGGTCGGCTCTGTGAGGAGAAAGCTAAGTAATTCAGAGTAGACATAATCACGTGGGAATAATTTGCAAAAGTGTGTCTAGCATTTTTGTTATTCTGGACATTGGCCAGTTTCGTGCCCTGGTTCCTGTTGGATGCACTAAGTGGACGCATACCAATCCGGGGTTCTGCAGATCCCCAGATGTTGCCCTTGGTGGAGAAGCAGCTCTGTACCTGCCTGACCATGCGGCCCTGGAGTCCTGTCATAGGACGCTGCGGAGTCACGTGATGAGCCGTGCTGGAGTGCAACGGGGAGCCGACCGGGTGCTCTGCCTCTGGCCCTGCGCCCTCCAGCTTTGCTTATCGCTTGTTCCGGTTGATGATGGGAGAAAACCCAAGAAAAGAAGTCATTGCTGGATGTTGCAGGCTGCAAGCTATGAGCGATATGTAGTTTCGCTTCTTGGAGGCATCAATATAAGCCACGCGTGTTCATGTTCTTGGGACCAATTTGGGAAAAGTCATTTGTGTTGACCAGTCCTTAGCTTTGCTTAGCTACGTTACATTCGTTTTCCACAGATACTGTGATGAGTGTAATAAGATTTCTTTCAACTGTCCAGCATTTAATTTGAAGATCTACAAGTGCATACTGTAGGCCTGTGGTCCTCAAAGCACAGCTCCAGGCAAGCAGTATTGGGGGGCCCCGGAACTTGTCAGAAACCAAGGTTCCTAATATAACATATGTAACATGTGGGGGAGGTGGGGAACCAGCAGAGACCACCAGGCTCGCGCAAAGACACCATGGTGTGGAATTTACTGTACCTGGTGCAGCCAGGCAGACAGCAGTAAGATCGTCTGCTGGGAGCAAAGAGAAGTGCATCCCTTTTATATGGACAGAGAGAAGCAGGGAACATTAAGCGGGAAGATCTTAATATATGTCTGTGGTCCAAGTTCCCTGGAGTCTTGTACCACAGTAGGCAGAGTCCTTGAAGTGTCTAGAGTAAATTCTTGGGAATGTCCCCAGATGTCCCAGGGCCTGAAAATATCCTTGTCCTAGCTTATCTCCTTCAGGACATCCTGGGACAGCTTCAGCACTGAGCTGAGTGTCCTCAGGGGGCAGTGCTGCTGCTGGCAGGGAGGTGTGATGCGAGCCCCACACCCAGTCTCTGTCGCAAGCGACTTTGCCGTGTAGCCCCAACATTTTACCAAATGCTCCAAATGGTCTGGAGGCAAACAAAGTTTGAGAAACACTGCTTCGACTACCCGTGTTTCGGGTTAAGCTTATGGAGAGCAGAGCTCCAATTTGGGATGCTCAAAGATAATTTGAATCATTTGTAATGCTGTTTTCAATAAATAATGAGATCATACAGACTTTTATACAAAACAACTAAAGTTACCAATTTGGATTAGATGCGTGAAAGGGTTGCAAATAGATCCAGTAACAAAATGCTACGGACCAGTCCGGGGTGTAACCTGCATCTAGAGATGTTACAGGAAAGAGCTGGTTTTCACTGGCCGTTGATCAAATATTTATATAGTGACAGCTGGGGGACCTTTCACCCAGTTTCAGCCTACATTGTACTGACATTAAAATACCAAGCTGTGAAGATAATGACAAATAAGATACTTTTTGTGTATCTGAACAGCAATTTAAATGTAATCATATTGACATCAAGTTTTTGTTAAATTATTTTTGGTGCTCTTGAGACAGTGGCTGAAATGCTCTTCAACAGAGTATAGATTCCTGTTTAGAAGAGATTCCTGTTTAATCACCTGATAGATTCTTTTTGCAGCCAGGAATTTGCCTACTGCCTTTATCTGTGCCTGAGGTTTGTTTACAAACTGTTCAGAAACATCGCAATCTCACTCACCTTGTTTATTGCAGTCCATTTCCTGAGTGTGCTGCGATGACTGATGTCGAGAAGGTCGCTGGAGCTAAAGACGAACCAGTATTTTACGCGGAAGGTTTTTCCATGGAGGGGTGGCGGAGGGACAAAATCAAGAGGAAATCGTTTTACCTGGAGACAGCGACACAGTGTGCAGGAGGTCATGAAGGATCGGAAGGATCACGAAGGTCATGAAGGGCTCTTCGGAAAACTGAGAGCAGCTCCTAAACTCATAGCATCAAAAGATCTTTGGAGGTGCTGTCATCCTTAAAGTAGATTCTATTTTCATTTCAAGAAATGTAGGGCCAGGGATTTAGCTCAGTGGTGCAGTGCCTGCCTGGCAAGAGCGAGGTCCCGAGTTTGATTCCCAGTACCAAAAAACCCCAACAAAGAACCAAAACACAGAAACAAAAAACCCCAAAATGTAAATTTACAGACAAAATCAGAAGCTCTTAATTGCTGAAATTTCTAATAGCGCTATGCTAAATAATTCTGGATATAAAATTTCTAACAAATACTATTTATCAAATATATATGCATATATATACATGCGTGTCTGTACAAAATTCAGCCAGTATTTCATTTTAGAAAGAATAGTCAATTAGTTACCTCATTAATAGTTTGTTTCAACTATTGTTCCAACTAGGTTTTTTTCAACAAAAATAATGAGTCATGTTGTAAGACAGCCTTAAGCAGTTCTAAGGAATATATATCCCGTTTGTTGCAAGCTGTTTTTAGAAGTTGCAATGGTAGTTAAATTGAAATAACATTTTCCATTCTGAATGAATGGGTTAAAATACACATCTTCTGTGCAGATAAATATCACTGTGTAGAGAGAAGCTAAAGCAAAACCTTATTCCATTAGCTCTATAAAAATATGATAGGGACAACAGTAATCTGAGCCTTGCCAAGATCTAGGGAGTCTCCAGGTACATTCAGGTAAGGTCTGCTTTTGAAAAGCCACAGCAAGGGAAACCAGGCCAGCCAGCACTGTCCTTGGTGCAGGCATGTTTCACAGGCTACCCCCCCATCCCGACAGGTCCTTACCTGTCCTAGGTTCCTCGAAGAAGCATTCTAGTCAAGACTGTCTGCATACATGACCGGAAGCTCCAGGCAAGGAAGCCCCGGCGAGGAAAAGCTGGCAGTGTCAGGTGTCTGCATACACTCTCTGAGTAGTGTTGGTTTGCTGCTCTCACTGCCCAGAAATTGCATGCAAAACAGTGATGTTTGAAAGGCTCCCTGAAGTGCTTTCATTGGTAATAAAGAGCTTGAATAATTGAAGGCCACGCGTGTGTCTCTGTGTCAAAGGGCCATTAGTTTTGCATGGAGTAGAGAAATGTGAAACACTTTCTGGGAACCAGGAGAGCAGGGGTTACCATAGCGACCGGGAACCCATGAGAAGCACCCGTGCCCCAGGTAACCCCCTCTCACACCAAGCAGCCCAGAAAAGAGTTGCAGAACAACGAAATCGAATTAATTTTATGAATTCTTGTATAAACACAGAGGTATGTTCACATAGCCTTAAAAGGCACTAAATGCAAATCTTCAAGGATAATTATAATATGTGATACAAACACATTTCCTCTTAAATTTTAAGTATAACTTTAACATGTCTTTTTCCTAAGATAGTTTAGTTAAAAATTAACCCATTCTATGTCTCCTGGAAGTTTTTACAAGGCTGCATAGCATGGTCAGAACCTCACCAGGAAGGTCTTTTGGGCTGCTGAGGGAGGAGTTGATTTTAATGTGGGTTTCAGAAACATCTGAACTGTAGCATAGGTGTGTTTACAGTACAATGCACTGTACACACCTAGTGTTGTAGTCAGGGTTTGTGAGGAAAAGGAATTCATATAGGGCACATAATTTATAGGACTATTCTATAATATTCACCCAAAAAGTCAAATGAAAAGACCGTGGGAGATCTGTCAATGCAGTAGACACCCAAGGAATCCAGCTGAGGACTTGGATCCCGGAGCAATGCCCTGCATGAGTCCAGCTGAAAACCTAGAGCCCAGGACAATGCCTCCTGTGAGTCCAAATGGAGGCCTAGAGCTCATGACAATGATTCATGCAAGCCTGTTTCACGGATCTGCGCTGGGAAGGCCCCAAGGCCAGCGGTGGAAGCTACAAAGTCTGCACCAGCAGGATGAAGGATCTGTGCCAGTAGGCTGAGGTTCTGCACTGGAGCCAGGAAGCGATGCTCGAGGTAAGAACCAGAGCTGCCCCCAAGTGAACTGCTGTCTTCCTTAGTGACAACCAGGAACTCTACTGATGGTGAGAACAGCTAAGTTCATATCAGGAACACGGTGTGACACACTTCAACAGGAGAACCAACAGCATCACCCCTTGCTCTCTAGGTCTCCTTTTCATGTTGTTGGCAACAGACCTCAGGGGGGCCCTCCACACCCAGCACTATGCTGACTCAGTTCAGCTGCGTGTTACAAGCTAATATTGTGCTCTAACCAAAGCGCTGCCAACCTTTTCTGTATGCGTCGTTGCCCTGGTAACCCTGTACTCTGTCTCAACCTTTGTCCCCCTATATGAAAGACAGTTATTCCCGGAATTAGCCGACCACAAGTTGCCAAGATCCTGTAAAAGAGGAACTCACTGACCACTAGCTACAAAAATTTTCCTAAAGGCAGCTGACTAAGCAAGGAACTCTGTTCCCAGACCAAATAAGAGAACAAAAGCCTTCTTCACCCTTATCCCCTTCCACCCCTGCTTTGTGGGTTTTTTTCCTTTATAAGCCTCCCAAAAATCTAGCCTAGTTGCACAGTTTTGCAAATTCCAATGCTACTGTGATGCTGAGTACCAGCTTAAATAAAGTGCTCTTTTTGGATGTCATCTCATTTTTGGGGTACAACAACTACGAGTTGTCAATCTACCGTATCTGGAAAGCCAAAATGTCCAGGAGTCTGTGGTCCCAACTGTGACACTTAAAACAACCATGACTATCCCATAAACAAAAGCAAATTTAAAACTGAGTGTAAAATCCAAGAATAGCCAATTTACTCTTTTCTTTTTGAAAAGTTAGTGTCATGCTATTGGGCTCTTAAAAACTGAAACTGGGGAACATTTTAAAAAACAAAAATTGATAAATGGGATAAGAATGGGATCAAATTGAGGAGGAAAAACTGTTAACTTTTCTGTAACCAATTAAGGCAAAACTCTAGGAAGAAAGGAAATCTCTTCCACAGGAATTCTAGTTGAACGCTGCAGACTTAGAGGTGAAATCATATTTAGAAGTTTTGTGTTACTTTATAGCTACATCGAGATAGGTCGCAGTGCCTTTAGGTCGCAGTGCCTGCAGTGTAGCAGAAGGAGGTTTGAATGTTTTTGTTTAATGTTGTCACGCTCAGATTTGAGTCCATTTATATTAGAGATTAAGTCTGTGGACCAAAAATCTTGGGCCAGGGAGTCGGGGTCTAGCTCAGTGGTAGAACCTTACACTGAGACAGAGAGAGACAGACAAACAGACAGACAGACAGAGAGATAGAGAGAGAGACAGACAGAGAGATAAAGACAGGGGAGGGAGAAGGGGGAAGACATGGAGGGAGAGAACAAAGATAAAGAAAAAGTTTAAAGTTCCAATCAAAATAAAACAAATTAAATAGGCGTTAAAAGCACACAAGAATGTACTCGCGTATACTAAAAAGTAATTTAAGCAAACAGAGAGTTGATAGTCCCGAGCTTTCAGCTTACTCGGATTTTGAACAAGATTAGAGAAAAGATGTGAAAACTTTTGTGAAGTGGGCTTTATAGTTGCTGTTGCAACTCCTGGTTCAAAGTCAAAATGACCGTGGAAATGAAACATTTTGAGTCAACTTTTGGAGAAAGCTGTCTGCCTTTGTCTTCCCAATGGCTGTACTAATTTATATTCTCACAAGAGTGTGAAATAGTTCTTTTCCCCCCATATCTTCACCAAGGCTTGTTACCTTTCGTCTTTTGTATAATCGTCGTGTCCTCATTCTAACAGGTGTGAAGCAATCCCCCACTCTCTGTCTCTGTCTCTGTCTCTGTCTCTCTCTCTGTCTGTCTCTCTCTCAATAGTCTTGCTGTGTAGTTCAGGCTGGCCTGTGTAACTCACTGTGTAACTCAGGTTGGCCTTGCACTCGAGGTGATCCTCCTGCCTCAGCCTCCTGACTATTGAGATTACACGGTGTGTCACCATGCATGGTGAGGTAGCATCTCTTGGTCCCTCTGGTAATTAGTGATGAACACTGTCATGGTTTATGTCAGCGGCCCCCAAGTCTCATGCAATTATGCGTTTGTGATTGGTTCATTGTCTAATGCTTGGATTGGTGGTGTGAGTGCTACACCTGCCTAGGGGTGGTCCCAGGATATGATGTAAAGGCGTGAAGGAAGTTTGTCTCTCTCTCTCTCTTGCCAGTTACCATCTTGCTGTTTGCAGCCGGCCACGGATGGTGGCCTGCCATGCCCCCCTGCCACTTGGAGACAACTCAGTTACTAGGTGTTTTGTCCCAGCAATGAGAGAAAAGTAACTAAGACAAACATGTTTTTCATGAACCTGGCCATTTGTAAGTCTTTTGGGATATGCCTATTTTAAAATTAAGTTGTTTTCCTGTTCCTGAGTTGTATTCCTCTACATTTTGGAATTAACTCCTTATTTGGATATATTTTGCAGATTATTTTCCTCCATTCCCTAGGTTATGCCTTTATTTTGTTAATTGGGTCCTTTGCTGTAATCTCATTTGTCTAGTTTTATTTTGTTACCTTGTTTTCAAGGTTACATTAACAACAACAACAGCAACAACCCTACAGACCAATGTCATAGAACTTTACTCTCTAGACTTCCTTCAAGTAGTTTTAGGTCTTTTGTTTAAGATTCTATTTTGAGTTAAATTTTGTTATGGTTCAGTGTTTAATTTTATTCTTCATGTGAATATCTAGCTGTATCAGTAAAATTGGGGAAGAATTGTCTTCTCGTGTGTTTGTAGGAGTTTTGTCAAAAACCGATGACTACAAATGAGTGGGCTTACTTCTGGATTCTTAATTTTGTTCCAGTTTGTCTATTTTTGTGCCAGAACCATGCTGTTTTGATTGTTAAGGCTTTGTAGTGTGTTTTGGAGTTAGGTAGTTTGATGCCTCTGCTTTTGTTCATTTTGCTCAATTTTGCTTTGGCTGTTTGGGCTTTTTAGTGGTGTGGAATGTATTTTAAGATTGGTTTTCCTGTTTTTTAGGAAAACATCACTGGAATAATAATTTGGATTGCAATGAGTCTGTAAGTTACTTTGGGTAGTATGTACATTTTACTGATATTCAATCTTCTAATTCATGAGCATCTTTCCATTTGTTCGTGTCTTTTCAAGTTACTTCATCCACTTTCTTTTTATTTTTCAGTGTAAAAGTTTATTCTTTAGTAAAATGCTATTATTATCACTATTTTCTTCCATTTCACTGCAGCCTCATTTATCTTAACCTATATCAGTGCAATTTCGAGGATTTCCTAGGTGTGAAAGTCCTTTTTCCTATTATTTGGTGTCTTGTTTCTTATTTCGTATCATTGACATCAGTTTGTAGAACAAGTCAAGCATATAAAAGCATGTCGACAATCCAGTTAGAACACAGAATAGGAAGACTTAACTTACGATTAGATGAGGATTATAAAATATTTAGGTAGAAAGCAGGAAGATGCCAAGTATTGGTGGCTGAGACTTCTAAAAACAATCTGTAAAAATCATCAGTGAAAATCTGAACTGTTCTGTACCTTTATCTTAGTTTTCTTACATTAAACTTTTGATTTTTCAATTTTGAAATACACAAAAGCTGAGGACATTAAAAGTAACCACATTTATCCTTCACCCAGATTCATAGCTTGTTATTGTATTAATTCACCACACACACACACACACACACACACACACACACACACACACACACTGTGTTTTTTCCATACCATTTGAAAGTAAATTGCAGATACTTCCTCCTCTTTCTCTTAAATGGTGCCTAAGGATAAGCAGATTCCTCAAGCCATGGTGTAATTTTTAAAATCAGGAAGTTTAGTATTGAAATAGCACTATTATCCAATGGATATCATTCAAAATTTGCAAATAATGTCCTTTATAGTATTTTTTCCTGACCCAGGATCAAATCCAGCATTACATATTACCTTTTGCTTTTGTGTTCCTTTAGTGTCCTGTACTTTTGAACCATCCCCTAGCCTCTTCTTGGCTATCATGACATTGACTGTTTAATTGTGTGAGCCAGCCAGTGTGAAGACAGTATCTGTGCTCGTTGTGAGGGGGAAGGGACACATGATGGTTAATCCTGACAGTTGATTGTCTTGGGAGCCACCGAGGGGACTGTCAAAGTACACTTCTGAGTGTCCCTGGCTGGCCATATTTGGGCTCCAGCCCCTTCCTCTCCGGCACTTCTTCCCCTGAGCACTGTTCCCAGTTGTCATGCAGTGAGCATTCTGACCTTGATATGCCCTGTCGCCATGATGTTGGAACCAGACAACCAGGGACTGCAACCTCTGAAACCATCAGCCAAAATAAACCTTGACTCCTTAGAATTGTGGGTATTTCGTATTTGGTCTTAGCCAGAGCAAAACTTACCAATACAGCATGCCATAAGAAATCCTTTATCCTCACTGATTCACAGTAGGAGGAACATGATTTCAGTGTAATTACTGGGTAACATTACCTTTGTACACTTGGTTACTGTGTTAGCTCTTCAAGCTAATGTGTTCTTTAGGTATACATCATTCCATTACTTTTTGTTTTAACATTTTCTTGTCCAACAAGATATTCCAGACTTAGAAATTTACCCTGTCCCAGTCAAAGAGTCAATCATTTTTCTAAAAAGCCTGGGTTTCTTACAGTGAGGAGTGGTTTTAGACCCCAAAATCTGGGTGCTAATGCGTTCACTGCTGTGAACTCCAGAGTTTCTTGGGCTGCTTTGTACATGCATTTGGCTCCAATCCACAATCCAAAGCCAGATGTTTTTCTGTTCCTTTCTCTGTTCCATATTTGTTTGACCTTTATCTAGCACTGACTACCTGGCTTCTAAAAACACTGATCTTCTCTGCTAAAATACTCATTTTATCTTTGTTATACCAATCTTGACAGGTTCTCCTTGATCTAACACCTGTTTCTTCTTTCATTGACTCCTCCTTCTCAGTCTGGTGTTTAAATACTGGAGTGTCATCCAAATACAGCTTGCGCTCTCTTCTCTCACCTGTGAATGTTGTACATTATGTGGGTCCCTAACCCAGCTTTAAGCAGGCAATTCACAAATTAATAACTCTAGTCCTGTAGACTCATTGATAATCTGGGATCTCAATTTAGGTGTTAAATTTGTTTTTTTTTTTCCTTTTTTAAATTTTATTTTGAAGATAATAAAACCCAATAAAGCAAAACAAAACAGAGTAAAGCCAATGAAAACAAAGCAGTGAAGGTGGCACAGGACTTCAAAGCAGGATAGAAGGAAAGCAACAATGGCTACCACAATGTACCTTGTTATCTTCACAATAGCTGTCCATGTCATCAGACACAGTAAAAGCAAATAAAACAAAACAGAATAAAACCAATCAAAACAGAGCACTGGATAAAGCAAAACAATAAACTGGAACAAAAAATCCCCAGTGAGAATAATATTGGATTTCAAAAACAAGACAGAAGGAAATCCTCCATGTCTGCTATGTTACATGCTATTATCTTCCTAATAGAAGCTCAGACTACTGGCCGCAGGCCTGCAAAGTTAATCAAACAATGCAAGCATTCAGTTGTCTTTGTACCTCAGCTGCTGTCAGCTCAGCCAGTGCTCTGCACCAGCCAGTTGCTTACAGCACCAGTCGGCTCGCGGAGGAGCCATCTGGTTTCTCCCTTCCCGGGCCCGTGTGGCTTGCACAGATGACTGGAAGGGCAAATTGGCTTCCTAGGTGTTAACTTTGATATGCTCTCAATTTTCTATTCTATTCATGCATTTGTTCCATTTTTCCTCCATGTTTCAGGAAAAGCACCGCTCTCCACCCAGCTTTTGAAACAAAAGCAGGTATTTCCCCTTTTTATTTTCTCTCCTCACTACTTTCTCTCCCCTGCAAACCCATGAATGTTTCCTCTGGAATGCAGCTAGATTTCCCACTCCTTCCCTTCCCCACTGATACCTCCTCCGCCTCAGTCATTAGCCTCCTTGTCTGGATTCACACATCAGTCTCCCACATGGCTAGTGGTGACTTCAAAATCCACATCGCTAATCTGGGCATGGTGGTGCACACCTGTAACCCAAGCACTTCAGGAGGCTGAGGATCAAGCCCAGCCTGGGCAATTTAGCGATTTAGCAAGACCCTGTCTCAAAATTTAAAAAGCATAATAAAAAGATCTGGGGACATAATTCAGCGTGTAGTCCCTGGATTCAATCCAGAATACTGAAAAAATCTAGATCATTAATTGACACTTAATGAAACCTTCCACAACCTGTCTCTTAATCCAAACCTTTGCAAACCTTTCCTATACTTGTCTTGTTCTGATGGGAGCTAGCTTTGACATCTTTCAAAACTTGCTATTCCCCTGTTCCCCTTCATCCTGGACCCCTGGACTTGATCTCTGCCTGCTTGCACTCTTCCTCCAGCGCATCTTGTAAATGAGCCACTCTCATGTTTCAGGCGTCATCGACTCCTCCTGACTGCGCTTTCCGCAGCTGCTTCCACAGGTCACTGTGTTCGATTCACAGCTCTTCGCTCACTCTGAGCTCAGCATGTGTCTTGGTATGTTTATGACTTGTCTTCTTCACTCAAAAGCAAGCTCCTTGAAGGCAGGGCCAAGAATCCTCTTGCCCTATTTGTCCTTGTGTCCTCAATGCCTGCTGCCTGCACTGCATGAACCATCATGAACATTCTAGAAGTGTGTGGAATAAATGAATCTGGCGAGACTGGTGAGCCTAGTGCAGGGTCACACACTATGATCTCAACCAGTCAAAACTGGATGTGGCTTTATCACGGATCTGGAAGTTAATTAGCATCTGGCACCATCAGGTATCTACACCATCTAAATAGCTTTCCACAATGCTGACTCTAAGATTTATGTCTGTAGTTTGTTTTCCATGCAGCTTATGGGAAATGAACATGTTGTTAGGATTGTAGGCATTGATGCCTCTGATGTTTTTCCTTTACATCTAAGGTAGATAAGTTGTCATTATCCTATCATTACACTTGCTTTCTTGGTTATGTAAGAAAGATTAATGGGACAGATATACAGGGATTTTGAGGTCACCTTAAAGACCTTACAATGGAAAGAACTTTGTGATGTAATCTGATTGGCATTCAGAAAGAAAATATTAGTTTGGTTCTTGTCCTAAGAATGGTCTCTTAAGCAGTCATAGATGAAAGAAATCCAGTGCTTGGAGGGTTGGGGTGGGGTGATCATATGTTGAAGGCCAGCCTGGTTGTTGTAGTCAGGAGTTGTACACAGAGAACAATTCAGTCAGGACATGGAGTTTATAATATTTTTATAATGGTCACCGGAAGTTAATACAGGAGAATGCAGGAAATCTATCTGCAACACCAATGACATAGATTATATAAGTCAAGAGCCTAAACCCCACGGTAATGTCCCACATGAGTCCAGATAAAAACCCAGAGCTCAGGACAACGCCTCCACGAGTCCAACTGGAAGTCCAGGGCCCACAAGGACTCACGCCAGTCTCTTTTATGGATTCGTGCCGGGAAGACTCAAGGGTCAGCGGTGGAAGCCAGAAAGTCTATGCCAGCAGGATGAAGGAGCTGTGCTAGTGGGATGAGGGTTCTACACTGGAGCCGAGAAGTCATACTCACAACAAAGAGTGGGGCTGTCCTGAATGGAACCACAGCTGTCCTCAGCGACACGGAGGCCCCGAGCTCCTCCGATGACAAGCACAGTCGGGTACATGCCAGGAAGCAGCGTGACGAGTTCATCCTGGCGACCAGGCAGCACATGTCTTCCCCTCCGGAGCCAGGAAGCAATGCTCAATGTGAAGACCAAAGCTTCTCCAGGAGAACCAACAGCTCAGACAGCAACTCGTAGAAGAACCAACAATGCCTCCATAACGCCTCAATCCCTCTCCACACCTCTCTTCTTCTCCACCTATTTATCCTGGCAACCCTCCTCAGGTGGAGCATCTTCTCTCAATGCATGCTGATATAATCCAGCTGGCGTTAAGTTGACCACTAGTTATCAAACCATAACACTGGTTTACACAATTTCAAGACTGGCTCGGGCTCTGGAGAGAGACCCTGTCTCAAAAAGCCAAACCAACAAGGAAAACCCCTTAGGAGGCTCTGCAGTAATCTAGAAGAGAGGTAGGAGAGGCTGGGCCACAATGGTCATCATGAAGACTGGCTTCTTGTCAATACAGAATCACGTTTTTGAAGGTAGAGACAACAGGATATTCTGCAGGAGGGTGTTTAATGTGGTTTGAGCAAATGGAAGGATGAAGTTCCTCTCTATGGAGGTCCTGTGAGAGGAGCAGGTTTGGTGTGAGAGATCAGAATTAATAGATAAGGTTGAAACCTAGTTATTAATATGAAGGCTTCAGGAGGTGAGGCTTTTGAGAAGGGTAAGTAATCTTATAAAGGGGCCTCAGAGAGTTGCACTGCCCATGCCTTTATGTGAGGACACAAGGAGAAGGGATCATTTATGAACTGAGAAATGAGTCCTCACCATCACTGAATTTTCTGGCACCTTGATTTTGGACTTCCTGGCCTCCAAAACTGTAAAAAAAACGTTGCTTTTTTTTTTTTTTTTTTTTGAGACAGAGTCTTGCTGTGTAGTTCAGGCTGGCTCTGAGTTCATTATGTAACCCAAGCTGGCCTCAAACCCATGGTGCTAGGATTACAGGTGTTCACTGCCATGTGGGCCTTCTATGGTTTTAAAGACATCTAGTGTAAGGTATTTTGTTATAGCAGTCTAAAAAAAACAAGGTGTATCTCACTGCTAAGTTAAGAAAGCATAAAGACTGAATTAGTCCATTTTCAGTAGTATAACAAGATACACGAGGATTGGTAGGTTATAAGGAAAAGAGGTTTATTTAAGTGCACAGATTTGGAGGCTAAAGTTGAAATAACACAGTGCCAACTCTGGACAGGTTTTCCTTGGCTACATCACATCTGGCTGGCAGCACTGTGGCAGAAGCCTGTGCAGGAGGGAGAAATGCCATGGCAAGACAGAAAGCCAGAGTAGGAGACCAGTCTTGCTGGTTTCATAACAGCTCTCTGGAAATAATAAACTATGAGTTCTCTGAGAACTATCTCTGCCCTTTGGGACCACATCCCCAACCAGCCTCTCAGTGGTTTCCACCTAGTAAAAATCTCACCATCTCTTTGCCTTGTCACACTGGGGACATAGTCTGTGACCCATGAACCTTTGAGAAAAAAGCCACATTCGAACTATAGCAAAGACTCAGAGCTCTTCATCAGCTTTTGCAAACATGGAGGTAATTCTGGGCGTGGACGAAAACTCCACACAGCACATGTGGATGTGACTCTTGCATGTTTGTCTGGAGCACGGCACACCAGGCTGTACAGTCTCTTTCCTAGGGACAGGAGAAACACCCACAAGAATATGGGAGACAGTGTGTACCCTGAAAAGCCCCTGATGTGGCCTCTGTGTTTAGAAAAACCACATTCTTTGTACCAAGGAAATGAGAGGTTTGTGATTACATATCTCTGTGGGCTCCAAACTTCTGCGCAGAACATATTACTGTATGAGGCAGAGCAGCTGCTCACTGCTGGGAGGCTCAGCAGCTTGCATGCAGACGCTCAGCTGCAGGTCTGGGTAACCTTTCTGTGTCCTGTGCATTCAGCTGTGGGCCAGGAGCATCTATCTCAGCATTAAAGATGCTTCCTTTGAGGCCAGCGAAAGAGCGAATCAGAGTTCTATATAACATTACTTCACGCCTGTTCCTGTAGGGAGCAGAGAGAAGAAAAACGTTTTATCTTCTATTTTTGGAGTCTCGTAATTTCCACTTCCATGAACCAAAAGGAAAGAGATAATGATTTGGCCAAGAGAGAAAAGGCGACCCCACCATGACAGAGCTGAGAAGTTTGGGGGCACTCAGGCAGGGCAACCAGCACCCACAAAAGCAAGCAGCAGCAGATCTGGAACTTACAGCACACGGTGCATGAGTCTGCGGGTGTCAGGATGCTGCAAATAAAATGACTTACCGGTGAGCTGAGAAAAGAACCCTGTGGTCAGACAGTGATGAAAAGTATCTGGAGTGTACACGGGGTGGGTCAGATGGATTAAGGGCGGCTGACTTAGGAGGTAACTGCCGTCACCCAGGTGTGGACCAGCCCAGCAGAAGAAGCGTGACCTGGCGACACTTCAGAAATGCGAGTTCTGCCTGCTGAGAATTTGCATTCAGCCTATTGAGTGATAAATTTCAGATATTTTAAACTTCACCATCTGTTTCAACAGATGATCGTGAGTCATGCTGGTGCCGCTGGTCTGGGATTGAAGGATGTGGATGGTGTTCACTACCCAGAAATCACAGGAATATTCGAATATCTGCCAAAGCAGGGTTTGAGCCTGAGTGGGAAAAGTTAGTTGTTTAAATTACCTAAGTCTGATTATTAATTCTCCTAAAACAAATAACTGGAAATACTTCTCTATCAAGTTATGTAGATATTGGCTATACACACACACACACGCGCACACACGCACACACACACACACACTTTGGTCTGCAAGAAACCTGCTCTGTGATCATTCTTCAGGATGAGCAAACATTTCTAATAAATTTTTATCTTGAGAAATGAGTGATGTCTTGCAATGTGAGTACTACAGGACACTGAGCATCAGTGATTTCTTCTCTCTCTCCCTCTCTCCTTGTCTCTTTCTCTCTGTGGGCATGGGGTGCTCACATCTCAATAGCCAGAGGTTATGGAGCAAATCTCATCTGCAGAGGAGAGAAAAAGGTGGAGGAATCCATCATTTCTAACGAGATGAGTGAGATGTGTAAAATGTGGGAGACAGTGCAAAATTTTGTAGAAGAAGGGGGTAGCTATGTGAATAATGCATCTGTTTAAAATAACAATGCAGTGTCATATTTCTGTGACATCCTCAGATGGAGGCAAAGCAAGTGTCATTGGACAGGTTCCTTGTTAAAACTGCACAAAAAGAAAAAGATTCCACTGAGCCAATCGACACCAGTGATTCCGTCAGTGATCGTGAAAGTCATGAAAGTTGTCCTGTGAGGCACCACTCTTCTCTGGTCTCCCTCACACCAGCCACAAAGGTTTCACAGGTAAGTGCAGGTTAATTGATTTTTCTTTGTATTTTATTTTATTACTTTGTATAATAGTGTAGTATTTTAATCATTTTTATATGAATATTTTGAGTATTTTGGGGTTGTGGAATAAATTATCGGAGTGCCCATTATTTCTTGTGGGAAAATTTACTTTAATATACAAACACTTTGGATTATGAGTATGTTTTCAGAAAGAATTATGCCTCACAAACCAAAGTTTATTGTCTATCTATCATCTATCAATCCCTTATCATCATCAACCTATCAATCTATCTATGTCATCTATCTCTATCTCTCTATCATATATCACTACTGTCTGTAAGTAACAAACTATAACTATAGGATCTTTAACTCTAGAGTTGTTATTTGACAGAAATTTTAGACTGTCCTGGGTTGACTCAGGGGGCACCGGGTTTTTTCTATCTTTTCCACTTTACTCTGCCAGGGGTGTCCTTCTTCTGGCCACAAAATGACAAGGAAGCAAGCATTGTATCTTGGCCAGACAGTGTTTGAAGCAGGAAAGAAGTAGGGAGGAGCCATAGTCTGTCTCCGTCTCCGTTTCTGTCTCTCTCTCTCCCGTGCTCCCCTTTCCCACGGTTACAGGCCTGCAGATTTCTCTTTATGTATCATTTCCCCAAACACTGGGTACATGCTTGTCCCTGGACCAATTGTCAAATGGGACTAGGTCACATATATCAATATCCATGCCCTGAGCAGCCATCCTGACAAAATCAGTTTTATTAGTGAAGGGGAAAAGGGCCAGCCACGGTGGTTCACACCTGTAATCCCAGCACTCACTCGGTAGGCTGAGGCAGGAGGAGGAGCAACACAAGGTCAGTGCCAGCCTTGGCTAAATAGAGAGTTCAAAGTCAGGCCAAAATGCATAGTGAGACCCTGGCTCAGAGGAAAAGAGGAAAAATGCAGTGAGAGAGAGAGACAGAGAGAGAGAGACAGAGAGAGACAGAGACAGAGAGAAGGACAGAGAGAGAGAGAGAGAGAGAGAGAGAGAGAGAGAGAGAGAGAGAGAGAGAATAAGAGAGAATAGGGATAAGAATGGGGAAAGAATCTGACATGCCTGGTAAAGCCAACACTTAACTCACATTTTAGTGACCAATAATTATAAACATAATGTCTTTTCCCAAATCTTGCTCTCAATTTTCCACTACATATCCCTCCCTTGGACCTTTACCATAGCAGGTTTAACAACACTGAGAAATTATTTTTAATAATATGATGTTAAAGTTACTTCCAATGGAGAAAACTAGATTTGAGATATTCCAAGTCAGTTTGTTACATGAAACAGGGCACTATGAGACCCAGAGCATGAACTGAACAAACAAAATCACTCCCAAAATTGTTTTTGAAATGGTAACACCCTTGTTTTTAAATTGATAGCAAACATGAGTATTTTTCTGCCAGTGAAATTTCATGTCATAATCTGGGAAAAGGTATGGTGGTGGATTTAGTGCTTAATATCAAGCTGTTCTGTTTGCCTGTGGGAGTCTATTCCAGAGCATGCTGTATGGGTGTCACACACAGGGCAGTCCAAACCCACCCTGTAGAGCACAGGCTGATGGGGAAGGGGCTGAACATGTCCGTAAGAGCATAAAACTCTTCCTGTGTTTCTGGCCATCCTCTTCCTGGGTGTCCATCAGATGAAGAAGAAATTGGTATCTGATTGGCCAGAGCTTAGCACCCCCCAGATGATGAAAAGCTAAAGTGTGTGATGTCGTGATCCTGCTCTGGCTTTTCCACTATGTTCTGGGTAATGAGCAGTTCACATATCTGATTTGAGGGGTACAGAGCAAGGAGCCTTGCTTTGAGTTCTTGGTTGAGACCTGTTTTTCAATCTAGTTCAATCTTACCAAGAAACCAGGTAGGGGGAGGCATAACTGCCATGTGCCTACAGCGCCCCATCTGTGCACTGCTCTTTGTGGTCACACCCTACCTATGGTTTGGGACCCATGAAGAGGCAGGGAAAGTGGTCCGATTAGAGAATGAGCTAAGGTCCTTAACACAGGCACTACACTGTCTTCGTGATAACATCCAGTCAAGTCCTCACTTTGGAAACAAGCCAAAGCTTAGTGTCATGGTTGGTATCTTGATGTCTCCCAAGAGCCTCAGGTGCTCACAGGTGGGGCTTTTGGAAAGAGACTGGATTATGGGGCTCATCACTGACTTGCTATGATGAACCCCATCACATTGAGGAGGTCTGGTCAGCAGGGCTTCAAAGGGTTTCGCTCCTTCCTTGACTTTTTCCTTTCTTCTTGGAGGCCATGCCATGAGCGACCAGCCTCTGCCATGTTCCCGTGCCAGGCTACTGTGCCTTGGAGATGGCCCATGTGGACCGAAACATCTATAAACTGTGAGCCTTGATGGTGCAGGTGTCCTGTACCTTGCCCAGTGATGAGGAAGCAGCCAAGGCTGAGTCAGGGACTGGAATTACCCACATGATTATGAAAATACAGAAGCCACAATCGAACATCTCAAACTCTTCTGAACATCCAGAAAGTAATTTGTACCTTGAGAGTTATTTAAAAATACAGAGAAAGGACAGAGAGCTGCGGTTTTTAACCATACTCTGGTTAAAAGTTCCTAGCTGGCACTTTCGTAGGTTCCTAATAAACCTGAAAATGTATGAGTACATTGGTTTGACTAGTACAGCTTTAATAAAAGACTAATTCCCAGGGGATGCAATTTTATGGTAAAAAATTTGTGTTTTTCTTTAAGTTTACTCAGGCTGTCTGTGGTATCAAGATACAGAAACCTATGCAATGGAAGTTAATGAAGACTTGTTGCAAAGATGCTTACATAAAACTCAGTGCACAGCCAGGTCTTCTCAAAGTGGGGAACCTGACCAGCCCAGACCTCACAGGGGAAACCTGTGATCTTCCAAGTCAAACACCAACCCACGCTACCATTTATGTTCAAGTGTGTGTATGTGTGTGTAACAGAGAGAGAGAGAGAGAGAGAGAGAGAGAAGACAAAAAAAGATTGCTTCTCCTTCATTGTAGCCGAGGCCAGTGTAACTGAAGCCAAGATGGTTAGGACATGTGGGCAGATGTGCAGAATGACTGGGGGGAGGAAACAGGTCTCTCATAAAAAGACACAATGCCTGACAACTTTTTAAATGTAGTTTTTCAAATAGTACTTGACAAAAAACCATTTCTGAGAAAATGAAGTAAGAAATGAGTGAACATAGGTGACACAAAATGATTGAACTGAGGTTTTGTGCTGCCACAAAAATATTTAATTGCTCGTACAGTATTGTCTGAGGCTGCAGTAAATCTTCAGTTATTCCTCCTTACGTGCAGCCGTTTGTAGATCTTTCTGTATTTATGACAGTGCCAAGTAACTAGATTTGGTCTGACTGCATCCGTTAGTGTCTTGCAGTTTTGCCATCAAAGTCTGTAAAAGGAAGAAAAATGAAGGGATGTGACTATTAACACACGGTATATATTAGTTTTTGTTTTTTTAGCTTTTATTTTATTCCCTTCTTCCTGTTTGCTGGGTTCCTGAATTCATTTTGATTCAATGGCTGAGGAAGTGAACATGTAAGATTTTATGGGGAAATAAAACCATGAGACCATTACTAGGTATTTTCATGTAGCAAATATAATTCTGGCCTCTGCTGACCTTGTGGCATTGTTATGTGCGTATGTTTTGGCTCCTCTACCCGCCATTCTACATTTTCAGCTGTATTCTCAGCTCTATTTTGTCTCTGGGCTCTGCTGTTCCTCATTGCATTAATTCTGATTTTCCATCTAATGATGAGTCCCAGTCCAAGGACCATCATTACACACACTTTCAGAACGAAAGGTCCACTGGATCATGTTCCTTTTATTCGACATCTCCCTCCCCAACCCCTCCCTTCTATTTCTGTTTCCTGACCACTGTGTGAACACCTTTCCTTCATGATGTTTCTCTGCCATGTGGACTTCTGCCCTGGATCCAGACGACCATTCGACAGACTTCTGAGACTGCGACCCAAAATAAACCTCTCTTCCTTTTGGTTGTAGGTGTTGGATATTTTGTCCCTGTGATGAGGAAACTGACTAACTGGTACCAGGAGTGGGATTACAACTGTGACTGTACTTGACCATGTGGTATAGAAGCCATCAGGCGATGTCAGTTGGAGATGTCAGTTAGAGAAGGCCTAGAATGCAGTAAGCTGAGCGTGACTGGAGTTCCTGGTCAGAGCTCAGAAGACCAAAACAGAAAAGCAGAGAACGAAGACCAAGCTCAGAAGGTTTCACTGGGAACATGGATTCCACTGACAGCTGGACTCCAGCCCATGTATATTAAGCTTTGGCAGAAAATTTGTCTATATTTTATTCATGTCTGGAGACTTAACAGGAGCCTGAGATTGATCACTTAACAGTTTACCCAGAGCATCACTTGGGCAGCATATTTGTTTAGGTACTGACTATCCTGAGAAAGGAAGTGCCTATAAATAATGGACCCTGTGAAGTTTTTGTCAAGGAGAGGTTGTTTGATAAAACTATCAGTAGTAAAAAGAAGCCAAATACTTTGTATGTGGACAATTGGTAGGATGTCTTTAGAACATACTGGAAATCAGCAAACCCAACCCTTTGAAAGCCCAAGGATCCAACTGAAAGACTGTGTTTGACTTTCTCTTTGATTTTAACAGTGGTTTATAGCAAAGAGTTTGCCTTGAGTCTCTGGTAAGACTTTGGATGTGGGCTGTTCCATGGTGCTGAACCTGTGGAGACTTTGGTGAGTCTCAGAGATGGACTAAATGCATTTTGCATAAAGAAGGGCACACAAGTCTTTAGGGGGTCAGGGTGAAATGTTATAGCTTAGATTAAAAAGGTCCTCTAAAGTCCTTTACACACTGATAAGTGGGGCTTTTGGTAGGTGACTGAATCCTGGGGGTGACATAGTTGATTTGTGGTTAGGAGGTGAGACTTGGTCCGGACAGGCAGATCACCAGTACATGCCGGATGCTGGATGCCTCCCTTCTCTCTCTGCTTCCTGGCTGTCGTGATGTAAGCAGCTTTCCCTGCTAGGCCCTTTGCTCTGCAGTTTTCTGCCTTAGAGCCAGCCAATCATGCAGGACTGAGACTTCTAAAACCTTGAGCCAAAATACACCTTTCCGTGTTTAGGATGTGTGTGTCAGGAGTTTTGTCCAAACAATGAGGAAAGTGATCAAGATCCTCCACTGTTTCTTACATTCTGAAAACCTTGTACTCTTAGAAGTTGCAAGATCTTAAACTATGTTTTCATGGAGTCTCAATTCAAGCCTCTGCATAAATATTGACAAGTACAGACATTCCTCGTTTGATGACTGAGTTCCACTCCTGTGAGTAGGTTGTTAAATGAGCTGGTTGCTGCATGAGGAACTACACGGAGCCGTGGTGGTGAACCTGTGGTACACACGTACTGCAGGAGCACTGAGCTCTGTCAGCACACAGACCCTGCCCCAGCCAGGGTCTGGCAAGTTAGCACACGTACAACAGTGAAGGTCATGTTAACTGTGCAAAAGCATGTTAAATGCAACTGTTGCTTTTCAATAAAGAGCTGCTTGTGTCATTGAAAGCTCTGTTATTGTGTTTTGGAAAGATGTTAATATATGAGTCATTTTTTTTTCTAAACTAAAACCTCAGGATTCAGGCTCAACTGCCATGTTGGTACTTGGCAATAAATAAGTGGGTTTTGAGATGCACTTTGTGCACTCAGTCTCTAAAAGGTTTTTCATCACTGGTATATGATATGTACACTACAGTGTTTGGAACAAAGAAGTGGTCAAAGGAAACTCCAACTGGATGGCTTTGCTAGTTTTGCATAACTCTTACATGCAGTACTGTAATGTATAACAGAATATGGAACTATGATGCTGTATTATACTGTGCTGTACAATCAGCAAAAATTACAGGATACTACAAACAAGGAGTAGTGTACAGAAAGAGACATGGAGGCTCTGTTAGGAAGATGCACAGAACTGTGCTGCAAGGGAAAAAAGAGACTGTCACACGTGTGAACGTCAGGTCCTACCTAAGTCTGAAGAGTGTACCTTGGTCACAAGTTCAAACAGTTGTTAAAACAGGTAGGTTGCTAAATGAGAAATATCTTTATTCTGTGGGTGTCACACACACACACACACACACACACACACACACTCAGGAAGAGAGAAAGATACAGAGATACAAAGATACAGAGAGACAGAGATGGAGACAAAGAGACATAGAGAGAGAGACAGAGAGAGAGAGACAGAGAGGGAGAGACAGAGAGAGACACTCCAGATTTCCTGGTGCAGGATAATTCCACTTTAGTTCTCTGTCTTTTCCTCTTATGCACCTTCTGAGAAGGTTCCTCTCTTGTGACAATGACCATTTTGTGCTTTTTGGTGAAGAATTAAGTAGAAAAGGAGAAGGGCTAAGAGTGAGGTTAAAGCATTTTGGAAGAGTCTGAGGTGGGTCATGGAGGCAGTTTCAGTAATTAAAAATAATTACTGTATTACCATTTGTATCCATCTTTCAAAGGGCTTAAAAAGTGTAAGAAAGGAATCAGTCAGGCTTGATGGTTTATTCCTGCAATTTCAGCACTCTGAGAGAGGCTGAGGCAGGAGAATCAAACACTTGAGCCCCATCCTGGCAATGTAGCCATTTAGCAAGACCCTGCTGCAAAATAAAAAAATTAAGGAAAGGGCTGGGGATGGAGCTCAGCATGAAGGCCTTGGGTTCAGAGCATGGCAAAGAAAGGGGGGAGAAAGGGAAAGATCAGAGTTACTGAAAACTCATTTCCACTTCTGCCATTTCTTCTGACCACAATCACTACCAGCAGATGACATGAACGGCGGGTGTGCACTCTCCAAAGGTCCCAGCAGCCCCCTTGACTCACTCGGCAAGACTGACTTCATCTGAGGTGACACTGGATTGCATGCTGTCCTTATGTTCTGAAACCAAAATTAAACAAAACATGCTAAGCTTAGAATATAACCCACAGCCTGTGCGATGCTCTCACGGGTGCTGTTCCAACACTGCGGAACAGGATCTGCAATAAAAAGTGCACTTTATGGTGTAGCCCAGTACGTTCACATCCAGCTGGCAGCTGGACTCCAGCCCACCGGTATTAAGCTTTGGCAGAAATTTTGTCTATATTTTATTCATGTCTGGAGACTTAATACGAGCCTGAGATTGACCACTTAACAGTTCACCCTGAGCATCACTTGGGCAGGATAGTTGTTTACATCCAAATGAAAAGTACAGGAAATAATACACTCTTTCTAATCCAGTTTGTTTTCATTTCCTTGAAAATTTTTAGTTACAATCTCTTTTTTCTTTTCTAGTTCATTGGGAGGGTAACCCTGGCACTCTTATCTCCTCCTCCTGCTCCTGCTCCTGCTCCTCCTCTTCTTTTTCTTCTTTTCCTCCTCCTCCTGCCCCCTTATTCTTTTGCTTTTTTTTTTTTTTTAAAGAAAGAAAGACAGCCAGGCATGGTAGCACATGCCTGTAATCCCAGCACTTGGGAGGGATTACAGGCAGGAGGATTACAGGCAGGGGATTGAGGCAGGAGGATCACTGTGAGTTCGAGGCCAGCTTAGGCTACAAATTGAGTTGGAGGCCAGCCTGCACTGCACATTGAGACCCTGTCTCAAAAAGGCAAAAAAAAAAAAAAAAAAAAGTTTATTTTGTCACACTGTTTCAGCCATCTCAGTCTATGACTGACAGTCTCCAATGCAGAAGCACCACAGCGGGTAGAAATGGAGACGGTGTATTTTATGAGCACCAAGAAGCAGAGAGTAGAGAAGAAGGAACCAGGGCCAGACGAATGCCCTCTGGCCACACTGCTTCTCCAGCAGACACCTAGACATGGGGCTCCGGCTCCCCTAACATCCCAGGCATCTTTCAGGTCAGAGATAACACTATTACTCAGACGACCCGGGACTCCAGCTAATACAGCCTTCTAGGAGCATTAAATATTTGAAGCTATAGTATATGAAGTTATATTCAAATATTTCAAGGAAAAAGACAGACACTATGGTAACTACTATTAAATCGGGTTATTTGGTGGTGAAGCACTAGATTGCTGAAACAGTCATGCTTTGACCTGTATTGTTATGTTGTTATGTCCTCTTTTATCTCAATCTCTCCCTTATTCATTAAAAAATTATTTAGTTATTTTTTATGGTTTTTTTTAATTAAGGGGAAAATTTTAAAAAATTAGCAGGATATATTATAGTAACTTTTTTTTGATTTCCTATTAACTTGTATCGAAGTCCTGTAATACTCCCACTATCTTGTTTTGACTGATTAGACTCTATTCCATTCTGTATGATAGTATCAAGTTTGGGGGTATACGCAACTACTTTGAAGGCAATAAGATTCACTAAGATGCCCATTCTGGTTTGACTATTGTCTCCTTTGGAAGTCCTGTAATGTTTACAATGTTTAAGTTTTATTGGTCTTATTCTCTACTGTTTTGTTCAACTTTATAATACCTAACGAGATAGACAATTCTTTTTAAGGAAGCAAGAGGCATTATGGTAACCACTGTTGATAACCTTGTATTCTGTTTTTACATCAGGTGCTATGTCTATCCTTGATTTTGACTGACAACTTTGTTTTGCCATATTTGACTTTATTCTCTTCCAAAAAAAAAAAGTAACAAGAACTAAGGAGTAATAAAACCCAAAATGTGTAAATTTTGTTGTAAAAAAGAGAGGGAAAAAAAGTGCTCTAAAGGATATAACTGCAAGTGTATTTAGGGGTGTTAAATAGATGCCCATATTAATGTTTTTGGTTGGATCATTGAACACAACTGTTTTCAGTCTCTCTGTTTGAATGTTCACTTTGTATGCTTTGATACCGTGACTTGAGCAACTATCTCTAAGATGATAATGTGTAATCTATTAACTGGTGATTTCTTACTGTTTTTTTTTTTTGTAGTTCTGTATTACTTGTACCCTTACACCGCTTCGTTTTGTTGTGTTTTTTCTCTTTTTCCTTTTAAATAAAATTTTTTTAAAAAAAGCCATAAAAGGGGGCGTTTCAGCTGTAGACGGGACCTCACAGCGTGGAGCCTCTGGCTGTCCCCGTCCCCACCAGGCAATGGCCATGGGCTGAGTCTTGTGCGTCCCTCCAGCAGTCGCTCCAGCCCGTGTGCCCAGAAACACGCTTGCTTCAGAATTCAGCTTCCACGGTGACCCGGGATGCTGTCCCTCTGTCTGAAGGAGCGGGGTGGAGGCTTCTCCTTCCTCTCACCTCTCCTGCAGATGGCTGCTACCGTTTAATTCTCACTTCCTGACTTTGCCAATATCTGTATACCATGGGGGAGGTGTACGTGCATTTCATTCTTAAAAATTCATTGCATTGGTACATTTCAGGTCTTCCTAATGATAATGTTCATCATTACACATTTGTACTTGTATATGCCACCTCTTCTTTGATATTTTCTTTTTTCCCCATTCCCCTTCTCTCCTTCCAATTCCTCTTTTCTTCCTTATTTACAAAAGCTTTGTTTCCATTTTTCCTTCTCTTTTTTCCTTTCCTTCTTTACCCCCCTCTGCCACCCTTTTTCTCCTACTCATTTGAACATTTTCTTCCCATTTATCAATCTATTATATATTTTGGTCCTTATTTACACTTTCAGCTTCTCACAACAGAGAGACAAGGAGAGACAAGGTGATATTTAAACGTACGTGTCTGATTTATTTCACTTAACAGTATGGTCTCAAGGTGCATCCATTTAGCTCAAATAAAACAAGTTTATATTTGTTTACAGCAGAGTAGTGTTCTATTGTATAAAAATACCACGTCTTCTTTATCCATTCATTGGTTGATGGACATTTGGGCTGTTTGCAAGAGTCAGCTATTACAAGTTGTACTGCTATAAACACAAGTGTGGTACATAGTGCTGTGGTATGATGTTTTTAATTCTTTCAGGAAGATACAAGAGGGGGAACAGCTGGGTCAAATGAAACCTGTAGTCCTAGTTTTTTGAGGAATCTCTGCACTGATATCCACAGTGGTTGCACCAATCTAAACTCCCACCAACACTGGAGAAGGGTTCCTCCCCGCTCTCCTGAAACTACCCTAACATTTGTTACTGGTTGATTTTTTTATAATAGTAATTCTTTCTGGAGTGAGATGAAATCTCAGTGTTATTTTAATTTGTATGCTTGGATGACCAATGTTGTTGAACATTTTTTCGTATATTTATTTGTCATTTGTACTTCTTCATCAGATCCCCAATTTTGGATTGAGTCGTCAAATCTGGGGAGTCTGATTTTTTTCTGAATTCTCTGTCTGAGGAACAGCTGGAAAAATTTTTTTCCTATTCTGTGGGCTGTTTCTCCACTCTGTTGGTGATTTCTTTTGCTATGAAAAAGCTCAGAGCAGAAATTAACGCAGTCAAGGTTAAGAAAACAACACAAAAGAACCAATGAATTGGTTCTTTGAAAGATCAGATAAAATTGACAAAATCTTAGCCAACTTAATCAAAAAAAAAAAAAAAAGGAAGCAAAAGACTCAAATCCATGCAGTTAAGAATGAAGAGGGTGAAATTACAACAAATTTTGCAGAAATCCAGAGGATCATTAAGATCTACTTGGAGAATCTGAATTCAGACAAGATAATTCTTCTGAATTCAGAAAATTCTTCAGATACAAGAAACAGATCCCTAGACACATATGAATTACCAAAGCTGAATTGATAAAATATAAAGGTTCTAAATAACTCAGTATCTGTTAATGAAATGGAAGATGTAATTAAAAACTTACCAACAAAGAAAAATCCATCAGGATTCACTACTGAATTCTACAAGAAATTTAGAGAAGATCTAATGTCAACACTCCTCATACTCTTTCATGAAATCGAAAGGGATGCAATACTCCCAAAGGCATTCTTGGAAGCAAGTGTTACCTAATACCAAAACCAGAGAGGGACACAAGCGAAAAGGAAACCTACAGGCCAATCTCCCCACTGAACATAGATACAAAATCCTCAGTAAGACACTGGCAAACAGAATGCAGCAAGTCACCAAGAAGATTATACACTGCAGCCAAGTGGGATTCATTCCTGGGATGTAGGTGTTACAGGCAGCTGAGCCAGTTGGAAATATTGTAGGCAGTCAGACAGGGCTAGGCCCTTGAGGAGGCCGGCACAGAGGACCAGATGTCCAATGACCTTGGAGGGGACACACACCTCTTGCTGTGGGCCAGATCTGAAGACAGAAGGCAAAAGAATTGCATCCACACCTTTAAGTATAATCTTAGGGATTACTGGATCACACTGAGCAACCAAGAGTCACCATCCCAATTCCCTATCGGAGGAGTCACTGCTAAGAATGCCTGCTTCCTACATGACCTACTTTTCCATTTGTCCCCAATTTAATCAATTTTACCTACACTATTGATCTTATTGGCTAATTATAGTTATGTCCCACCTTATGCCCATCTGCTTTGTGAGTTCCCAGTCTTCCCCGCCTGAAATTCATAAAAGTCCCTGGACAAGACAGAGTCTTAGGCAACCTGCTCTTCTGTCTCTCTTCAGACAGAAGCTTTCTTTCTCTCAATAAATATATTCTACTCTTCACTTCTGTTGTTCCTAAAATTCATTCTTCAGTTTTAGAGAACATGAACTCACGCATAGTAGGTTGGGAGTCTCATTCTCCTATATCATAGGGATGGTTCAACATACACAAATCAATATATGCACATACACAAATGCAATGTATCACATTAATAGAACCAAGGGCAAAACCATGTGATCACCTCAATTGACACAGAAAATCCAACAGGAAATTGGAATAGATGATCTTTATCTCAAATCTGATAAAAGCCATCTATGACAAAATAACAGCCAATATCATACTAAATGGCAAAAACTGAAAATTTTCACTCCAAAATCAGGAAAAAAACAAGGCTGACCACTGTCTTCAGTCCTTTGTTTTGGAAACATTAGGCAGAGAAATTAAACAAAAGAGAGAAATAAAAGGTACAAAATTAGGAAAGGAAGATGTTAAACTGTCACTATTTGCAGATGACATGATACTCTACATAGAAGACCCCAAAAACTCCACCACAAGACTTCTAGAATTAATAATCAAATCTAGTTGCATAGCTGGATACAAAGTCAACACTCAAAAGCAATAGCATTCCTCTACACAAACAACAAACTCACTGAGAGAGAAATTAGAAAGCAGTCAAAAAAAAAAAAAAAAAGAGGAATACTTAGGCATCAGTTTAACAAAGAAAGTAAAAGATCTATATTTTGAAAACTATAGTACTCTGAAAATGGAAAGGTATCCCGTGCTCATGGATAGGAAGAACACTGTGAAAATAGCCATACCCATAAAACTGTTATACAGATCTAAGGCAATCCCCATCAAAATACCATTAGCACAGCTCTGCAGAAAACATTCCTAAAATTCATTTGGAAACAGAAGAGACCTAGAATTGCAAAATCAATCCTGGGCAACAAAGGCAAGGCAGGAGGCATCACAAACCTTGTGGTGGATTAACTAATAGTCAATTTGTAACAGCCAGCTGAACTGAATCAGCGTGGTTCTGGGTGTGGAATGACCGCCTAACGACTGTTGCCAGCAACACAAACGGAGACCTGGAGGGGAGGATGGTGTGCGGATGATTCTCCTGGAGAAGTGTGCCACGCTAGCTTTCCTGATATGAACTCGGCTATTCTCATCACTGGAGGAGCCAGGATGGCTGCAGTTCCCTTTGGGGAAGCTCTTGTCCTTATCTTGACTGCCGCTTCCTGCCTCCAGTGCAGATCCTTCACCTTGCTGGTGCAGACTTTCTAGCTTCCACTACTGGCCTTTGGGCTTGCCCCGTGTGAGTCCTTGACACAGACTTGCATGCGTCATTGTCATGGGCTCTAGGCCTCCAGGGGACTTGACTCCTTAAATGACTATCATAAAATAATCATGTAAACTATGTGTCCCGTATTAAATCTATTTTCCGGTAAATCCTAACTACAACAATCCCTGACTTGAAATTATATTACAAAGATATCGTGATAAAAACAGCATTTTACTGGCAAAAAACTAAAAAACAAACAAACAGACCCGAGGATCAGTGGAACAGACTAGAAGATGCAGAAACAACTCCAAACACACTCAGTCACCTTACCTGTGACAAAGGGGCCATCACCTTCACTTTAATAAGTGGTGCTGGAAAAACTAGCTTTCCACATGCCAAAGATGAAACCTAGACCTCTGTCTCTCACTGTGCACTAAATTAAAATTAAAATGGATCAAAGACCTCAATATTATACAGAAACCCAAATGTATTGCAAGATAGCATAGGTAGCACTCTTGAAGATGTAGGTGTAGGCAAAGACTATGAAAGAACCCCAATCCCACAGCAAATAATACAAAGAATCAACAAATGGAATCTCATCTTACTCTTTTTGTATCAATTAATAATATTTCATTGAGCAAAATGTTAATGACTAAATCAATCTCATTAATCACCGATGTTTTTTACAGTAAGATAATGGACTTTGTTTTCACAATATGGTAAGTACTGTAATAAATTATATTTGATTGCAATATCCATTCAACAAACAGTCCCTATTACAGCCTGAAATCAATGCCATCTACCTTCTCATTATTTAGATGCTCTAGTCTGTACAAGCACATGACTTAGGAGGTATAAGTATCTGTAATTTTAAGGGACAACTTAAATTTTACAAATTCTACGGAATATAAGCTCTGTGACTTGGCTTTTCTTCATCCATCCAGCCAAGCTCCTTATGAAAGTCATCTTGTGGTTTTTTCCAGTTCACTCACAAGGTCCTGAGTGCCTCTCTAGGAAGGAAGCGCTGCTTGTCAGAAACCTAGACGCACAGCAGAGGTCAGTTCTGGCTGGGACTGAATTAACAGTGAGCCTCTGGGTGACCAGGGCATGCGACAGTCCTCTGGAGGGCTAATGGTCCAGGCTTGTTGGTTCTGTAGCCCTGAGCCCAGCTATTTCAGCCCCAGCCACGCTGATACCCACACACCACCCCAACTCCCTCCCCAGTTCTACTCTGTTTTTTTTTTTTAAAGAAAGAAAAAAACCCCACAAAAATGGTAGAAATAATACAGAATTAAAAAACTAAATAAATAAAAATCAACACTAAGAAATCACTAGTTGATTCATTATACATTGTCATCTTAGAAATAGTTGTTCAAGAAACAAAATCCAAGCCTAAAAAGTGGACAGACACTCAAGCATTGACAGTACAAACCATTCTGTTCAATGATCCAACAAAAACTTAGTAATATGGTCATCTATCTTACACATTTAAACACACATACAGTTACATCCTTTAGAGCACCTTCTTTCCCTTTCTTTTTTACAATATGTATTATACATTTTGAATCTTATTATTCTGTCAGTTTTTATTATTTTTTACACCAGAGAGATGATGTGATATTACTAATGTGAGTCTTGTTTATTTCACTTATGAGAATATTCTCAAGTTGCCTCCATTTACCTATAAAAGCTTCAAGATCACCCTTTTTATAGCTGAGTAATATTCCACTGTATAAAAACACCACGTTTTTCATCCATTCTGTAGTTGATGGGCATTTTGGTTGTTTCCAAGATTTAGCTATTACCAACTGTGTTGCTATAAACAGGGGTGCCCATACATCACTGGGACATGACCTTTTCAATTTTTCTGGGAAAATACCCAGGAATAGCTGGATTGAATGGAACTTCTGATCCTAGTTTTCTGAGAAATCTCCATTTTGATTTCCATAGTGATTGCACCAGTCTGCACTCCCACCAACGGTGGAGAAGGGCTCCTTTTTCCCTGTGGCCTCAGCAATATTTGTTATCAGTTGATTTCTTGGTGGCGGCCATTCTTTCTGGGATGAGATGAAATCTCAGTGTTGTTTTAATTTGCATTTCTCGAATGACCAGTGATGGTGAGCATTTCTTCATATGTTTATGTGCCATCTGTGTATCTTCATCTGAGAACTGTGTGTGCATCTCCGATGCCCATCTCTGGAGAGGCAGTTCCACTCTCTGTGCCCAGCTACACTACTTACTGTCCTCTGCAAATTTATCCTGCCCCAGATTTGCACATCTGGACACGCCTCCATGTCCTCTGCCATCTTCTTTTTCCTGTAACAGGTTACAATCTCCTGCCCGCCTGCCCCTCCATTTGCATACTTTCTTTTCTTTAAATTATGATTCACTTTTCATCCTTCCAGACCCAACTTCCACGTCTCTCTTCTGGACAGCCTCTGTCTGAGGCCCCCTCGCACTCCCATCATAGCCTGGACCTCTGCGATGGTACCCACCTCGTGCTAGCGTCCAGGTGTCCAGGTAGTCCCTCATATGCTGACGCCTACACCCCAGCATAACTACGCTGAGAGACAGGTGTGGGCGTCACGGTTACACCACGAAGGCACTGCTCTTAGGAGCGGGGTTATGCCCTCATGAAACATGCAAAGGACCTCACTTGTCCTTCTCTACCATGTGGACAGCTGTAAACCTGCAAACGGGTCCCCACTACACTGATTCTCCCCATACCCTGTTCTTGGATTTCCTAGCTCTAAAACTGTGAGAAATAAACTTCTATGATTTACAAGCCACCTAGTTTATGGTATTTTGTTACAGCAGCCTGAACAAACTCAGGCACCTCTTCATGGAGCACTTTTATCTTTGCTGTGCTATTTCCCAAGCTGGACAGTGAGTACTTGTGCGGGCAGAGCCCTCTTGATACATATTTATGGTGCTGGCATCTCACAGGGTTTTGATAGTAAGGCACCTATAATATGAAACCTTCTTACATTTTTAAGGAGAGAGTGTGGTCAATTATGTACACATTGCTGTACAGATCTCTAGAACCTTTTCTTCTTGTCTAACTGAATGAGCACGGTTTCTGAATAAATAAACATTTGTTTATCTTTTGCCATTTTACGTTCCAGGCAGATTCAAAGGAATGACTGTTTTCTCCTTCCTGTACTGAAGGATCTTTCCTGGCCTTGTGAGTTTTCACATTGCTTACTGTATACTTCTTGGCCTTCTGACATACCTTGCCCTACTTTCTTGTGCTTTTTAAAATTCATCCTGCATTTTGGCATTTCCTAGTCTCCTGGTTGCTTTCTCATAGAAAGCTGTGTGGCCATCACCCCCTTACTGTGTCCGCCAAGATCTCTCACAGAAACCAGGGCACAGAAGATACTCAACAAATACCTCTCGTTTCCTTCAAAGACTTCAAGAAATTTTAAACATGATGTCTCTGAGTACAAGGTAAGGGTGATAATGACTACGATGCTGATAACATCCTCTCCTAAAAAATGTAAGAAAGTAGATTTCACATTTTATGGTTAAGGAACAACTGAATTCATATTTAAAATGTATTATTAATCTTTTGATTAAAAAGACAGTTTTCTTTTTCACATGGGTGTACCTACCATGTGAAAGCCTGAGCTCTTCCTGATTGTGTTCAGTGACGGATACAATGTTTTCATCTCTTCTGGGTACTTCAGTGTCTAAAAGCAGGGAAATTAGGGATCAAATTAATTGGAGGGATTAAGCAAACCTCATACATGGATCATTTCATTGCTAAATTATTAAGCAAAGATCTCTAAACTGAGAGAGGGTATAATGCTCTGATTATTTTTAATGCTTTGAGTTTGGAATTCCTAGCACAGTATTTTTTTTTTTAATTTTTCATGAGGGAGCAGAATCTAAAAGTAACAGAGTCAGGCCAGGGTTATAGCTCAGCGGCATAAGTGCCTGCCTGGCAACTGCTAGGTCCTGAGTTCGAGTCCCGGTACAAAAAAAAGTAAGAGTCAAGTTCAATAATACGTATGGTGACCTTTGCTAACTAGAACATAGGGTATATACAGGGCAGGTCGATTTACTTCACAGATCTTTGTAACATCAATGCAGATGGAAAACTCAGGGCTACCTACCACACAATGGAGTCCAATTTAAAGTGACAGTTTTGTAACTCAGCATGATGAAAGGAATTGTAGCCCTAGCCTATCAGATGCAGAAAGATACCCAAAAGGCCTCTAAATTATGAGAACAAGAGTTCAAGTTAAAGCAACTTCCTGTTGGAGTTCTACAAAGGCCTCTCTGCCTGCACCTGTGGGAGTCCACCAAGCCATGCTCTCCTAAAAAACAAAGCCTCTCACCTTGACCTTCCCTGACCTTTGCTTCAGCTCTCTTCACTGAGATACTCAGAGCTGGCTATGGAGAAGCAGATGTTCCTTTAATTAGCCAAAAGAATGTGACCGAGTCTGGGAGGCTCAGTGTCACACTGCAGCATGAGTGTGCAAATTGGGCGGTGCCCCCTCGCCCTCAGCTGATGGCTGGAGTCAGGGCTCAAGCAAGATGCTGTGAAATTCCAGGGCTAAGACATGAGATATTTTAGCTGAGGCTATGAGACTTAAAAAGAATTGCACCTTCCTGGCAGTAAGGGTGTCAGCCATGCAAAGAGCAAACCGTCCGTGACACTGCTAACCGGAGGGCCTCTGTGCCTGGTGCGAGGGTGCTCTGTTTCTCCTTGAAGCCAGGCCTGCAGCTTCTCTTCCCTAGCACTGTGCCATGACCCCAACCCACTGCCTGACTGATACCAATAAAAACCATGAGCTCCTGGACTCATGGCCTTTTTTTCCACAAGAACACTGGGTCATCTTAAAGCTCTTCGACTGCAGAACTTTCTCTCTTTGTCTTTATTTTTCATCCATGTGTCATGTTACCAGGTGGGAGACTGATGCCTCTGAGGGGTTTCCGTGTGCCTTCTGAGGGGTTTCCGTGTGCACCTCTACCTTCTTCCTACCCCTGGGCTTTGTTTCTCTTGGCCCTCTCCTGGTGAGCTGACCATCGGCCAGAACAGCCTCTGACTTCCCAGAGCCCACTCTCTGCTCACAGTCTCTTTATCTCAAGGTCTCTCTGCCATTCCTCTTTCTGCCTGTACTTTGGTCTCACTGAATCCTCTTTGGTCCGCTCCTGTGTTCCTTCATGGTCTTCTGCCGGGTTCTTTTTACCAGTCAGTTGCAAAAGACAGCAACTATTTCTGTTGGTTGCGATCTGCACCACTGTGGTTGTCAGATACCTTCTGTATCAGTGCTGACTGGGCTTTTTCATTTCTCTAGATTTTTCCTTCTTTATGAAATATGTGCCCTAAAAGTCCATCACATAATCTGCTTCTTGTACTACCCTCAACTTCTTTGTTTCCATTTCTTCCTCCCCAAATGCCAAACAAAATCACAAAGCAGGATGCATTTCCCATTCCCATATCTGGTACTGATGACCAAAATCATCTTAGCCTCTGTTTAAGGCACCAGTAAAGGAAGGACACAAATAGGAGAAAAACGTGTGTCTTGGAAGCAATTCAATATTCCAGATAAACTCAGCATAGAGAACTTCAGCTTTTTGTTGGAACAGAGTGCAGCATTACCCTTATTTTAACTGAATTTATTCAGTGGCAGTGTCTCCTCACACTGGGGCGTTTACGATGAATCAGGCACCTTACGTTCCAACACTGTGTCCTCGAAGCTGAGTATCTACAAGTTCACTCAAAGGCCTTCTGAAAAAAGACCCAGCAAGGTCACTTTCATAACATACATCTCTGTGATCCCAAGAGAGCAAGAGCGGGTCCTTCTCACTCACCCCTGCCTTTCACTGGAAACGGCACCAGCTTGAGGTTTGCGCTGCATAAATATTAGTGGAAAGAAGGAATCTTGGGCTCCCAATGATATTTGATTAAAGCTCTTTGCATAAATGGGTTTATTTCTCCATATCTATTTCTGTATTGATACTGGGATTTTCTTTCGGTCAAAAGAAGGAAAAAAACAAAAATGACAGCATTGCTCTAGGCCCTTACATTAGAGGAAATGCTCATGAGAAAAATAGCTTATTGAAATTTAGTGATGTTTAAATAAAGTTATTGGAAAGTAAATATGATGTTGTGGGCTCAACTGTGTTCCCAAAAAGAATCTAGGGCAGTCTCAAGCCTTGGCACCTGTAAATGTGGCCTTCTCTGGAAACTGGCTCTCAGAAGAGATTTAAAACCCAATTTCTAGCCAGGTATGTTGGTGCACGCCTGCAATTCCAGCACTTGGGAGGCTGAGGCAGGAGAATCATTGCAAATATGCAAGAAGCTTAGGCTACAAAGTGAGCTCAAGGCCGGCCTGGACTGCATAGTGAGACCCTGTCTCAAAAAGACAAAAAAAAAAAAGACTTAATTTCAGACAGAGTCATACTGGGGTGGAGAGGAGGGTCCTGAGCGTAATGCTTGCTGTCCTTACACAGAGAGGGAGACAGAGAAAGACAAAGAAGAGGATCGGAGAGGACAGGAGAGGAGAGGAGGAGAGAGGAGAGGAGAGCGCTAGACACACAGAGGCAGAGGAGGACAGATGTGAAGGGAGCAGGGATTGGAGTAACACAGCTCTAAGCTGAAAGAGGGAGCACGGGCTCCTCTGCAGAGGAAACGTGGTCCTGCTGACACCAAAGCCTAGACCTTTTATTCTCCCGAGGAGAAATGAAGTAATTCTGTTGTTTTAAGCAAACCAGTTTTGGGGTAATGTGTTATAGTAGCTGTAGAAATCAAATACGTATGACATGTACAAACTTTCTCAGGCCATAGTGTTTTTAGGATGTGATGTCCTTAGCATTTTTATGTTTTATTTCACAAGGCACACTGAACTTGGCAGCTTATTTTGTCAATAATTTAAAGTTTGTCAATAGTTTAAAAATGATAGAATATGGATTAGTGTTATCTACCCTATTAGTGGTTAAGTTATAGCAAGTATTTAATTTTTCTTAATAGCAGTGCAATGAAATATCACATCTAGGAAATTATTACCTGATTGGTGTGGCTGAAAAATCATTGGTTCTCCGAGGGCAACACGTATTTCCTGTTGAAAAATTTTACAGTCAGTTAAATGACCACAATTACTAAATCATTCATTAATATAACAATACTTTAATTCTACATATGAAATAAATAACAAACATTTTTTTTTTTTGGTCTTTTTTGAGACAGGGTCTCACTATGCAGTTCAGACTGGCCTTGAGCTCACTTTGTAGCCCAGGCTGGTCTCGAACTCCCAACCATTCTCCCACCTCAGCCTCCTGAGTGTTGGGATTACAGGCATGAGCCACCATGCCCGGCTAACAACAATTTTAGCATCTCAGAAATTGTTCTGCCAAGTGAGAAGTATTCTTCTGCTGATTTCTTTGAACTTTTAGTGCCTCATTATTTTTAGGAATAAGACACAAATAGAACCCAGAGAAGACCAATGTATGCCTTGGTCTGGTTGAGGGGAATTAGTTTCCAGTCATCACCAAAATCCCCTTAGCTGGGTAGGTGGCACATATCTGTAATCCCAGCACACAAGAGGCTGAGGCAGGCAAGTTTGAGACCAGCCTGGGCTACGGGGGAGCTCAAGGCCAGCCGGAACTGCATAGTGAGACCCCGTCTCAAAAAGACAAAACAACAACAAAAACACCAAAGTCAGTTCCCTTACGTGTACTCTTGAGATTACCTGAATTAGATCACTCGTCATTTTTGTCATTATTTCTCTATTTATTTCAGTATTTTTGAGATCTGTAAGAACTGCCCACGTTCCATTCTCAAATTTTACAGGCATAGAAAAGACAATCCCTTCCGGAATGCCAAACTGGCCTGCAGTAAGCAAACACAAGGCACAGTAAACAAAAGAACTCAGAAAATGAACACGTCCTACTAAGGGCCATAGGAAGGGACACACGCGATACCCAGTTTTTAAGGATGACAATGGGACTGAGTTTCTCAGCACACAGGTCGAAAGCACTCATTCCACAAGTACAGGCTGGGTGCTTATCCAAGTACTGACAACTCTCCCTCTCTGGGTCTCTCATTGCTGGAAGTTAAGGCCACCTTTCTGGGCCACATCTCGATTGTGCTTCTGGTGCCTCCTTCCCGAGGCGTCTCCAGGGGTCCCCGTGGCCCTTGAGCTGTCACCTGCCAGCCTGGCCTCCTATGCTCCTGAACCAGTAGGGCAGTCACATGGCGAGGCTCGGGAGGCCTGGGCAGGGGAAGCGGCGGCCTACAAAGCTGCTTCTTTCCTCCTGGCTCCCAGGTCCCCATGCAGATTCACTCTGAACAAAACAGCCTGGCACTATTTCTTACTAACTGAGCACCATCCCAGCAAAACCCTCTCAAGTAAGAGAATTATTCTTGCCATTCAGGCCACGAAAAATGTTGCTAGTAAGGAAAAAAACAAACAAAAAAAAAAAAACCCAAGGATGGTCAGGAAACCTGGATCTGAGAAACTTCTCCCCTGCGGGCTTCTCAGGTCCTCTATGAATTCTCTTACCTGCTTTATCTGTGCAGGGCTACTGTTATGGACAGAGAAAGTACAAGGGCTTACCTAGAACAGACAATGATCATCCACCTCCCTCCCCACGTGGTGCATTCTTTATTACTACATAGATTTAACCTCCTTTCTACAAATCAAGGTAGGGGTTAAAAATGCCTATTCTCCTAGAAAGGTAACGCACTGATCTTAGCTCACGGTGTACAGTGTTACACACCTGAACTTCAACTGAACAAGAAGCACCACCTCCATGAAACCGTTCTACCTCCTCTAGCTCCTGGGCCTTGCGTTCCCGTGCTCTGCTGGGTACAGTAAGAAAAACTTCTTGGGACAAGTGTCTTTATGTGTAGGCTCTCCTTTGCTTTGTATTTGGTTTTCTGAAGGCAGGGGCTGGTTCTCATTTGTGTGTGTGTGTTCCTAGTACATCCATACAAAATATCATTACATTTTGGAAATAATTGGATTAATGAGTTAATAAATATATGTAAGTCCAGCTTATGGATCATGTTAAGACCTACACAGGAAGTTAAAAAATATCATAAGAAATGAAAAGCCTAGATTTACCTTCACTCAACACTCCTAAGGACACGATCTCGCCGGGGAATGAGCCTTGGTACCAATACTTCAGCGTGGTGCCTATGCTGTGTGCAGCTAAGATGCCACCGAAATGCCTTCCTGTGGCGGTTAAAGTCTTAAGAGTGGTCATAAATTCATTTTTTACCCACTCCCTGCAAGGAGAGAAAGAAACAATTTTACCACAGAGAGAGAAAGGAGAATTAAAGCAGATGCTCCACGGCTCTGTGGAAATAAGTCCCAGGAATCACCCCTACAATCCAGACAGAAATCTGTCTCCCCAAGACGCTAGAGGTGGTCCCAGTGCCTGTTAAAAAGCTGATGGAAAAGTAACAAAAGGGAGCAGGAAATGATTCCCAAATTTCAAACCGAAAACAAAATAATATGGGACACCAAAAAGTGGCCAAAGACTGCAGGAACAATTGCTTTCCTTACAAAGAATTTATTTTACGTAGATGCAATCTGGGAACCAGTGAAATGGTATCCTCCATTTAAAATCCAAGAACTTCACAAAGCAACTGTGTTTTCACGATCTGAGGTCTCAACTCGAGGAACAGCTGGACTGGGCCACCTGCCAAAGGGCTGCCCTGTTAATGGGTCGACACAGTATGTGGTTCTGGATGACCTGATCCCCACAGAGGCAGCAGACACAGGGACATCAGGCCCAGCGGGGAGCCCCGGGTGCATCACTCCTGGACACAGCTGAGCTTTCCCTGTGAGCAGCGGCACCGGAATGTTACACCTTTGAGCACTTGGCAGGTTTAGATGAGGGCTTCAAGGCTCTCCTGCCTGTCTTTCCTCACCACGATGACGGTGTTCGAGATGCCCTATCTCAATGAATCCAGTTCAGTGACCCTACCCAAGCCATAACGCGCTGCTGTTTCCATTGCAGATGGAGAAACCAAGGCACAGATAAGAGGCTTCTCTCGGCTACAGAGCTAATTAGTAGCACGTGAGAACTAATTAGCTAATTAGTAGCACGTGAGAACTCTGACCTGGATAGCATCTCAATTCTGCCCCTCTGGGGACAACTCCCAGCTTTGCCTGGCCTGTTTATCTACTTAATTTCTCTTTCTCGAAATATTTCAACTCAGCTTGAGTTCCCTGTCTTTGCACTAGGGAAGCCTTCCCGTCCTTGTTTGTTTCAGAGCTAACAACGTCAATGCAATGTGTAGACTCCTTCAGCAGTGATCTGAACTATAAAAACTCGCAATTTCAAAATTAAACGAGCTGGTTGTGGATATTTTGCGAAATCGTCTCTTTCTTTCATAAAAAACACGAAGAAATATGAGTAGGCGATGCAAGTTACTTTTGCACAAAGATAGGTACGATGATTCTATGGCCGGTAACAATTATTACACACTTAAATAACATTGTGAATGCACTTCATTTAAAAACATGAGATACCTATCAAAAATCACTTCTAAGACGGGGCGGGAAAAGGGAGGCGGTCCCCAGACAGCGCTCTCCTGTTCGTAAGCTCTGGCTTGCCTCAGATCAGCGTAGTTATTTCCAGTTATGTTACCCCAAATGATCACATTCTTGATGCCTAAGAACAGAAAAAAATAGTTACCTTAATTTTCCATCATCCGCTGTATTTCAAATCCTTGCAGTGATCCCAGAAGTCGCAGCTCCTTCCAGCTGCTGGAAATCTTGTTTCAAAACCCAAGCCCAGAAAACAACCAAAAAAATATCCAAACCCCACCCCCACCAGGGTCCCTGCACTCACAGGCGGGGGCTGCTCTCAGTTTCCGGGCGAGGACCGCCTTGGCCTGGCCTTCCACCCCGAGGGCTACCGCGACCACGTTGCGCGCGAGGCTCGGGGCGAAGCGCTGCAGCAGCGCGGCGCGCAGGTTCACGAAGCTCTTCCCCGCCACGAGCACGCGCACCTCGCCGTGCGCGTTGCGCTCCAGCAGCCCCGCGTAGTCCCGGCACCGCGCCGCCGCGTGCCGCAGGCACTCCTCCACGCCGCTCACCTCGCACGCCGCCGGCTCGTCCAGCATCACGACCGCGCGCGCCCCGCGGAAGGCGTCCTCGGCGCGCGTGCACAGGGCCACGCCGCGCAGCAGGGGCGCCGCCAGGTCCTGCGCCTCCAGCACCAGGCCGAGCAGCTGCCCCTCCGCCTCCTGCCGGTCGAACAGGGTCAGGCTGAGCGCGGTGCGGCTGCCGAAGACTTCCCCGCTCACCAGGACGGGGATCAGGCTGCAGCCCGCCGGCGTGGACGCGCTGGGAACGAGAGGCGAAGCTCAGAGCCGTTGCCCTGGCCAAGCGTGCGTACTGGGGCTGGAACTCACGACCTTGCGCTTGCCAGGCAGGCGCTTATGCCACTGAACTAAATCCCCGGCACTAAGCACATATTGTTAATAGGTGGTTCTAATGTATATTAATAACTAAGGCTGATGGGGTATTTTGTTTTATTTTAACTTTTTATTTTTTGGCACCAAGATTAGAACTCAGGACCTTGTGCTTGCCAGGCAGGCGCTGTGCCCCTGAGCTACATCTCCAGCCCTGACTGAATATTTTAAATAAGCATTCACACGGCTGCATAGACATTTTGAAGAGCAGGGAATCAGAAGTAGAACAACAAAAATTCTCCTAAGTAATAACTTGTTCTGAGCATCAGAAAACCATCTCAAAATAAATTAAAAAAAATTTTTTTAAAGTTATGTTTGGGCTGGAGATACAGCTTGACGGCACAAGTGCCTGCCTGGCAAGCACAAGGTCCTGATTTTGAAACGCCTCTCCCCAAAGTTACATTTTAGACTTTTTCAAATAGAACAGAACTCTTCCTAAGCAGAAAGCAAAATGTCAAAGAACTGAGCCCTACTATTCTCATGATATGTTTATATTTCCTCTAGAAAAGACGAAGACACAAGTTTCAGCCACAGGTTTCTCATTTCTACACTTATCTACACGGCATACTTTCTGGGAAAGGACTATCTTTTCCAAAGTCTCTTGAAGAAAAATGCTTAAGATGGCCAGGGTCCAGTAGGCATGCACGGTGCATCCGGAACCATAGCCAGCAGCTGGGCTATCCGCTGGGGGAGCCGGGAAACACGCCCCGGGATTTTTAGAAGTCAGGGGTGGTGGTGGTGGTTGGGAGAGCTCCAGGGGGAATTTCAATACCACCTGTGCTATATTAACCCTTCCATGAGGTTGTATTTATTTAATAACTGTGACAAGGTCATAGATGTTTTTTTACAGAAGTCTCAGTTCTTTTCTAGATCTATAATTTCTCATAGTAAACACTGTTTTAAAAATAAGTACATATGTTACACTGCACACACGTAGTTGGAAAAGACAGTGTGAGAGCCAGAGAGAGTGAGAAGAGGAAACAGAGAGAGAGGTGGACAGCAGAGACAGAGGGGAGACAGGGACCACAAGGACCTGGTGTGTCCCAGACTGGGGGTGACCAGAGCGGCTCCCAGGAGGGGAGGAAGGAGAAAGGGGGAGGGCGTGGAGAGCCAGCAGGCGTGTAAGAACCCTGGTAAGGGGAAAGTGAGACAGATGACCGTCGGGGAGGACAAAGGCCAGAAGACAGAATCTGGCAAGGCAGCCACGTTCTAAAGTTACTTTCCGATTATGTGCCTGTGCATGCATGTGTGTGTGTAAAACTGAGAATGCATGCACAGGATTACACTGGAGGGCACATGTATAATGACACACCTATACATGTAAGTTCATACACACTTAAGTGTCTAACTCAACACTTAGCTGTTCTTTCGTGATGGAACAAACCCCATCACACTGTCCTAAAATAAAACACAGTCTCATAAACCCGGGATCTTGTCCCTACCTGGTGATCCAGACCTGTAAGGGGCTGACCAGGTCTTTCAGGGATTCCTTCTTCAATGCTTTTTCTTTGTGTGCCTCCAGGTTCTCTTGAGCAATTATCATCATCATCTCGGTAGTCATGCTAGAGGTGACACCATAGTAAAGCTAAATATTGGGGAAGAAAACGTTGCCTCAGAGGACAGGCATCCCCTCACAATGGCTATCATGGAAAGATTGTGTTTGAAGTTGAGGGAGAGAGAGAGAGAGAGAGAGAGAGAGAGAGGAGAGGATGCTTCGGAAAGCAAGACATCTGAAGCAAAATAAATGTAAGAGAATAATTTTGAGCAGATAATTAACTTGATTGTGTACCTGGGCGTGCTCCAGGAAGTCGTTGTACCCTCCCAAGAGCAAGGCCTTTCCTCCTCGATCCAGAAGCTCTCTCCAGACGATGGGGGATTTTTTGTGACTCCATTTATTCTTTTCACACACCTCTTTCAGCCACTCCTGTTGAATGATGTTCCCAGAAAAGTCAGATGTTTCATCTGCCTGAGAATTCAACTCAGTATGTTCGAGCTCACACTCAAAATACCAGCTTGCTTTCAGTGTCACAGTGTATACGAAATACCACTTAGAAATCTCTAAGCAGGAAAATCTAAATGTAGAAAATAGCGATGATTTAACTAATGACTTAAAAATACAAAAGAATATGCTTCAAATTCACTGGCAAGAAAGATTAAAAGATATTTTTCTCTTGTTTTTTAGAATATCTGGAGCACCACTGTCCAACTTAAAGAAAAGTCAAGGGTTGTTCGAATTTGACTGATTGATTAAAAAAAAAAGGACTGACTTTTCCCCCTCTTATTCTTCTATGTGAGATAGTTCTAGTTTTGTGGCCACATAAATTTTGATATTGCTTTTCAAACTGGTGGGCATGGTTTATGCAGGTCAGACAAATAATGAACTAAAAATTATCTGGGGATTTCTGATAATTTTTTATGCGAAACAGTTGAAATGATCATTGTCCGGTGTGTGTAGACTAAGACTGAGTACAGACAGGAACGCTTCTCCCGGTGAAGTACAGGGTGGGGGGTCTTCACACCATGGGGCTGCCTGACAGATAAAATCTTGGCAGCTAATTTTTCTTGCTGGTCTCAAAGATTACCCTTCCTTTTCCATGTCCAAAAGCAAACAGCCTGACTGTGAGGATTGCAGGATTGCATCACGGTCCCTCCACTCACAGCCCTGCCTGGCCAGTGGGAGGAAAAGGTACACCAGAAAGGACCTGTGGCATGAGCAGAGCATGCCAATGTCCCCGTGGGAACCGGCAGAATGTACACTGGACCCCGCCCCCCCATCCAAAGTGGCACATAAGGCTGGAAGAGGAACTTTACTCATGGAAAGCAGCATCTTTGTGCAGCTCAAGAGGGCACAGCCTGGCAGGGATTCAGAAGAGCATAATAATGTGTTGCTAGGCTGGCTCTCGGAAGCCAAAGTAACACGGAAATGTCAAAATTGCCATGCGAGGCAATGGAAGATGGGAATAAAAGCTCATGAATTCAGAGGCCAGAAAGCCTACTCGTCAGCCCTGCTCTCTGAGAGGGTTCAGGTGACACCACATTCACCGATGGCATCTGGGGTGCACGGGGCAAGATGGGTCCCAGTGGCACCGAGCACCCCAGTGTGACCTCCTGTTCCAGGCTGGGGCTATCACATGGTGCAGGGTTATGGAGCTGTACTCCCTGGAAATTGGGATGATGAAGCTTTCAAGGAACAGAACCCAGGCCCATCCCCACCACAGAAACACTAAAGAGAGGGACACCAAACCAGGGGATGAGATGACTTACATGGCCGCAGCCGAACTGGGCTCACTGAGACTGAGGCATGCGACAGACAGCCCCAGGGAATGGGCTGCCACTCACCGAAGCCTGCTAGTGATAGCTGCTGCTTAATAACCGTGGTACCTGCACCAACGCTGGCCACCAGTGACGGTGGGTATTCTTTGGAGGCACTGCCAGCCTCTTCCCTGCAGGTTGTTCATGGTGGACTGCTTCCACTGTATGAGGGCCAATGATTTATTTAGATTCAAATCCACATATATGCTGGGTAAAGAACTGCCTTTCTGGCTTGTAGAACTTTGACCAGTGCCCCAGGTAAGAGCTTACAAAGTACCTAACATACCAACATCGGGTCCTGCTTAAGGTCACTTGGAAACCAAGGAATCCAATTTTAGACAAAGCCATGGGATCTACTCGCCCTATTGTATAGTGCATCACCCCACAGCCTGAGAGGGGCATGGTCGGCCGCCAAAGGTGCTTGCACTACTCGAAGATTGACACCATGTAGGGGCAGAGGATCCCTTTCAGGATGTGACACATGCTCTCAGCCAGTGTAAGGCTGTGCTGTAATAGGTTAAAATTTCTGAACCCAGGAACCAAGGAGTAGAATGAGGAGTGATCCTGTTGGCTATTACTTCCCACAACTCCCTCACTCTTGACTGTGGGTCTGGGGATTCTAAATCCCCGAGTGCGACCCTCGAAGAGTCCTGCTCGGCTGCAAGCTGTGGCTCCCATTAATCACATGGAGCTTCTATCCAAGAGCCTCACAGGCAAGAAAAGCAGGTGCCTGCCGGAAGACCTTGTGAATGGGAGCGCGCAGGCCAGCACCTTCCCATGGACAGTAATACAGCATGGGGCCCAGTAACAGCGGACCTTTCAGAGACACGGGCCCAAACTGCAATGTGAAAGCCACTTATTTATCAAAGTGCCAACGCTGCAAGTAAACCTGACTGCTGAGGTTTTCATTTAGAAAGCGTAACTGTTAGCTGATGAAAGGTTACTGGGGTGATGTGGTCTGTGACTGACAGAGAGGGCTCTGCCCGCCTGTGGCACCATGCATGCCATAGATTTGCCACTGCTGATCTAGTTATTGACTGGGGCATCTTTGGTATTGCCCGCCCACTTGTGACAGTAGCTGGACACATGCAGCAATTATATTCTGCCAGGAGACTGCAGTTTGGAGCGCTTCAGCACATGGATCTAGGTCACCATGCCTAGTAAGTCAGCTAGACCAGCAGGTGAGGGGAAGCTGTAGAGGACAACAGAGAGGCGATGAGTGTCTATTTGACTTTGAAACTGTGCACAGTGGAGAATAGCGATCACTTGACTAATCTTCTTGCTGTAAGGGAAAGATGCCATCAGGAGTCCCGGGGAAGCTGTTACCAGATGGTGTGAACTTCCTGCATGGAGCTTGTGGGTCCAGAGTATGACAGGTGGGCCATAGCACATACCACCCTGCATGCTCTGGATTCCCCCTTTATAGCCAAGGCACTCATGGCCTCAGTTACCAGGTATCCTGGAAGTGGATATTTTGTGCCATCTCTGCAGGATTGCCCTCAGCCAAAGGGAGCTCCCTGGCCTATGGTAAATCTCTTCCCCAGGATGGTGCACACTGGGTTACTGGTTGACCCAGAAGTCTGAAAGCCTGGCCACCTTGCCTCTGTTTGGGTTATCCCTGAAAGAGTGTGCCAGCAGGAGCTCCCTGGAGGATAGCCCGGACCCTCTGGTGCTGCACAGCGGCTCCTCTTTGCTCTCGCAGGATGTTGTTCCCGAGAGAGCCTTCCTGAAAAATCTCCTCACCAAAACCTCCATCTTCAAGTTCTGCGTCTGGGACAACATAGTCACAATGCTGGACTTCTCAAATCAGGAAGGCTCGAAATGTAGGGGAATGGAAACTACCAAGTACAGCATAAGCTCCCTGGGTTCTCAGAAGCAGTGGTGCTAGAACCGACCGTCAAACTTAGTTTTCTTTCTGGTTAGGTTCACATATGTTCTGATAGGTGTTGGGAAGAAAGAGAAATTTTTTTTTTTTTTTTTTTTTTTTTTTTGTCGGTACCAGGGATCTAACTCATGACCACACACTTGCAAAGCAGGCCCTTATGCGGCTGAGCTAAATTCCCAAGAAATGGTGTTTTGAAACTATTAAGTATGAACTAATTTTTTCTAGTGTTAAAATATTATTAGTATTTGAACATTCACTGCTAGAAGCCAGCATGATACATTAGTGAATATTTCATGAAATCAGAGCACATTGTTTTGTGCCTGTGTGAGTTTAACAAAATGTAAAAAGCCTTCTTACCTCCCAGACGTCAGGGTGTTGTGTGATTTTAAATATCTGAAAGTCAGGTAGGTTCTTTTGTAAGTAATCTGCCAGGAGTTCTGCTTTAGCATAATACGGACAATCTGCTTTACCTAAAAGAGTTCAAATTAGCCATGGATTCATTCACCACATAGCAATTATTATACAGTTATGTGCCACCAAATTATGGAATTAATCATAGTTATGATATCATTATATATATAACATAACATTATAGTACAAACTACCATGACACAATCTGATTTTTATTATGTCAATAAAAATATAATAAATTTCATAGGCGGTCAGAATCTTAGGTAGTAAAGCGTGGAAAGGAAAACAATCTATTGAATATTTACTTTCTGCCAGTCCTGTGCCAGGCTGCTTCCTTTCAGCAGCTGCCAAATACACTACTTGAGCCTGAAATGCTAACAATGAACGCTACTCCCTAGAAGCTGCTCAAAGGTAAAGTGCGATGTGAGGTACACTGGAGGTCACTTTTGAATTTGATCTGTAGCCTGGGTTGTGGCAGAGGGAGTAGCTGAGGGAGAGAGAAGCCTAGAATAATCTGTTTTCTAGATTGGGTAGACGATCCTGACCTCATAAGAGAGAAATACATTCAGGAAAGTGTAGTTGGGGTGTCTGCAGTATAGGGAAGCCAGTATGACCAGCAGAAAGTCAGGACCAAGTCTGAAGGGAGGTGCCATGGTTGAGGGTCAGATGTTTTTGGAGCTGAATGCACAGGAAACTGGATCTGCGTCAGGAGTGGGACTGAGTGGCAGATAGTGTAGGGGGACAGGGGATCCACTGTCACGTTTCTCCTCAGTTGCTCCCAATCACTAGTTCCTCAGCTTTCATCAGAACTCCCAGGTCACCAGCCCTGCTCAGTCTCCCACTGTTGGCCTCTCCAGTTAGTTCAAATCCATTGTCCATCACTTTAGCTCACTCTATGGCTCAAGCCCTAAATGATTCTTCCCAACTGTCCTGGAAAATAAGTCTGATAGAAGCCCTTCCTCCTGGAGGCTCAGTCACAGTCCTCCCCTGTGCCTGGGTCCCTTCTGCTCAGCACCACTGGGAAAACACTGAGGAACTGGGCACGGGAACATTATGCATCACATCCTCCAGAATCAGCTGGTCCTCAGGCCAGGGAGGTGGTGCACGGCTGAAATCCCAGCACTCTGGAGACTGAGGCAAGTGGATCATTGCCAGCTTGCAGCCAGCCTGAGCTACAAAGTGAGTTCAAGATCAGCCTGAACTATAGAGTAAAACCCTGCCTCCAAAAGACCAAACAAACAAACACCCCCAAAAAAGAAAAATCAGAATCAGGTTTCTTCAATTCTGGAGATCCCTCTGTCTCCTGTACTCTGTTGTTCTCCATGTTGATTATTCCAAACTTTGTCCACTTTCCCCAAATCTCTTCTTTTAACTTTTCTCTGCACTACCATAAGAAAACAGACCACCTTGTTTCCTACTTTACAAAAACTAAAACAAACCAAATGGTAGACATCAGCTGGGAAATCCCGGAACCTCCTGCCATCCCATGATGATCGGTCTGCTCTTGGACGTGTTCTTCCCTTCCTTCTTTTCCTGCTGGCTTGGTCTGGATTTTGGAATCCCACCCTCTTCTGCCTTCTCGGGAACCTTGCTCAACTCATCGCTCTCTCTTTCTACAATCTTACCTCTGAATACAATGCCCTCTTTCCAACCCACCTAAATATATTCAAGTTATATATAAGCTGCTTGCGTTGTCCTTCCCCATGTTTTCTATATGCTTTTTTCTATTCGAACTTCTTTTAAAAATCCTCTACGTGTGCCTTTCTTGATTCTCCGTTTGCATTTATTTGTCATTCTACTGCAGTCTACCCTACCCCATGGTTTTCTAGGAGGTTATGAAAACCTCCCATGCCATCAGATTTAACAGACATATTTTGATCCCCCCCCTTTTTTTTTTTTGGCCCATGGCATCCTTTGTCACCGCCCCACTCTTCCACCCTGAGGAAACACCCACCACGGTGGGGCTTCTACAGGTCTTTCTCCTGCTTCTCTGGCTACTCGTCTCCAAACTTTGCAGACACTGGTCCCCTTTTCAACCCACTGAGTGGCACCATTCTGCTTGCCATCTTCTTTATATCTTTGTATTGTTACCAGCCAGCCCCACCCCCTTGGTCTCACACAGTAATCTGTATTCCATCTGAGACCCAGCTGCATCTCTGGGTGCCTATGCTGTCCTGTGTTCCTCCATTCCCTTCTACGTGTCTCACAGGTCTATGATGGATATTTGCCATCAGTCTGCTGCCAAATATGCTCCTTCAACTATGTTCTTTACGTGCCTCTCCTAATTCACTTAAGAATATTAAAGGTCACCACAGTATCAAGCTTATTCTTCTGCTTAAGGTTTTTCAATGACCCTTAATCTACCTAGTTATCCAAACCACTGCCTGGAAATAATTTTTAGCAGCTTCTCTCTAGCCCTCCTCTGCCCAACTAGATATTCAGTTCCTATAGCTTCTACTCTTGAACAGCTCCCTAATCTGTGGATTTCTCTCTGCTTCCATTGTTCATTGTGTTTCTATGCTTTTTCCAAAAGCCTTCCAAATACTTTGAATAATGTCTAAACTACCTAATATGACTCCAAAACTACATTATTTAAGTGTAGCATCAGCCCGTACCATTCTTCCTCGTACTTGCTCCAGTCCTACTAAGCTTATTTCAATTTTTTTATGATAATTATAATTGGTTTTTATTTTGATTTCCCCAGGCATTGTGCCTAACATTTCTCTGCCCAGCAAGGAGAAGTGTCACAGAAACACACACCATGTGGTGGCCTCCCCAGTGCTGGTGTCTATGAGTTGTCTGCTTCCTCCTCCTCATTCTGTTCTTCTTCTTCCAGCCTTTCTTCATCTGCACCGTTATCATCATCCCTGCTTCTGCCTTGCTCTTCCAAATCTTTTTTGCTGTCTTTGACTCTCTTCTTTTGTTCTGAAGCTTCCTTCTCGCCTTTCTGCTCTCGCCTATATGCTTCCAGAGCTTCTTTCACTGGGGTAATACATCTCTGGATTTCCACCTCTTCATGGCTGAGAGCACATCACTGGCACTGAGTGTCTTGCGTTTCCCTTTCCTTGTAAAGTTGTTGGCACAGGATGTGACCTATAGCACAAAGATGTTGGCTGCATGGGACCTGGGGCTCCAGGCCTGCTTGGAGATGCTGACACTATCCAGGAGTGCTTCTCTGAGGGTCCTGGTGATGACAGCATTGGGCAGGTTTAGGTCCTCGGGCCTCACCGCCATTGCCAGTGCAGGGGCCTGAGGCTCCTCTGCTATGGCCTCCTCATCTGGCTGCTGCCTTGTTCAGGCTTCATACATCCAAGCTTATTTCAGTTTTATACTTATTATATACTTTTGATCATTATCAAACCAGCTATTTTCACCAGAATCCCATCCTGACACAAATACATAACTGTTCTGCTCCTCCCTACCACTTCTCAGCTAGGTAAGGGTCAGCTTTCTTTTTTTTTTTTTTTAAATTGGTACCAGGAATCGAACTCATGACTGCGCACTTGCAAGGCAGGCACTTATGCCGCTAAGCTAAATCCCCAGCCTAGGCTCATCTTTCTATCTCTCCTTAAAAAACCTCTCCCTCTCGGGAAGCCTTGCCACGGTTGCTATAGCACACTGCTCTGCTGCTGCCACACACACACATTTTCTGCAAGTCTTCCATTGCCTTCCTAGCATACAGTTAGTGCTCAAAATGTCCCTTGGAATGGATAAAGAACTGAAGGCAGGCAAACAGTAAATGTCAGTTGTGTTCAGTGTATCAAAGAGGTCAAGTAAGAGAAGGACTGCACAACTTTTGTTAAACTCGTGGGTGACTTTTGTGAGAGCAGTTTCCACAAGGAAGACCACCTGCAAACCAGATCGTGGGTGCTAAGAGGGGAGATGGAAGAGCAGTGGTTTCCTCCCTGCAAGGTCCTTCTCTTTCCTTTGCTGCCAAGACAACTTTCCAAAACTGTAAACTTCTTAAGGACGCTCTCTTCTCTAAGTTTTTCAATCTTCATTGCTTTTACAGTGCAGATACCTTTGTGAGGTGTGTGTGAAGTGCAAGGATCTGGCCCTTGCTTGTGTAAATTTAGCCCCCGGTCTTGTTATTCTCCCGATATCCAGATTCTCCGTTACCTTACCTCAGCCTTTGTCTGGAATGGCCTTCTAACTCCACACCTTCTCAACTGGGCTCCTGTAATAGTTCGCCTCAGTGTGTATGTACTGCATTCTCCCAGAGACCTGCACACCGCTCCCTCATTGCACTAATCCCACCGTATCAAAAGCACTTCTTTATCTGCATTTTCAGTAGTGTTTGGCACTCTGTGCCCGTTCAGTAAATACCCTGGACTACGTAAGAAAGCTCACGTGATCCGTCTATGGGTTGGAGTTACATTCTGAGCGAAGCAACACTCACCCGCAATCACAAATTTGGCCATGATCATGCAAGACTCAGACTCAGGCCACAGCGTCGCGGTTTCCCAGCAACCACACAGCTGAGAGTGGCGCAGGCGCACTATGGAATTGGAGCCTAGCATTCTGACCCCCAACCAGAAAGGTTAGGATTTCAAAGTTCTGATTTGAGTAGGTTGCGTTGTGGTAAACCATCACACATCTCTTTGATAAACTTTGAGGGGTCCCTGGACCCTATTCTATATTTCAGTATTCAAGAAAATTCCGCCAGCGTTTTACGCTTTTTCTTCTCTAGACATCTTACAACCATCGCGAACGTATGCTTTTTGGCCGTGAAAGGAATCCATAAACTCTCGCGATATTTGTAACTCTCGGGGACGCTGTCATGGCTGCACCCGTAGACGGCCACTGGGTTTCGTTCTAAGGTGAGTGGAGCATGAGGTTAGTCAGAACGACTAGCAGCATCTTCTCCTAGACTTTTTTTTGCCAGCAGAGAGTGTGAGTGAGGAGGGTCCTGACCTAAAGGGAGGTAGCCCAGCTGCTGAATGACGTTTCCTGGTTTGTGGGGGTGAGACCTTTCAGATCATTTAGTTTTGTTTCCTCTGAAGTCCGACCTGTGTAAATCCGTATTCTTTGTGTGTGTGTGTGTGTGTGTGTGTGTGTGTGTGTGTGTGTGTGTGTGTTAGTTTTTGAGGAATGGTTTTACTATGCAGTTCAGACTGGCCTTGAACTCATTTTGTAGCCCAGGCGGCCTCGTAAATCTGTATTATTAATACGCAGCTGTTACCGACTCATTTTGGTTTCATATATACTGCTCAAGAGTCCTCAGCTCCGGTAAATTTTATTTTATTTTTTATAAAGACCAAAAAGTTATGCTGTTTCACTTGTAAACACAGTACCTATTTGTAGTATAAAAAGTTAATTTTAATAACCCTTAAGATGAAGTTTCATACAGCACTGATTACAAATTTTACAAGCCGTCTCTTTTAAAAATTAGTCGGGTCGGGACCCGTTTGTAGTAGCTATGGATTAGTCCAGGTTCGCCCTTTGCCAAGTAATAACACTGAAGAGAATCCATTCATTTTACACCCTTTGATTTCACTAAAGATATTTCCAAGGCAGTGCTAATAAAAAAAATACCTTCCGCAGAGGGTGTTTTATGGAACACTTATCTCCCAGAGATTTCTTTTGTTCTTGTTGTTCTTTTTTAGCTACAACCATTACTTCTAAAGTGGTTAACTTGGGTGCTTTAAAATATTGTACATGTTAAGGCAAAAGTGGAAGTCCATACTGCTGAGAGAGTTTTGCCATTTTAATGTGAATCTTCATGACTTGATAGATTCCCATTTGGCCTCTGCCAAATGGAAATTCATTAAGTAAATGCCATTCATAAGTAAAAGTTTTGCTTTAACTGTTTTTTTGTGATTTTGTTTTTTTATTGAAAATACAAAATAGTAATAAAGAGAAATAAGTTAAAGTTATTACACATCCCCACGATGAATTTGTTTGGCATTTTACCTCCCAGATGCAATATGGTAGCAAAGGCTATAAACATGTACATACTCTTTGTTTGCCTCAAATTTTGCTATTGCACTTTTATAGAATAATACCAAAATAGAATAAATGCACCAAGATGTTTATGTCTGTATTATTTATACTAGCAAAAAATTGGAAAAAGTCTATATGTCAAAGAAGAACGTAGGCTAATAAAAATATTGAAGCATACTGCTGTGAAAATAACTATTTGGAAGTCTGTGTAGAAACATAGACATAACTATAATATTATAAGTGAAATAAGCACAACACTATGATTGTGACTGTAAAGTCTTTATGCTTTAACTTCTATTCTTTTATTACCCTGCTCCCTACAGGAAAATGACCGCATGTATTCTCTTTCACTGTGGAAGTGATTTTTGTTTCATAGTGACATCTGGAAGGCATTTGAACGTGTTTCACTGGATAGCAAAATGAGTAACAAAACAGGTTCCATTTTATGGAGCCTCAGACGATTCAGTACTCTTGTTCCAGCTAGAAGAACTTTGAGTATATATTCTTTGGGACTTTGCAGACCAAAACTTGCTCATTCAAATTGGAACCCAAGAAACTGTCCAATTAATGACTTTGATAATAGAATGCAGCCATCTGTTGTTAGATACCTCTTTTGGGATGCATTGATGTTAAAGTCACAAAATGATGGCTTTGAGTCAGAAAACTTAAATACTGTAACAGTCTTTAGAGTTGACAGACTTTGTTCTAGAAAAATATCCTTTGACTCAAAACATTCTTTTATTTCTGCTGGTACTTGTGATAATGAATTGAAGAAAGTAAACTTTCATCATGACGTCTCTAGTAAAGATGAGCTCTCCCAGGAAATGAAACCAACCCCTATCAGCTATACAAAACTATCTGAGGAGTCCAATTCTCTGAGTGATGTGTTAGATGCATTTTCAGAAGCACCTACATTTCCTAGTAGTAAATACTTCTTAGCACTGTGGACAGTTGCCAAAAGGATGTCTGAGGATCAGAAGCGCTATGAAAAGCAGTTGATGTTTAAGCACCCTGCGTTTAACCAGCTGTGTGAACAAGCGATCAGAGAAGCCAACCGCATGCACTATAACCAGCTGCTGTACAGTCTTCACGCGATAGTGAAACTGGGAGTCTTTCAGAATACGCTTGTGGTGCAGACTTTGTTGCGGGTCATCCAGGTAAAAACTCAGAAGGAGACTTAAATGTGTTTTTATTTGGTTTAACACATCTTAAAAAGAACGAGAGGAAATAGATAATGTAGCCTCCTGAAGACGGATTGTCATTGGAATATATATATATTTCTGCTATGGTGATCTGGAGACTTTAGATGGGTTATTTGCTCTGGAAATTTGTGACAGCCTGCCCACATTTGCCTTCTCCAGGGCTGAGTAGAGGTGAAGAGGCTAAGATGGAGAGAAGCAAGATATATAAAGAAAGTCGAAGTGGTTGAAGGAAGGAGAAATGGGATAATATTATCTATGCCTTCTATTATATAATCTTGTTTAATCCTCTCAACAGCCTGTGAGGTTAGTGTCACCTTAGTTTTACAGAAGATGAAGTAGACTTCTTGCTATGAAACAGCTTGGTTAAGCTCGTACAGCTAATTGATTCACTTATTCATGCAATAAATGTACCTGGCTTAGTTACTTTTCTCATTGCTGAGACAAAATTCCTAGCACCCAAAGTTAAAGGACAAAAGGTTTATTGTAGGTCACAGTTTGTAAACATTTCAGTTTGTAGTTGGCTGGCTGCAAGGCAGGGTGGTGTAGCAGAGGAGAAGCAGTTTCAGGCAGAAGAGGCCAACAAGGGAGCAAACAGTGGAACAGTGAAGCAGCGGCCCTTTCTCTGTCCCTTGTATTCTATTCAGGCGATACACCCTTAGGGCAGGTAGACACACCCAGGGTGGACCTTCCCTTCGGTACCCACTCCCAGAACTATGTCAGACCCATCAGTGGACTCATTTAGTAATCATACCCTCTTAATTTCCAACATCAGACACTTAATCTCAGTATCACTCGCTTTACCTGGGTCTCATACACTCTAGATCCCACCCCCTCTGTGAAACCCCACCTGTGACCACATGAGTCTTTGGAGGACATCTAAACACAAACTATAACAGTATATTTGGTATCCACTATTTACAAATTGCAGTGTTTGTCAGATATATACAAGACAGGGTTCCTTGTAATCATGAAGCTTTTACTAAAACGTTCCTTTAATGATCATGCCATGTATTGAGCATTGGGCTGAATACTGGGCAATATAATTGTAAATAAAATACTGATGTCTAGGATGTGTTTTAGTGTAATGAAAAAAAATGCAAGTTTTATGAGAGTATGTAACAGGCTTCCAACGTAGTGTGGCTTCGTGATGGGAAATGGGTTTGGGGGATACACAAGGTCAGTGTTTGAAGCAGAGATATATACGGAGCAATTCTCAGTGCAGCCTTTTTACATAGAGATTGTTACTCTCATCTTGCTGATTAAGCAGCTGAAGCCTAGATAGTTCGATCACTTGCCCAAGGTCATAATGCCTGTTAATATTCCTAGATGTAGATACATATTGAGCGTTCCTTATCTAAGTGGTTTGGACCATCGGTCACTGTGCCTGGTTCAGTTTTCAAAGATTTTGATTAAGAATGCTCAACCTCTGCCTGATAAACATTTCTGATTAAGTGAATTCCCAGTCAATGGTAGAATTGGGATTCCAGTAGGAAATTATGTGCAAGTTGACTTGAACAGGTGACCGGCAGTTTGGGAGAGGATTGGTAGTGAAGGGGACAGTGTAAGATCACGTGCACAGCATCCTGAACAAGTTTGGCTAGTGCAGGAGAACCCAACAGTGTGGTGTATGTTTGACCAAGGGACAGGTAAGCTGGTTGGTGAGTGGGGGAAGCAGCAAAGCCCTAGTGTAGAACATAAGCGTGGGGAATTCGAGGCCAAATCATAAGAACCTTGTATGCATGGTTATGGAATTTGCATTTATCCTGGAGGCAACTTGGAGCCATGAACGATTTTAGGCACAAGTCCCATTAACATGCTCGTGCTCACCACCTGTGGTATTTTGCCATTCTGTTTCCATAGGAACGTATCAACGAGTGTGATGAGAGAGATCTCTCAATTCTGTCAGCTCTTTTACAGGCGATGGAGCCATGTAAGAATGTCCATGCTCTTCAGACAGGATTGTGGTGAGAGCTTTTCCTTAAACGTGGGTTTCTCTGTTTTTCTTATACCAGGAACTGAAAATTGAGATAAGCTCCTTTTCTGGAGTACGGAGGGAATGCAGGCATTGTTGGCAGTTAAAATTTGTAATACTTTATTGAATTTAAAATTGTGGCTTTAGATGAAAAATAACTGAAAATAGTCTTTTTAGGGTCTACCATATGAAGACATATGGGCAACAGTAAAATCTACATTTACATTAAATCTAAATTAATTTATCTTAAAAAGGTATTCATGTGGGTCAATAGATGTATGTTCAACTCGAAATACTGTTTAAATATAGGGATTACACAAAACTGGCTCGGTTTTATACATGGAATTTATAAAATTGATGCAACTAATATGAGTTTATTGATATTGAGAGTGATACTTAATTTCCTTTTTATGTTGGCTATGCATAGAATGTCTTACTATATTCTCCTAGACTGATTTATTCATTAGTAAAGATAGCACAGGAAACAGTGGAGGAAATAGTGTTAGGCTGGTTCTGGGTCTTTGACTAACATTTATTGTGTTTAATATCAGGTTGCTAGTTGATCAGCAAGTTTGGAAAATAAAACACATCTTCTCATTACAAACTGTGATGAAATATATTGGAAAAGACGCACCAGTGGCTCTTAAGAGGAAATTGGAGGTAAATACTTGAATTATATCTAGTGAATGAGATTGGAGAAGAATATTTCTTGTGACTCGCTGTTATTTCCTGACCCATTGTTTAGGAGTACAGCACTGTGCTTTTGAATTTATGTCTGCTAGAGTGTATTAATACATATTGACTTATAGACATAAGTCCACATCTAGATTTACTGACCTATTTTTCCAAGTCATTTTCAAATTTCATTTTTTATACTTAAAAATAGAAGTTGAGTTTTTCACAAGTGATAACATAAGCACGTTTGTCTCTAGATAAAAGCCTTGATGGAACTCAGCAGGTTCTCACACGTGAACAGCCTGCACATGTTTGAGGTCCTGGCCTCCATGAACCACCGTTCCGTCGTGCTCCTGAATGCCTGCAGCAAGGTGGCCGTGGGTGAGAACTTTGTCTCAGAGTCTGAAGCATCCAGCTAGTGTTTTGGAATATGTTTGTTTCGTTTTTAAAGATATGGTTTTTTCATAAAAAATTGTATGATATATCTAAATTTTATTTTTGCCTAATAGTTTTCTTTTTTAAAAACAAAATACAGTACTTTTTCCCTTAAACAAAAGTATTGAGCATTGTGAAAATTGCATTCAAAACATCTGATGTTTTTTGTTTGTTGACTTAATTCATTCTTCAAGATAATATCCATGGCTGTTCTATTAAAATATTCATCAGCATATTGCAATCCTGCAAGGACCTTCGATACTATAATTCAGATCTCTTCAAGGGAATAGCAGATTATGTGGCTACAACGTTTGATATCTGGAAGGTGAAACATGTAAGTATGTTATCAATGGTGAATAAGCGTTGGAAATTTCAAGAAGCTTATTAATTCACTTAGCATGTTTAGTATGTCTTTCTGTTTTATAGCAGGTAAATTATCAAAATATTCCCATTCTTACTTGACTTTTGCAAACTTGGCCGCATGTTACTTTCATCTGGGAGGTTGTTTCTGTTAATGCACTGCTCAGTCTTTTGATGATGTTCCTATTTGCAACAAAAATGATATCATCCAAACTTTGCTCTTCTATTTGGTTTTCAGAAGATTGTGTGCTACTTGGTTAGGTATCTAGTATCGCTTATACTTTTTCCCTGTTAGATTTTGAATAGTAAAGATGAATGACGTGAGAATAAAACTATTATTACTAAATGAATATGAGCACTGTTTTCTTCAGCCTTGCAATTCAGGAGTGATACTTAATAATAAAAACAATTAAAAATGAAGCAGCTTATAAAAATTTTTTTCCAATGAAGTAGATGATAACTGTGGTAAATCAGTAGGATCAGTTTGAAGAATAAGATGAATGTGGGTTTATAATGAAAATTTATTTTGAAAAAAAAGCTATTATTGTGATAAAAAACCAGGAAGGAAATCAGAGGTGAACTAGAAAGCTTATTTTAATCATAATACTTCAGCTCTATCCTCACTTTTAGAAATTAATATTAAATAGAGAAATTTTGATTATCTTATTTAGAACTTAGGAAATGAACTGGGAACAGCCCATGATTTACGATGGGAAAGCTTCAGAAAAGATATATTTTAAAAGAAATTTTTGGGTCTGGGGGATTTAGCTTAGTGGCATAAGCACCTGCCTTGCAAGTGCACAGTTGTGAGTTTGATCCCTGCTACCAAAAAAAAAAAAAAGAAAGAAAGAAATTCCACATCAGTTGTGTAAATACTACTGTAGGAAAATGTGGTTTTTAGATAAAAGTAGAAGTATGGAAATCATTGTGTGACCTAATACTATCAGCTTATTTAAAACATTGCTTGTTAATTTGATGGGTAGATTTTGTTACTTTGAGGGAGTGTTCTGTTATCCAGACAGTGGTATGGGCTGTTTAGACTTTTTGGGACCTAAAAATTACTATTAGCATAGTGTCACTAAAAAGGCTTTCCTGAATTCTCTCTTTTTAAGGTTGTTTTTCTCCTCATTTTGTTTGAAAAACTTAGCTTTCGACCCCTTTATTTGATGAACGTGTTTGTGAAGAAAATCACTGAGGAGCCTGAACTTCTAAACCAGAAAAACATCATCTCTATTCTGCATGTGTATTCTTCTCTCAATTACATCGACAAAGAGTAGGTACTTTTTTTTTTTGCTTTTTATTGCCATGTAACATATATAGAAAATCTTACAAATCATAAACTTAAGGAATAATTGCCAGTGAACATATTCATAACTATCACTCATGTCAAGAAATAAACTAGTATCCTTTCAGTTAAACATAATTTTATTTTTGCTCTTCTTTGTCTCTTTTTCATTCAGTATAGGAGTTTTCACTTCAGACCCCCCTGCCTTATCCCCTCAGATCCTGTGTTCAGAGTTCATTTTTTAAACTTTGTTCCAATGTTGAGAAATATATTTCCAGTTTTCAGGTTTTTACTTTTCATTTTGTTGTTTTTTATTGTGGTGAGAACTTAACATGAGATTCACTCTCCTGTCAGATTTCCAGTGCAGAGTGCAGTGTTGGTTCCTGTCTGTGCAGTGATGTACAGCAGATCTCTAGAACTTCATCGTCTTCCCTGAGTGAAACCCTGAGCCCAGTGAACCGAGACTCCCTCATTTTTGCTTTCTTCACCTTGCCACCTGCAGTCACCAGTTTAGGAATTTCTAGTTCAGTTTTTCTTAGGTTGCTCAAGTAAGTCCTATGACGTAGTATTTGACCTCTTGTGACTAGCTTATGGGACTTGTAAGGTCTTTGAGGTTTGTTGATGCTGTAGTATGTGGCGGGATTTCCTTTTTAGGGGCTAAACAGTATTCCATGGTATAGATGCACATTTTCCTTATTCACCTGTTTAGGGGCTCTAGGTTGTTTGTGTATCTTGACTTTTGTGAATAATGTTGCAGTGACCGTGAAAGTACAGACATCTTTTTGAGATCCTGACTTCACTTCTTACAAATACAGAAGTAGGACTGCTAGATCATAGAGTAGTTCTACCTACAGTCTTTTGAGGAAGAGTTACACTGTTTCCCTTGATGACTGTGCCATTTGGCATTTCTGCCAACAGTGTGCAAGGGTTCCAATTCTTCCACTTTGCCAACACTTCCTGTTGTTCTTTCTGGATGTAACCAGGCGGTGGGTCATAATCTCATTATGGTTTTCATGTGTGCTTCCTTGATGATCGCGGATTCTGAGCACCTTTGCCTCTGCCTAGTGACCATTTATGTATCTGTTTGGAGAAATACCTATCTAGTTCTTTTGCCCTTTTTCTAATCATGGTTCTTGCTGTTTTGCTGTTGAGTTATAGGAGTGCCTTATCTAGATGTTTACCCCTGTGAGAGAGCTGGTTTGCCAGTGGTTTTTCATGTTCCTTAGCTTGCCTTTCAATTCTGTTGATTCTTTGCAGTCAGAAGCTTTTTAGTGTGACATAGACCCCATGTTTCTTTTTGCCCTGGTTGCTTGTATTTTGGTGTCACATCCAAGAAGTCATTATACAGATCAAGATCGTAAAACTTTCCCTGTTTGTCTTCCAGGAAGTTAGAGGCTTAGGTCAAGCATGTAAATCTTTAATTGGTTTTGAGTTGATTTTTATGCATGGTGTAAGATCAGCACCTAATTTTATTATTTTGCCTGTGAATATTCAGTTCTCCCAGTGCCTTTCGTTGAAGAGATTGTCTTTTCCCCATTAGACATTCTTGGCATTCTTCTCTTTTTTTATGCCAGTACCATGCCGTTTTAACAACCAGAGCTTTGCAGTATATTTTGAAAAAGGAAAATGTTATCCTTCCAGTTTAGTTCATTCTTCCCAAGATTACTTTCACAATTCAGGCAATTTTGTGTTTTCCATATGAATTTTAGGATTTTTTTTTCTATTTCTGTAAAAAATACCACTGGGTTTTTGACAGAAGTTGCATCCAATCTGGGTGATTGTGAGTGGTACAGACATTTTAACAATATTGTCTTCCAGTTCATGAACTTGAAATATCTTTCTATTTATTTGTGTTGTCTTTAATTTCTTTCTTCAGTGTTTGTGGGTTTTGGTGTTACAAGTCTTTTACTTCTTTAGTTAGGTTTATTCCTAAGTATTTTGCTCTTTTTCATGCTACTGTAAATAGAATTGTTTTCCTAATTTCCTTTTTGGATAATTTGTTGTTAGTGTATAAGAATAAAGCAAACAATTCTGCTCTGACTTGCATGCATTTCCTTTCCTTTGTTTCTTTTCCTTCGTTTGTTGTGTTCATTTTTTCTCCTGGTTGCTCTGGCTAGGAACCCCAATACTATGTTAAGTATAAGTGAGAGCAGGAATTGCTCCCTTATTCCTGATCTTCTATAAAGAGATTTCACCTCTTTCGCCATCTAATATGATGTTGGATGTGAGTTGTTTACTAGTTGATTTTTGTGGTACTGGGGGTCGAACCCAGGGCTTTCATGCCGAGCTACATCTGCAGCCCTTTTTGAAATTTTTACTTTGAGCTGGGGTTTCTCTGTGTCGCCAGGCTTGACCTTAGACTCTTCCTGTCCCAGCTGCTTACAGTGCTGGAGTTACAGCCGTAACCACCACGCCTGGCTCTGTGAGGGGCTGGGCTGGTCTTGCCTTTTTTTCTCTCTCCTCTCCTCTCCTCTCCTCTCCTCTCCTCTCCCCTCCTTTCCCGTCCCCTCCCCTCCCCTCCCTTTTTTCTTTTCTTTTCTTTTCTTTCTTTTTTTGACACTGGGGATTGAATCAAGGGCCCTCACACTGAGCTACTTCCCTACCCTTTTGCATGTCTCTCTCTCGAGGCGGGGTCTCACTGTATTGCCCAGGTTGATTTCAGACCTGTGGTCCTCCTGCTGTAGTCTCCTGAATATCTGGGATTCCAGGTGTCTGCCAGCACAGCTGGCTGCCCACTTCTTGATTGTGCGATTCATTGCCATGTAATCCTTCATGGTAGGTGGTTAAGCTGTTCTTACTGCTCTAGTATTAGTTATGATGTCTCCTTCATTGCTGATTTTATTTACGTCTTTTTGTGTTGGTCTGTCTGGGATTTGTCAACTTCATTAATCAGTTTTAAAAATCAAGTCTTATATTGCGTACTGTCATCCCCAATTCATTCACCCAAAGGACAAGACATCTGCATTCAATTGTTTGAACAATACCAGTACAACCCTTTTTCTATAATGAACTCAGAAATCAGTAGTATAACTTTTTAAACTATTTTTATATACATACATATGTGTATTATGTATATGTATGTATATATATATATAGTTTAAGTTTGTCACACTAGTGAGGCAATACAATATTTCCATATGTGAGTCTGATTTATTTTACTTATGAGCATGGACTCAGGTTGCATCTATTTACTTATAAAAGTTTCCAGTTTATTCTTTGTTATGGCTGAGTAGTACTCCATTGTATAAAATATGACCATTTGTTGTAGTCAGGGGTTGTACACAGAGAACAATTCAGATCAGGACATGGAGTTTATAATATTTTTATAATGGTCACCGGAAGTTAACACAGGAGAATGCAGGAAACCTATCCGCAACACCAACGACATAGATTTAGTCAAGAGTGTAAACCCCATGGCAATGTCCCACAGTGTAGACACCGCGTGTTTTATTCTCTCATCCGTTGGTGGCATGGAGACCGTACCCAAGAGTCAGCTCTTGCGGACTGTACCACTGTAAAATGTCGCGTCCATGAACAGCTCCCCACAACGAATGTGAACATTCCGTACTGCACGTGTACTAATCAGAACATCTCAGCACATAGAAATTATTCATGCCAAAGACGCAGTCTCGTGCCCCCAGTACAGGATTGCAGTGTCGCGCGTCTGTCTTTGTGTGCATCTTGGGAGGTTTCTGCCTCCACACACCGTCGTATTGCTGGTGCTCTGTCCCCTTCCGTTTCAGCTGGGAGAACTCGCTCGTAGTTTTGGAAGGCAGAGCCAGGGGCGCTGTTCACTTCAGCTTCCGTTGGTTGAGAGTCTTTATCTTCCCTTCCTGTGGGAGGACGCTGGGCGCAGGAGTGTGGCCTGCTGGGCTGCCGTGTTTTCAGCCCGATGAATACTTTATCCTGCTTCTTCGCAGCTTGCAGGGTGCCCACACTGTGGGGTGTGGGCAGTGGCTGCACTCCCTCGCCCAGGGTCGGTTGCAGTGGGTGAACTCTCACTGCCCAGCGGGGTCAGCTTGTGGGGGGCTGTGCGCCTACGGAAGGTGGGACTGCCCTTCATGCATGTTCTCACACAGCTGCTCTGGGGTCACGCTTGTCCTGAGTGCAGGACTGCCGGCTCTCGACTGAACACTGGGCTCCCCAGCAATGCCTTGGGTCCGTTTATTTCATGAAGTCAAGGGTTCAGAGGGCTGAGGGGCAGGATTGTTAGGTCAGAGAACGCTTCCCGCCCTGTAGGTTCTGCTTTCACTTCAGATTTCAGAGGCGGCAATGGACTGAGTTCAGTGGAAGCGGCCGCCCCTGTGGGCAGTTGGTGGACACAGTGTGCTGGGCCCCCTTCAAAGCAGCTGCCCACATGCTGTCCCCTGCACTGCCGGGTGCTCCTTCCGGAGCTCCTGTGCCTGCTGCGGCTCGCACGGGCCCCAGAGTGGGCCGTGACCACATAGTGGTAGCGTTTGTCAGCCCCTCTGTCTCAGCCCTTCTGCTGTTAGGCTCTGCGAACCCAATCGCAGCTGCCTGTTACCTTGAGCAGCACACAGGGTATGGCAAGAAAGGCACAGTTAATAAAGGTGGAGAAATGTCCCCAAGCTCACACTTTCTCTGTGCCCTGATGCCAGCAGTGTTGAGGTTAAGAAACCCAAAGTCCTGTAGGAAAGTAGGGAGAGTGAGGCTGAGCAGTCATCCTGGGTACTCATGAAGGTGCCATCACCTGCGTTCGGTATCCTGGAGGAGGCCCCCGCTGTGGCCCCTGTGCCCCTGTGTGGTCCGGGTGCACTCAGTGGTCCGCTTAGTGAGGCTGCTCACTGCCCAATCTGGTCTGGTCCCCCCCCCCCATAGTGCATGTGGCCTGCCCAGCGCACCAGGTCTCCCTCCTGGCTGCCGTCACCTGGCCTGTGGGGCCTCCCAGTGGGTGGCAGGCATTGGCCCCACAGGCTCCGTGTTAGGTCCTTCTGCCGGCCTCACTGCACGATGTCACTGGTTACTCAGTACCACCGGAGCCCCACTCACAGGATCTGCCCCGGTCGGTCTCTTCCGCCTGTTCAAATTCCATGTCTCCCAAAGGCTCCCCGTCTGCTTGCCTTCTTCCATGCTGTCACACTGTGCATCTCACTGTCGTCTGTGTGACGTAGGTGTGTGCCCTGTGAATCAGACTGACCTTGCTGGGCCTGGGACCCAGCCAGACTTTGATCTTTCCTCTCTCACCGGTGCTTCACCGTCCTGTTACATGGTTCAGCACTAGCTCTGGATGGGAGCCCTAGGTTTGCAGTTCTAACCCAGAGTTTGGAGAGCGAGGGAGTTTTAATTGGTTATAAAACTGTGATAGTGGGGGTCAGGCCTTCCAGAAAATCTGGCATAGTGATTAAGAGGCTCTGAAACCTGAGAATTTAGGTTCTCATACGGTAACTGCTGCTTGCTGGCTGAGTGTTCCCAGACTGGTTACTCAACTTCTCTGAGCCTGGCATAATCACAGTAATGCATGATCGTGTTTTAATTGGAATTAAGTGAGTGAAAACCTGTGAGATACTGAGTATGTGAGACACATAGCGGTAACCAGTCGCTCATTGGATTCGTGCACATGCCTGCGAGACAGCTGCGCATCCTGAGCTGTGTGGAAACTGACTTACAGGCCTGGTTCTCTGAAGGCTGTGCTTTGGACCCTTCATGCAGTTTGTGTGAGGTACTTGATCAGCTCTTCCTTGTGTTTGCATTTGAAATCTGGCTTCTCTTTGTTCCTTAAAAGGTTCCTAGACATGATAGCCCGCACTCTGACTGACTGTCTTCACCACGTCTCGCATGAAAACCTGCTGGATGCTTTGTGTTCATTTTGCAAAATGAATTACTTCCCCTCCACTCTTCTTGATGAGCTCCTCCAGAAGGATGTCATCAGCGAGCTGCTGACGACAGGTAGGTGCAGCGCTTCTAGTGGCTGCCGAGCCAGTGCTCTGCGGAACGGAAGTGGCTGAAATGTGCAGACCTGATGTTACTGAGGAAGGGGTTAATCCTTCCTCGTGGTGAAGTCACAGGTCAGGCTTCAGAGCAGAGTATCTGTGTGACGGGGGCTGCATACAAAAGAGAGTCCAGATGGTGATGCTGTCATAGCTTGCCACCGCTCTGACAGAAATGCAGTACTGGGAAGTAACTTACAAGGCAGGATTGGTTGGGCTTAGAGTTTGGGAGGTTTCCGTCCATGGTCACAATGGCCCTATCACTTTGGGCCTGCAGCAGCTCAGCACATCATAGTGAAAGTGCTCGGTACCCGGGAAGTGTAAACACAGAGAAGCAGCAAAGGGCTGGAATCCCTGTCCAGGATGCCCAGTGGCCTAACTTCCTTCCAGGAGGCCCTACCACCCCCCAGGCCTTGGATGTTTGGGTCTCTGGGGAGCATTTAAGGGCCGACCCATAGCCGTGACCATTGCATGCACCTGCACAAGCGCTAGCTAAATGTGCGGGAGCTGAGGTGTGTGTTTGTGTTTCCTGATCTGTATGCATCGCATAGGAAGCCAGCTTAAGTCCGCTTCTGCAGCTGTAAACATTTGGTCACCCACAGTCTGTACTAGGAATACAGCCTGTTAGTCCAAGTAACTAGGTACCAAGTGAGTGGATCTATTTTCTTTCAGACCAAACTTACTGACTTCTAAATTTTAAAATATCAGAACAATGTAGTTAAATTGTTCTAAAAAAAAATGTTGTATGATGCAAATTTGAGTTGTAAGGGGCCAACACATAGTGTGGGTTTTCAGAGTACAGTGTTGGAGTGTGATCCAGGGACCTGGAGTCCGGTCTCCGTGCTGCCTTTGATTAATCATCATTAACATTTCCGGACACTTTCTCCTGTAAAGTGCAGAGTTTACACTGCATCCTCTCTTCAGATGGTTTAAGCCGTAAACATTGGCAGGTGCAGGTCATTGCTCCAGGTACAAGAAATGAGGGTGACACCAAGAGGTCTGTGTGACAGGGGAGGGACTGTTGGAAATACAGGTGCTGCTGGAATTTAGCTCAGCAGTGTAAGCGCCTGCTGGCAAGCGTGAGTTCTGAAGTTTGATCCCTGGTACCAAAAAACAAAACAAAACAAAACAAACCATGTGCTCACATAGTTTTTTGGCAGTAACATTTTTCTTCATGCGGAATACCCTTGCTTTCTTCATTTTCTCCTTTAGGTGACACAGAGAAGAATATTTACAAGCTTCATGTTGTGGATGCTTGTCTGCAACTGGATTGTGCTTCTTATCCCAAGGCCATTGGCACAGCCCTGCCCCTGCTGCCATCTTTTCCTTCGTTTCCAAATGAGAAAGTCACCGAAGGACTGAACAGGCTTCTAGAGGGCAGCAGAGATTTCTTGTCAAAAGATGTGCAGTTGCCGCATAATTACTATATTGGTACGGGGCTGCCTGCATTGTGTCTGTCCCCTTTGTGTTTGGCAGATGATTGTTACCTTACTGCAGCCGGGCGGTGTGGTGGGGCCCCGCCCTTGGGCCTCCACTGCCTGGGTTTGGACTCCTGCCCTGTGACTTCCTAGCACAGGGGCTTACCAGCCTCGGTTTCCTCACCTATCAAATGGCTGTAATAATAATGTCCACCTCAGGACTCTTGTGAATGGTAAAGGCAAGTGTAAAATCTCCAGGCCGGTGTCTGGCACAGGGGAAGCCTTCAGTAAGTTTGGCCACCGCCATTACTACTGGTGGTGGTGTCGGACATTCAGGCACCGAAAGTTACTTTGAGCAGTGTTTAAAAAATTAATCCTATTTTTTTTTTTTTTTTTTTTTCAGATTTTGAAATCAGAACAGATGCCAACAGGAGGCAAGTACTTTGATTTTCTAATGTATATGTACTGGCTGCTATGAATGTACACTATATATACTCATTTTCTAGGCTGTCTAAATTTAAATCTTCATTTGGAAAGACTTCACATTAAACAGCAGTAATACTCATACTAATGTTCGTGCGGAGCTTGTGATACCCAAAGGAATCTGCTGCCGTGAATTTACTGCTGGGGCGTTGACTGTGTGATGGCTGAGAGTACCAGGCTAGAGTTGGGTCACTTACTGAAACACACTTTTTTTAAAACTTAGATTTCGAAGCTAAACAACCCAATAAAACAGTGTTAACATACTTGAAACTACCAAGGCAGTGTGTACTTCTGACAATAAGATAGCATACAGATGAGAATTCTACAAAATTCAAGTGCACAGATACCGAGGTCTGTCACCAAGACCTGTGAAGAAGTAGAGGAACCCGAGCTTTCTGGTGGAGTCGTGTCATGCATGGGTTAGAGGACAGGAACACGAGTCATAAATTGATTCCTTGATAGAGTATGCATGTGCTTCTGGGTAAACACCGGGACTTCTGCAGGAGAAATGACCATACCACGTGGGCCAGGGGCCACCCGCTCAGCCCGCCCCTGAGATCACAGGAGCCTGGCATGGCCTCTGCCATCAGCCTGGGGCACACATGAAGACAGGCCAGGGTGGACACCGGCCCCCAGGAGCTCTGCCTCGTGTTGTTCTGTTAGAGGTGCACGTAAACACCGTGCAGCCTGGAACTTCTGCGCTTCGGGGTCCCAGCTCTCTGTGGGCACTGTCTCGCCCACATCCCCAACCTGCTCTTGGGAGAGAGTTCCTGACCGTGGTCAGACAGGTTTGCCTTGTAAGCTACTTCATTGTTCTGACATAATACAACTTAATAAACAACAGTAGTCCTTAAAGTACCGAGAAATGGGGGCTCCAGCCATTTCTTTAACAATATAAAATTTCTCATACAACGGCCAGGGTGGAACAGACGTGAAGAAATAAATGGCTTTTTTCCTTCTCTTTTTTTTCCTCCCAGTGCACGTATTTCCAAATGGAAAGAAGAACAAATAACGTCTTTCACATTTTTTGTTAACGTTTTCAAATTCTACGTTTTTCACATTTGCCTTTCTGTTAATTGGTCCCCGGCTCTGGTTTTTAAACATTGCTGTCTAGAATATGTGCAGGGCATTACAAGAAAATCATTTGCCATTTGGGGTTCCTGCACCAGTACTTCTGCTGAATAACTGTACTTTACATCAGCGGTTAGCACAGGAAATGTTTGAGACAGGTCCTTTCACAGCTGAAGATTTTCCTCCTCAAAAATACAACCATCCTTTGAGCTGGCCGAGGGTTAGCTGCTTGTGTAAAACGCTATTGAAAGGTTTTGGGGTGTAAAGAAGCCTCCATGTCCTGCAGTATGGAAACGTGGTATGATTTCGCTTCGTGCCCTATAAAAGCCAAACAACAGGAAAAGGCAAGGCCTGAGAGGTCGGGAGTGGGGAGGGTGTGGCCAGGGAATACTTAACTTTGGCCCCCAGAGAGCAGGGAAGCCATGAGGCTGCACATGGCAGCCTTAGTGATGTTTCATGGTTCATCTTTGTTTTTAGGGTAGCTGTGCTGTGTGTTCCCAAGTCTGCATACTGTTTGGATTTAAGCCACCCCAGAGGATTCCTGGCCATGAAAATACGACATCTGAATATAATGGGTTTTCACGTGGTCTTGGTAAGAAGGATGCACTTGAAGTGTGTAATGACTGATGGACATTCTAGCGGCTACGTGGACAGTGAGGTTGGAGTTGGTGGCCAGTCACTAGAAAAATAGTCAGTGCTACTGGAATAAGTATTTTAGTTACTGTTTTCTTTAAGAAAGAGCATTCCTAGTACATGATTGGCTCTTACTCTGATTGCTGTTATTTAGTAGAGAGATTTAAAAATGTTATTCTAGTCAGCTTTAATCCACTTTTGATAAAAATGCAAATTTTGTTTTACTTAGCTCCAGACATGTGAAACCATTTTCAGTCTGCAGATTAGCTTGAACAGGGGTGAAGGAGTGGAAGCTTGTTTTCTTGGTGCGGGGGTTTAGAGCCTGTGAGGCTGTTATACGGTGCTGGGCCCCTGGATGCCGGGCCCCTCCGTGGGCCCCAGCACCAGCCTGATCCAAATGTCCTCTTCAGCTGACTCTCTCGCAAGCACTCACAGCTACATCTGTGGTAATGCCGGAGCCGCTTCAATGCTGCGGTCCTGCACATGCTATGACGTGTAAACTTTCTCCTCTTCCCTTGTCACGCCTTAGTGTCCAGAAGTGAACTGTGCGAGGATCACTGCGATGAAGATAGCCCCCCCCCCGTTAGTGCGTGCTGCTTGAGATTTTGTTTTTCATGCTAGTGGTAGTATATATCCTAGGGAAGGGGTTCCCAAGAAAGTAACTTTTGCACTGCTTAGCTGGCCTTTAGGGTTTATATAAGCTTCACTGGGGCAGCTTTCCTCAGTCTTATCAAAGAGTCTCGTTAGATCTTTAAAATACAAGTAATTATAAGGTAATATTTGCTTTTAGAAAGTGGTTTACTTGATGCTACCTTTTTTAAGTTCGGATCTCTAAAGAAGCTTTTATTCCGTGTGTGTCTCCTCACAAATTGCTTCCTCTTTCTCTGGTAAGGTCAAACGCTGGGAGATGGAAAAGCTGAAGATGGAGGATGCAATCCTATTTCTGAAGAATAAGATCTATTCATCTGAAGTTGTTCCTACTAAAGCAAATTCACAAAGCCCGTATTAAAATAAAAACCAACCTTTTCATATTAGAATACATAGATTTATAAAAATAACTTTAATAAAGACTGTAGTACCATTATCAGTAGAATTGACCTGGCTGTTTACTGTATCAGAAAATGTTATTTTGGTTCACTCTTAATTTTAAGAGTAAAGAAGCATTGTTCCTGGCACGTTAAAATGTGCTGGCAAAAGTTCCAAAAGGGTCACACACCTGTTCCGTCTGCTGCCCACATATTTGACAAATCATTCGTGGTAGGTTTCACTTTTGCTTATTAGCTTTGATGTATCAAAAATGTTTGTTTTAAGGGGCTGGGGATTTAGCTCAGCGGCATAAGCTCCTGCCTTGCAAGCGCACGGTCCTGAGTTTGATCCCTGGTACAAAAAAGAAAAAGAAAAGGTTTTGTTTTGTTTTTGTAGTTGAACTGTGGTGGGTCACAAGCAAGGTGACATGGGGACAGGCCTGTTTGGAAGCTGCATACTTGTGTTTCTGCTGGAGGCTGTTTGCAGACTGATGATTTGGTGTCCAGATCATTTCAGGCACTGGTCGGGTAGCAGCTGGGCCCTGCTCTTCAGCTGCTGAGTCTGCAAGAAGCAGCGAGGCGCGTTTTGAAAGAACGGATGAACGTGGTGTTTGCATTGTAGGTACAGGTGCTTCCTGGACCACAGGAGGGGAACAGTGAGATCACAAATGGGTGATGAGGAGTCTGTGTTTATGTGAACCAGTGGTTACAAGCTGGTAATACTGGACTGTTGCCATTTAGTTTATTCCCGCACTTCCCATCACTTTATGAGAGCCTCTAGATGAACTGTGTGACCGCACTTTGTTATAAATTAGACCGGACAAGTGTTTATGAGTTGTGTTTATTCATTCTTTTGTTTAATTATTTGTTCAGGTTCAAGCATTTGTTCATTACACCTGACCACCAGTGTAGGCTGGGAAGAGTGCTGAACGGGCACGGTCGCTTGTGGGACTCAACTGGGTCCCATTCGGGTACCAGGTACCCAGGACGTGCAGACACCGGACCTCTTACTGCGTGCGTGCCAGTGGCTGCTGTGTGTCCCTCTGCATCCTGCTCCTCATTGTCTTGCAAACTGTGAAGTACAGCTACTCCTATGGTTATCTCGGTCGTCACCTGACCGGAGCCGCGGGAGACAGGAGACCAAACTCGAGCAGGATCAGCTCTCAAACTTTATTACGTACAGCGAACCGGACCTGACAAGGTCCGCCACCCTCAACGTTGGTTCCTCTTCCGCCGTTGGGGGCAGGAACAACCTCTTATAAGGGGAAGCAGTATCCAATCACAGAGAAGCGCGTCTAACAAGCTGATAGGCTAGCGTCACGGGTAACTGGGCAGACATGACAATTTGGCGGGCTTGTTCAGGCCGGGAAGAACCCGGAAGCAGGAAATGGGCGCCATCATAGGCGGCTTCCCACAGTCACCCCTCATGTCTACTAGGAAGATAAATTACTTGGAAAAGCTGCATCCCTCTTGCCAAACCCTGTACGACGAGGCTCAGAATGCGAGCTGAGCTGATGTAGGCTTATGAGCAAAGTAGTCAGGGATTCCCTGGGCTGGCAGCAAAAATACAGCAGTTTGACTCCAGCCACCAGCTTTTGTCAGTCAGCCCAGCCTGTTAGAAGAGGTAAGAACTGAAAGGAAATAGCGTGATCATTCAATGCACCGCCCTCCTTTTATGGACGGGAAAGTTAAGGCTCCTAGAACTGCATTTCTCTGAAGTCTAGGTCACGATACTGACTTACACCTGTGTCCAAAGACATTAGAATTTCGTTACGGATTAAACATCTGGGTTTGTGTGCTTATCACGTGTTGTAACCTTTTTAAGCCTCAGAGTAAAATGAAAATATTCCATTATTTATGAAACTAAGATTTTTTAAATGTTAAACGTGGATCAGTTTTCTTGTGGCTAATTATGCTTCAGTCAAAGGACTGGCCCCATTTTTACGCTTATGTATGACTGCCATTTGTGGCAATTTCCTTGAGTTTGAGCTGTTTGATATGGCAGATAAGGGGTTCCTCTTTCACTAGCATTGCTAATACCAGCATCCTTTGTTACTTTGTGGCAATGTCAGAAAAATGGGCAAACAGCTGAGCAGCGCGAGAGAATTTCAGTCTCCTGGTGAAGGCATGCATATGCACACCATGGATATTTTTGCGTTTGAGATTAGCACTGTTATCTTCCTTTCAGAATAACAGCGCTAAAGAAGGTGTAAGAAGGTGTAAGGAGGCAAGCGCTTGCATGCGCTGCTGGTGGAATGTAAATTAATTCAGGCTTTCTAGAATGTACGTTTTCTCCTGTGTTTTAAAAAACAGTTCCATCGAAGTGTAATTTACCTACAGTGGACTGCATACATTGTATTTAAGGTGCACGATTTGGTAAATTTTGACATATAAGTACATACATACCTCAGAAATCATCACCATGATCAAGACGGTGGGCAGATCATTCACCTCTAAAAGGATTTATTCCCTTTCGTGTGGAGTGCGGTGGGGGTGTTGGGTTTCCGTAGCACTGGCTGCAGTGTTTGTTGGTGGAAAAAGTATTTTCCTTACGTGACATAAAGAATCAGTAGAACCTAGTGTTAGCATACTCAGTAGATTAAATATTGCCTTTGTGTGAAATTTCCAAGTATTTTTCGGCATCCTTAATGAATGGCTTGATCTTGCTTCCTAGATATCACTATTAAATACCAAATTGTGCCCTTGAAATGGCTATGAGTAATTCTTGATCAAGACACCGAAAGAGGTTACTTAGACATATTAGTTACCACTGACAGGAAATTTTGTTTACGAACGTATCCGATCATGAAACAGTTTGAGAAACCACTCAAAACCTGAAGATTGTGTTTACAGCCTAGCAGGTTTTTTTAGACATTGAAGAGTGCAGTGTTGGTGTTTCTGCATGCAAGGATACAAATGGATTTCAGATGCAGTTGAGTTTTTAATGACAGTGTTTCTAAAGCGTGATGACGCCCTGAGAGAATAAAGCTGGAAGAAGCTGGCGGTCCTCAACCCCAGCTCTGCTTCCCTGATCTTAGCTGGCAGCTAGAGCGTCCTCTGTCCACATGGCCAGGCTGCTCAGGTAGATGTCCGGGTGACAACAGCCGCTTGGTGTTACAGACAGCAACCCTGACAGCAGAGTGAGGGCCCTGAACCTGCAGGTTACTGGCCAAGAGGCTTTGGCTGTGTATGGCAGGCTGAGGAGTCTTGATATACTTGTGACCCATTTGTGTATGGGTGCATGTTCTGGCTCAGTGATGGGCCCGGGAAAAGCTGAAGTGTGTATTTCCAGGCCCTTCCTGCTTGAACTCCAAGTGAGACTTAGCCACTCCATGCAGAGACACCTGCACGAAATCAGGTAGGTCCAATGAGATGGACTTCCTGCTTGTGTTCCTACCAACAGCCGTGGGGGTGTGGCTGGTCTGGAATCGCAGCAGCAGGTCCGCCGGATGGTGTGGCAGGGATGGGGCATCCGTGTTGCAGGAGACGGACTGTGGCTGAGGATGTGGTTCTGGGGTCCGCACCTGTGATGTTCCTGCTCCAGGTGCCAACACCTGCATAATAAACGCTGCAGCTGTATGCTGAGGTATGTTGTAAATTTTAGGGACAGAATGCGTGTCCCCAGAGTTTGGTGAACTTTGCTCAGGATTGGAGTCATGTTAAAGTCCACTGGCTACCTTGCCAGGATGTGCTGGTTCACATGCCCTGGCTTCCCATGCTGCACGCGCACTGTCCCAGCGGCCGAGTGGAGAGGGCAAGAGTCCTCATACCCTGATGGTCTTGGCTCACCTGTCACCACCTTCCCCGGGTTTTCACTGCAACCTGCCAGTTTCCTCCATGATCTTTCAGATCAGGACCCTAACATCCAGAATCGGGGCGGGTGTGTGTGCGCCCAGTGGTGTTAGGAATTCCATTCCTTCTTTTTGCCAGAAAGGAAAAATTCAGAAGAGAAGGGAATTTGCTAAACATACAAGTTGTATCTTATAATTTTTAAGCAAATCAGACAAAGAGCCAATGCTGTCACATCTGGAGACCTTTGAAGAGCTTGCAATTGCTTATCCGCATCAGAAAATACTCCTGTGTTTTTAAACAGCGGCAGTCACTTTGCCTTAAAATTAACTAAAGGGATATTCAGTTTCTGCCATGTTGGGGTTCAAATAGGATTCCATCTTCTGTGGTTTAGGCTATTGTGGGAATGGGGCTGTACTGGGGTTCAGGCCACTGAGCTCTGCACAGGCCCTTGCGTTTAGAGGGGACCATGTGCCTCCGCTCTTTTCCAAAAGGTGCCCTGTGCATAGCAGCCATTTACAAATCAGCTTCCTGTGTTGAGAGCCCTGCTTGGACCCTGTAAGGTCTGGGCTGTTTATATTTATAATCCCACAGAGAAGTTATTAGAGTTCCAATGCATTAATCTGAGCCTACCGCTTTCAGTGCAACCCATGGCGGAAATAAAGACACTAAGGCATATTTGTGATTGTGGGGAGCCAAGGGGTCCTAAGTCCAGCTAGGGTGATGGTTAACCAGAACAAATGCCTCGACCCAGGGCTGAACGTGAGTTTTATTATTTTGTGAAGAAGAGAGTGGCTTGAGGATGAGCAGCTGTGAGAATGGAGGGAAATACATGAGTGCCATGAGCTGGGCTAGGTAGGAGACCTGGAATCAGCTCTGCAGTGTGCAGAGAGAGCGAGATGCAGAAGGAGTAACACAGTTGAGGTAGTGTCTACTGTTAGGGTCAGTGCTTCAGCTCTGCTCTGCAATCTTTTGTGCCCTGGGAAGTCACAGCCTCTTATCTCGAGGCTTATCCCAGGACCCCAGGCGACAGCAAGGAGCATGGTTCTCCCTCCTGTCTGGCTCTGTATTCTTTTTGGGAGCTACGGGGCAGGGCAACGCTGACCTGTCTCCTTGCTTCAAAGACATCAGCACCTTGGCTAGGCCGATTTGCATTGTTTAAAGTCCCAGCCAGCTCTGTACCTATCAGCCCACGGAGGTAGGGCCAGGTCTAGCCATGGCAGAGATGATCGATTTTCTTTCAAGGAGCTTCGTCCAGGTGGTGCCCTGCACCCCGGGC